AGGTCCCTTATTTTTCCCACGACTTTTTGATATGGCCAAAATTTTGGGCCATTTCAACGACATTCTACACGGTCACCGGACCTCCCAGGTCACGCCCGGAGCATTTGGGGACCTGTAAACCCTTGCATGGAGCTGCATCTAGGCTTTCAAAGACTTCGGACCTCCTTCTGAGGCCGCCCACTGGCAAGGAAGTTCAAATTTATGGCACATGTTACCTTGATTGCCATATTTGGCCCACACTTATGAGAGCTATTATGGCATACCGGCTGGTCCAATTATTAGATTTAAGCCGGAATCAGACTCAGCTCGTTGAAAGGAGTCGATTGGCATATTTTCCGCATTTTTCCCGATTTGTTTTGTATACGGCCAAAATTTTGGCCCATCCCGACCCATTGTTGAAGGCTACAGGGTGTTTATGGGAAATCGGCTCGTGCCAATCTCTTCTTTAGAGTCTAAATCACTCATTTCTGCAATAAAATTGGGGTTCCCACGGCTGCTGGACCTCAGGAAATCTGGTCACCGAATTTGTTGTCTTTGGTTGTCCGGGACTGTAGTACATGCCGTTCGTCCTCGTCCATCGCGTTCTAATGGTTGGTTGACTCGAACTGTTGTCATCCTTGTGGGCCAAGTGTATGGGCAGCATCTATGGATATACACCAGCTCTTCTTCTGCTTTTGTTCAAGTGCGGCTCAGCTATCTCCTAGCAGTGTTCGACCATCATGATCGCGCTCTGATGGCGCCTTGATCCAGAGTACTAGCAACACTAAGTGAAGCTGAAGGTTCTCTGCGACATGCATCAGTGATTATCTATGTGGCCGCGCCCTTCAATTCGATAATCTCCGGGCGCGCACCGCTTTGTCCAGCCACGACGGCGCCATGGATCTATCTCCTCGGCCCGGTGTCTGGATAACATACTCATGTCCCAACCTAAAACGGCAGACATTGTATTCCGGGATTCGAAACGCCGAAAGTTCACTTGGATCGACCAGCGGGCACGCCGAGGCAGTGATCGGTCCTGAACCCATCATGGACCGATTAGATAGCCCCCGTATAAGATCATACACCCGCGCGCATGCCTTATTGACCCGACTTCACTACTGCAACGCTCCTCTAGCTTGTTTCTTCCTTCCTTTGACATTCGTCCAACATCATGTCGGCTTCCACTAATGTTGTGGTGGCGGCCCAACGCCTCCAGGTCGTACGGGTACGTGCCGCACTATCATGGCTCATGGCGTTCTTCTGAGATTATAGATATGTAGTATACGCAAGGTTCGTGAAGACTGCGGCCTCCATGCTTGTCGCGTCTACTAAGTCCTCTAAAGTTGCCAGTATGGCCGTATTGGTATGTGCCTTGTCTGCGCCCTGTATGTCTCCATTATAACATGAAAGGGCAGATCGCCGAGTGGTGTTTCGTAATTGGCGAGGAGGTGAGGAAATAGCGAGATCCCTGAGATCGTCCCTGCTTAATGTGGTCGCAGGTGGAATATGTCTGGAAGGGCAGATGGACATATCTGAAGGTCTTCTACCTCCTGAGTAGATACACCCCGTTCTTGGACACGCCGTTTAATCTACTGAGTGAGTCGTGTTAAATTTCCAGTACTCTCACAATCCTCATATCCCAAAGACTACTTGACGCCACGCATCAAGCCGGAGGCGAGTCCTCTCAGTGAGATGGCGCATGGATGAGCGACTGATTCACGTCAGTAGACATGCCTTGTGAACTACAAGATAGCCGCTAGTGCGTCGACGAATATTGGACCCACATTAAGCCGCTCCTAACGCCTATACTCTGAAGCCTCGACATTCGTGGGGATGTCGATCTCGGAGTGTATGCCACACGTTGCGTTGACATCTCCAACCTCTTACGAGTGTCTATCCATGCACAGACATACTTATCGCCCGTACCTACGCGCTCTACGGACGGTCACGAACTATCGGGCTATTCATGCTCATCACCGTCTCTGTGCGTCTCCCTCCACCCACCTTTCACCTCCCACCGCAGCTAAAGTGGTCCAAAAGATCTGCACCGTCGCCGGGGCAATCACGCTGTCATTATTCGAGGTCTCGCTAGTCTGTAAGCCGTTTCTGCTTGGCGTCGTACTACAGCGAGACTCAAGATTTTGATAGTCGGCCCGCTGCCGTCTCCCGAGATCCCGGGATGCATTCTGAGCGAAGGCAGCAACATCGCGTTTGTCAATTTCATTATCCTCCTCGGCTGGGAGTTCTGTGAGTGGATGGATATTCGCACACCACCGCCGTGGGTCTCTTGCTAACCATGGGAACCAGTCATCGTGTGTCTGACTGCGTACAGGGGCATCCGCGACCGTCAGTCAGTCCTGCTGTTGGGGTAGGTCGTGATTCTGACGTCGGAGTCCATCTCGCAGTGCGGATATCGAGGGGTCCAATGGCTCAGACGCTTTATCGCGATGGTGAGCGCTCCTGTTCCTTGTTCGCGGACATCTTCTCATAGTCCTCTCTGTTCCAGGGATCTTCTTCTTTTTCATCCTATTATGTGCGCAAAAACCAATCATTACATTGACCAGCCGTTGATTCATTCATTCTAACAGTATTGTCAACGGCGAATATCATCGTCTTCGTAGTCGCACCGGTGAGACTTTTCCCTGTAACATCGCCGCTCAGTATGCTCACCCATCCTATAGCTCGAGTATTTGGACTTGGTAGATACGTGAGTACCGTCGCCTTCCTGCCTCACTTCTGATGGTATCTCTAATCTCCCTCCCTCATAGACTAACCCGCTGCCTGCACAGCATCATCTGCTGTCGCGTGCTGCTCAACCTCCGCGGCGCCGCCAACGACACGGGCTCCGGGGCCCCGAGCACCGGGCGGCCCGTCTCCTCGCTCCGCTTCATGAAGGTCCTCGGCGCGAGAAGGACCCCCGCGGACTCGGAATTTGACTCGACGGTTGGCGACGGATCGTTGCCGCTGCATGAGCTGGGCTCGAGCCGGCCTGCGGACCCGGAGCTGGAGAGATAGTGACGGCGATTTACCATTATGGCTTAGATGCGTACGTGTATGATTTGTATGATTTGTGTGTGTACGAGATGTAACGATCATGTGCATGTATGTGTATGAGACTAGAAGTTCTAGTAGAAGCCTAAGGTGTAGCTCGAGATCAGCGGTGGAATGGAAGCTATGTACAGATGTACTACCAGCCCGGGCGAAAAACGAGGGCTCTGATGTCCCTTGTGTAGGAGCGCATTTATCCAACCACGGGGATCCTTACTTCCCCGCCCCCAACATTCAGCGAAGCTGAGAACCGGAGCTGGCGAGCGCTCCGCCACGGTCGATGCGGTGCGGTGATCCAGTCAGCCAGTCAGTAGGGACCAAACGTAATGAATCCGGGCATAACGGGTCAATAGGGAAGAGGGTCTTCGATAGCTGAGATAGAAGAGATAGAACGAGGAACGGCATGTTGAACGAACAAGGGGCAAGAGGTATTACGGGTATAGTACAGGTAACCGAGGCGCGGGCCTCGGTGAATGGCGACATGTGAGCAGGGAGGGAACGAATGACGAAGCAGTAACTCCTCAACGAAGCGGGAAGCCTTGCTGCTTGAGGTACTGCTGGTGCTCGGCTTTGTGCTTGCGGATGAGACCATCCGTTTGGGACCGCCAGAATGGTAAGCCGATCTAAGCATTGGTACAAATTCAGGGATGGGCAAGGAAGGTCACGAGGAGGTACACGTACACGAGCAGCGGCGTCCAGGAGCGAGTCGTAGATGAAGTTATGGTACGGTGCGGATCCGCGCGTAGACGAGCGGAAGAGATCCGTGATCAAGTCCGCAGTGATATGTGCGTGACCGGCTTGGATACCTGGATGTCGAACGGACCGTCGATCAGAACGTGTGAACGAGGCAGTTGGAGATGGTGCAACTGACCTTTCAAAAGCCCTGCAGCAGCTTGATTCGGTTGCAGACCCGAGTCATCCTCTTCAATTTTGAGGGTGATCTTTGGCTTGGTCTTGTTTTCCTCTTCGTATCCTGGTGTGAACATGGTCGGAGGGAAGAAGATGTGCACGTCGATGTCGTACAGTATCAGCTCAGACCGCAGGGTGTCGGCGAGACCTAGAAGACCTGATGCAGCTGGGACTACTGGTATCATATGTAAGGGGTCCTACCTCGGAGAGCATGCTTTGGCGGTGAGTACGACGCGTAGCCAATAAATGACATGTAACCGAGAGTGGAAGAAACAAAGCAGATCTTGCCCTTTCGCTGCTGTTCTACCATCTTCTTTGTAACTGCCTATTGCTGAGATATTAATGATTGAGCACTCTACGGTGCGTGATAGGACTCGCCCAGGCGGTCCATGCCTGCACCCAATACCCGTTTGTCATTCCTTCCGTGAGATCCTGTTCCGTCATCTCAACGAAGAACTTCGGGGTACTCTTCCCAGCGCACAAGAAGACAGCGTCCGGGGTCAGACCGTCATGTACGTCCATGACTGCCTGCAGAGCGGCGCTGGCTCCCTCTGCCGTCCCGACTGAGAACGAATGCTGCCGGAAGACTTGGTCATTCGAAACACGGGCGCTCTGGATTCAAGCAGGAGTCAGAACTGCATTCCCCCCTCACTGCAAAACAGCTCTCACTTCAACTTTACCGAGAGCATCCTGCAGCTTGCGCGAGTCTCGAGCCACGATAGAGACGTGCGCACCGTGCGAAGCCAATAACACGGCTAACGACAAGCCGAGGCCGGCGCTACCGCCCGTTACATAGCAGTGCTAACTGAAATTGAGACCGGAATCCTGCACCGACGCCAGAGGACCATACCTTGCCTGCCGGGTTCCACTTGCTGCCACCGAATAGACCCATCGTTGCTGTAAAATGTGTAGCGCTGGCGACCGTGAATGGCCAGACCCACTCGGTTACCTTATATAAATGAGCTCCTCGTGATCTGCAGCCTGGAAGATGTAAGTACGCCGCTCACAAGGATCTTGCCGATGCAGTGCCATTCTAAGTTCCCCAGTGTGTATCATCGACCTCCATTCTTAGATTCGGGTGAACCTGATTCAATGGCCCTTTAGACAGGAAAGTGTACTCAGGAGCAGCGTGTTATGGGCGGACCGCCTTCTGATGAGAAGGTGAATGTCGCGCTTGAATCATCCCTCGGACTGATGCCTGATACAAGCATGATATTCCAAAGTATCCTCTTTGTGGTGTCTTCTACCATTGGCCTAGGTTGGGCCTTCGTAACGGGGACAACTTTGACGTCCACTGCCGCGCACTCCGACGAGAACTCCGAGACAGTTCTATGGAATACGTGTCCAGTTCTCACATGTTCTCATATGTGAATCTCTTGCCTAAACGCCTCTGGAGATACAAGGCTTGTATCATACTTGCCTGGGCACAGTATGGCGCCCAGTAGCCACTGGCCAGTATCGCCCGGTGCGGACTCAGCTTGGAGAGCCGACACGGGCGCAGAGGTAGTGTAACTGCCATCGCCCCTGCATTGCGTGCTCTTGTGCTTCCACAAGAGAGGCCCGGGATTACGCCTCATTGGATGAGCCCTGATGATGGGTCCCTTGGTTGATGCCCTGATGCCAATAGAGCTTGCACTGCGGGCCTCGCCGCCTCGGCATGTCTGGCACTGATTCCTTGTTTCGTCCTGGATGTGATTTGCTTTATCGCCGCATACCTAGCGCCCTTCATCACGTGAGAGCTAGTTATGGACAAGTTACCAGTGGTGGGCTTTATATGCTAGAGTTCATGCCCATGACATGTCGACGGACGTATAGCTCTCATGGATTCCCTGGTAGCGGACGTTACATTCGCTGTCTCTGCGGCTCGGTACCAGGTCGTCCGGGTACGTCCTCTCCAAGACCGGTATACCTCACAATACTCGCTGAAGCTGTCTTGTGCCTCTTCTCCGCGAGTCAGTATGTTCAAGGTACGCGAAGTGACAACTGTCCACTACAGGTGCTGATACTTTTGCGATCTCGCTAGTCGTCGCGATGACGCTGCAAGTATGTAGATCTTCCGCCGCTGCCCTCGCAGACCTCGATGACTAATGATACTATAGATCGCAGAATGGTGCTTCATCATTGGCGATGAGGTACCTTGTCTCTTTGCCTGGAATTGACGAATACTGAACACGCTGGGCTAGGTAGAATTCATATGGCCGTCCCCTTGGTCTATCATGAAATGTCTATACTATATCAGCCGTTATGGCCCTTTCATCGATACACCGCTGAACGTTATATGTACGTGCAGGCCATATGGCTACGCTAATGTTGACCTTCACCATTTAGATTATCTGAAATTCGGCATCTCTCCTCGCGTATGTTCCTCTATCCTTCACATAGCGAGCTAACCATGACGGTCAATATTTTCAGACCTGCCTCGTCAATTACCGAGTGTCTTCCTGTACTACGCTATTCTTTCTCTCGTACCCCATATTTTAACCGTCTGCTCTCCAGTGTCCACGTTTGTCGGCATTGTAACCGCGGAGAGTAAGCTACATTCGCTTCCGCGGTTCGCTCCAGATCTAAATTTTCCGCCAGACATTCTTATAACCAGGACAAGCGCTATCTACGGCAACAAACGCAAGATTGTCGTGTTCCTTGTCTCCCTCTCTGTTGTACGTTCATTGTCCCCGTTCATGTACACCACTCCTGAATTAGACCAACAGACGAGCACCATTGCTGGGGCGGTTGTGATGTACTTCTTCCTTGCGTCCCTGCACTGTGCGTTGCCGCTGGATACTACTGGTATGGCTACTCAATACCTTAACGACCGCTAGTTGGCCTCCAGTCACCCCTGTTACCTGGTTGCTTCATGACAAGCGGGAGCTCGATAGTGTTTGTCAACTTTGTGATTCTGGTTATCTGGGAACTCCGTTAGTGTTCAGCGGTTGAATTATTTCTCTGGCCATTGAATGCCGGATATTGTTCCTGTGCAGTGATAGTCTCCATGACGGTGTACCGTGGAATCCATGACCGTGAGCTACAGATCGATCTTCCTACGCACGTTCCTGACGGAGCGTTTGTGATCAGTGCGTGTCTCCCGGACGCCTCTGATCAGGACTCTGTATCGCGATGGTGCGTCCCTTTGCGCATTCGGTCCGTTGAAGTGGGACTAATGGATAGTCTAGGCATCCTCTTCTTCTTTGCTCTTCTTCGTGAGTAATGGACCTACTAACGAAGATCGGCGATTAATAGGACCCTTGCAGTACTCTCCGTCGGGAACATCATCGTATTCATCATTGTGCCCGTGAGTTTTTCTACCGCCCTTTTGCAGGCTCGTCCGCTAATGACAATGCTCTTCAGCCGGAATATATTGATCTGCTCGATACGTGAGTCCTCTGCGTGTGGTAGCTGGTTGGCGGACACGATTGTCTTTCCTTACTTACTGATATTCACAGTTTAACTCGTGTACTTCACAGCATTATCTGCTGTCGCGTAGTACTCAACATCCGAGCGGCTGCGATGGAGAGTATAGAGGGGACTCCCCGACCCACTGTCTCGTCGATCACCTTCCAACGATTCAAAGAAAAGTTCAGACGGAGCCATAATCCATCATCCAGCTTCGGCACGGAGTCTATCCTTCTCACTACGTTCAATCGTTCCGTAGATACAGGAGCGGCGCGATGACTTGTACATTTCATGTCCGTGATGGTCTAAGATGGGCCAACTGTATCATGAGCTTTATACGAATTAACGACCATTATTCATGCGCGATAACGCAAGCGCGGCAAGCGCGTTTCGAGGGTAGGGCCCAAAACTCGTACTTACGGATGCGCGTACATTCACCGTGCGAGTAAACCTGATTAGCTTTCCGAAAGGTCCGTAAGTCTCCCATGTTTCTACGACTTAAATGAAAGAAGCCGCCCTTGTCCTTGTTCCTGAATCATTCCATGGCGATTTTCAGGAGTCCTTCTGATTCATCAACGTTGAACTGTGATAAGAGATGTCATGATGGCCGGCCAAGCAGCCACCGGCAATGCCTTCGGGTGTACAGGCACTATTAAGAGGACAGCCCCCTGCTGCTCTCCGTGGGACCTTCACCACTATTCATCACACAGAGACCACGTACCTGTCATTGGGCCCTTTGTGGCAACAAAGCAGAAAAGAGACTTCGTCGGGTTCCTGGAAGTGATTGCAGGAATGAAAGGGTGATCGTTCGGCCTGCTGAAACCCGAGGCCTTTCTCGTGCGCTGACTGCGGCCATCTGTCACTAGCAGTTCAAGTTCCCAGCAATGGTGAAGCCGAAGCAACTGAGGTGCGGCGGTTGCATTATACTCACATCGAGATTGCATGATGCATGTGCCACAGAGCCAAATATTCTACTCGAGAATTCGCTTACGGGGACGAGTCGATTGTTCTACGATATGCTAGGAGCGAGTCGGGGCGGATTTGAATACTACGTCAAAGCCCGGGAAATAAAGAGATTGCCGGTCCGGACCGGCTTTTGAATTTGCAGATTGGACTTGGGATTCTTCCCTCGACAGTCAGTGTTGAACGTTGAAACTCCCAATGGCACTGCCATCTCCAATTAGTAGTGTCAAGTGTCATTCAAGACCCCTTGTCTCTGAGTTATCCTACAGTGGTATTCTTACGTTCGAGCGAGGCCGCTCTTGCTCAACTTGGCCTGGATTCCCACTGGATAGGTACGGCGCATGGCATGGGCTACTGTATCTTTAGGACGTTCGGCTGTCCGACGGCAGTTCGTAGTGTATCGCAATAATGCATAGGTGGCGTGTTGCATCTCCACAGGACCAGGCCAGTGAAGGACTCGAAATTGACAGCTTATATTCACACTCATGCAGGAGTGTGGCGGTAGATAGTACAGGTCAAGCGGTGGCTAGTACGCTCTGATTAATTCCCTCGCTCCTTTAGAGAATCTGCGGCTGATCAGATTCCTCCACGTCCTTTCCAAGCGCAACGGTGTCCATTGGGCCCAGGTAGATCGTCCGGATGGCTTTCTCCTCGTCAGTATGACGGACATGTATGATGGGCCCTGCCGAATCCTGTGGATCGTTGGCGCTACAGTAATGAGCAACGCTACAAGATCATGGCTGCTGGAATGCTCACTGAGATTGCCCTCGCCCCTGGCTAGGACTTATGAGCCTCAATCCCGCTATGCGCTCCAATCTGCTTAAAATGTAGCGAAATGCGTCCCGGTAGCGTGCTATGGCTTCCTCAGCCAGACCAAAGAATGCGAAGAATAGGAAGCTACAAATGATAATGTTCCATCGACTGAGCTCGATAGCCAGGACAGCCCGGCTGTCCGACCTCCACAAGAGCGATGGGATTTGGCCTAAACGCGAAAAGTTGAAGTGGGTGTCACTCCAGCTCACCCACGGGTTGATTTCATCGGCATTGATGCTGAGGAAGTATGCGGAGACCGGTAGGCCGACGATTGCTTCCAGACTTGCTAGAGCAAGAAGTCGGCTGAGTCGGTGTCTAGAGAGGACCGTGTACTGTCCAAGAGTTTTCGAGCGGCTCTTCAGAAGGGCTCGAACTGTGAGCACTACGACGGCTAAAGGTTAGCCATCGAATATGCACGTATGTCTGAATTGGGGACATACCGCTGTACACTGATGTCAAGGTAGAGATGACCAGTGGCCAGCAATAGACAAGCGCGAAAGTAGGAGGGGTGTTGTATATTGCTGGCCAACAGCCTATCTCCTCGAGGATGTCGAATCGATGTCCTTGAACAATGTAGCCTACTACTCCTTAGAATTCACTGGCCCAGCGACATAGTTGGAGACTTACTCAGCACAATTTCCAGGATTGGGAGGCCCAAGCCTATTGCGAGGTCGATGAGAAGACGACGCTTTTTCTGTAAAAAACTGAGCCATCACGCGAGACAGGTAATCGTAAGAGTTACCGTGTCCTTGGAGATCGAGAGCGGCCGGGTGATAATTTGGTTGAGGGTTCTGTTGATACAGAAGGAAACGAGAGGGATTGCGACATTGGTCCCGATGTATATACGAGTCGCTATTACAATACAGAGTCAAAGAAAAACTGGGCTATGGATATAGCGCGTACAGATATCACACCATACCGGTGACCAGTTGATGGCGTTATTCCGCCATAATACGGAGTTGATGAACACATTAAGCGATTGCACGGCCGTCCAGGCCATGTAGAGAAAGACTCCGGTATTCCATGCTGCCATAGAACATGTGAGACAACATAGGCTGGACACCTGGGGAGACTCACCTTCGGCCTGCCAGGAGAATGGAATGATAGCGAGAACGAAACTGAAGAACGAAAGAATAGAAAAGACAATGTTCGAAGCCGACATAACTGCCCCTTCGGAAGGAATGTTCAGAGCGGCTCGGACATAGCTGAATGGTGGGGTGCTTAATTGAAGAAAGCGGTGTTGGGTAGTCGATCTCAGCCTTGCCCTATTTATGAGCGTTGCGCCGTGGTGGTCGCGACAAGGATGACGAGAGCGGGTGCCACGAACACCGATATCTCCACGCTCTGAGTTTATCATGATAAGACCAGGAACTGTGCATCTCTTCGGCTTGGAAAGGATATTCTCGTCTGCCTGGGCTCCACCTGTGCCGAAGTTGGACTGGAGCGCCCCCGTGAAAGTAAAAGCTACGTTGATTGAACTACTCTGACACGTACATAATGCGCACTCACATTATAATGGGGGCCTCATGTACTAACTGCCGGTGTACTCTTTCCATATGGCATTCAAGTACGGCGGCTCAGTGGATGAGCTGCAGCGAGGTAACCTGTACCAAATGAAAGGTCGTTGACGCTATGAACTTCGTAACCACTGGATTTGGCTCAAGCTCACCTAGTATTTGGTCATGTAGGTCCACAGTTACGAGATTCCGATGTCGCCATCTTCACCATACATACATCAAGAACATGATATCTTACTTTCAGGGAGACAGCAGATGGTAAAGTCTTCGGTCAATTACACAGTCCACTTGGTCAATCATAAATCTTATATAGGTGCACGATTTCATCCAGACGGGTTGTCAGCATCTCATGCTGCGTTCACCGAGAGCGGTCAGTCTGAGTGTGGACAGGATCTGTTTTTGGCAGCTATCATAGACTCGGAGCTACCGGACGCGACAGTCACAGTGCACGTGATTGAATAGTCACAGGAGTGTTGTACGGGCCTCAGATTAGAAATATTGTCCCGCGATGCCACGCACTTGCATCCAGGGAGTTGGTACGAATTTCTTTCCAATTATGAGTATGGGAAGGACTTGTATTCACGGAAGCATGGATACCTCCATCTTCACTGTACTGATGCTACGCTTGAAGGACCCACAGAACCAGTTCTTTAATGTTGGGAACAACAACGTGGCGCCCCATCTTTACCCACACCCTCGTCAACCAATCTGCAAGTACTGTATGAGCTGCCTTCCAACAGCGGCGGGTCTATGAATATTCACGACTCGATTCCTATATGTTTCAGACTGTCAAATTCCATGCTACCTCTGTGGAAGATTTGATCCTTCGAACTATCGTCAGTACTTTGTGCAAGAGAAAGGTATGTTGCTGAGCGCGGACTCCTGAATTAACCACTGATAGAACCCCCTGCTACACGTGTCGTGATCGAGCTTTTAGGTTTATTCTTGGGTATGGCCTCTTCGAAGCTCGGAACAACCTCACCTGCGAAGGCCGCCAGCGCGCCCAAACTACGCCAACGCAATAATAAGATTATCCTGCACAGATTATATTGTGCATGATATAGAAATTGGAAGGAACGTGAGTGCTGATGTATGCTGTCCATGTGAAAAGGGCGTGTGATTGGGCAATATTCGATATCGGCCCTCCGTCGAGAACAGGTCGTATTCACGGTCGTGCTGTACGCGTATATGCATTGCTTGGTTTCGGAAAGCGACCATCAGCTCTCCGAATACTATCTCCCAAGTAAGTGATGTACCTTCGTGTCCGGCGCATATGGATTATGCGATCAAGCACCAGCAATGCTGATCCGCGCCGTTATCCCTCTCCGAGTCGGAGGGACTTGATACGAAAGGGAGGACATTCTGCGCGCTCGTTTCGGAGGCTGAGTTAGTCCCGTCCAGCAGGACATCATCGACCATGAAGATGGCGTCCATAGCAATGGGCGGAGAGTGATTTGGTGGCACCGGGCCTGAACTTGATATTATGGGAATTGTAGGTTTGGATTATAGTCATCACTACGGTGAGGATACCTCTATTTATACCAGGGAGTAATCCTTATCCTCAAGATTACTGGTTGAAGACCACTCTCAGGTACGTCCTTGTACTGCCTCCTACCAAAAGCGGCATTCCTTGTTTTCTGTTAGCCCCGTTCGGACCGGTTTACCCCAATGTCCACAGGGACCCACTGATACGTATGAGCACCCAACATGCGTCAGACGTACATTTGACGAGCTCTCTCGGGCATCTCTGCATTGTCTGTGTGACACAACGTGTTCTGGGGCTGCCGAGGGGCTACCGCAATTGCTCCCATAGATCTTTGCAGGGTTCTGACTCTTACGCGCGTCGTGATTCTTTCCGCTTGTCTATTCTCTGGGCTCGTATGGTGCCGGGGACTGACACGCCCAACAACCACCATACTTACCTGGCCACATGCCCTGCGCACTCAACTAATGCCGCCCGCTGGTACACAGAGGCCATCTCTGCGCAAGGCAACTTATCATGCCTAACATGAGCTGGTCGATGGAACGCCACAAGGGGATCATCTGGTTATGATGACCAAATGTTTGCTCCCAGCTCGAGTGCGACCTCCCCTAAGGCGGCTCGGAGCCTACCGATTCGCTACGCGATACTTGACTCCGAAGTCCCTCATCCTTTCTCGCTATGTATTATCATCTCTTGGGTGTCTCGCTTGCCTTCATGCTCCATGATGCTACCCCGGGAAGGCCGTCGGGTATCTCGCACATTCCTGGGCTCGGCTACTGGCTAACCTCATAATGCCACTGGCCTGGTCTCTGACATGTAGCGGACGTCCCCTCAGAGTGTTCTTGTTCTCTGAAAGGAGTCTCTTGTCTCCGTCACGTCAAACTGGTGTATCTCGCCCATCTCCAAAAATCGGTCCACTGGTTTTATACTGTTCAGAAAGATGCCCCCCAGGACCTCTGAATCTCAATGAAGCTCTCCACATATGTCGGATAGGACGTATCCGCTCTTCCCTGTCGTGGCTGCCCTTGGGTTCACCCTTGTGCTTATTCCCCTGCCTTGGCATCTCCGCTCGTGGAACTCCGGGATATCTTACTACATCGCCTGGGTAGCCTTGGGCTGCCTCGTTCAGTTCATTGACGCCATCGTATGGCACGATAATACGTTGAATCTCGCTCCAGTGTGGTGCGATATCTGTTAGTACCTTCTGAAGCCTTCGAATATACGCCTGACTCTGAGAACTGAGAACTAGCGACTAGGATACTTGTTGCTGCGTCCTTCGGCATACCCGCGGCATCACTCTGCATTCAGAGACGACTCTATCGAATTGCGTATATGAAGTTCTCCGCAGATCAGGCCGCGGTAAGGCATCTGCTTTTAGCCTTCGCCTGGAAGCACTAATCGATCTTACCAGCCGCGCCGGTCCGTGGTCATAGACAGCATCATTTGTGTGCTAATGCCTACGATCTACTTGGGTTTCTGTACGTTTCCTCTTACAATTTCTCAGTGGACATAATGATACTTAGGGAATCCGTTAGACTACGTCGTAGAAGGACATCGCTTCGACATCTTCGAAGATATCGGTTGCTTACCCGTCTTCTACAACACGATACCAACCATTTTCTTGATATACATATGGCCCCTCGTCCTGGGTCTCATATCAGCAGTCTACTGCAGTACGCCCGTGATCTATACGCGTCAACCCGGTTTCCTGATGTTCTCAACAGCGCTCTCCATGATCGCCGTCATCCGACGGCTAAATGAGCTTGACAAGCTCTTTGCCTCCACCCCGAATATGAATACCAGTCGTTATCTTCGCTAAATGGGGGTAGCCTGCATGGGATGGGTACTGACCGTTCCCATCGCGGCGTATCTGATTTATCTCAACGCGTACGCTTTGAAGCGTTGGGTCAGTTGGTCGGATACCCACTACGACTTCTCTCGCGTGGGTCAAGTACCTGCAGTAGTATGGCACCAGGATATACGCACTGCCGTGAGCGTTGAGCTCGATCGCTGGTTATTTCCCGCTTGTGCTTTCATTTTCTTTACGTTATTTGGACTCTCTGAGGAGGCTCGCCGACACTATCATGCGGGGTTCACTAGTATCTTGCCATGCATGCGGTCTCGGTGACGTTCACTACTGTATACAATTGGATTATGCGACATGCTACAAGCAGATTTACAGAGAAGTTTCAAGTTTGACAACTGGGAAGGAGGGGGGCAGGAAATACATGGAGCCCGAATCCTAGTAGGCAAGAAAGGTGTATGCTACATGATTCACATGTCCGATGATATAAGAAAGAAATCCTACCAAGGATCCACCGCCTAGACGATATCAATCGTGCTTATGTGAGGTGACGGTCTCACGGATAACGGCGCATCGAGATCGTGCCGAGGCACAGACGAAACGTGAATGAAGTGGTCGTCGGGCCACTGCAGCTCCAATGCTTCCGACGGATGGGGTTCAGCTGACGACGGCATCACAGCCCGTTGCCCTGAGAATGGGCGATCCGTCTTGCTTTCGTGCCCGTCCATGAAGGAGTCAATATCGCCCAGTATTATCACAGAGTCGAGTCTATCTGAGAACGATAGGTCTGAATCTCTCTGGGGTCTACGGTGCGTGTTGAGATGGAGGGGGAGAGTGATGTTCAGCGGTCCGCGCACGTTAACAGGTCCTGGCTTTGTTTTCCAACTGACAGAACTGAGGGTATTGAGCGGTAGATAAAACAGCATGAATAGGAGGTAACGACATACACAGACGAGCCTGGTGCTTTTGACTCCGATACCGACTCGTACCCAAGGCATTTCGCAACGAAGACGTACAAGCGACGATAATGCTTTAACGCTTCATCGGCAAATCCAAAAAACGCAAAGAAGATGAAAGCGCAGATGACCGTGAACCAGCGGCTAGACTCGAGAGACGCTTGCAGCACAGGATTCGATCTCCAGATTACAGCCGGGACCTGGTCGACCTTCGAAAAGTTGAAATGCGTGTCTTCCCAAGAGATCCAGGGTTGTACTGGGAATGAGGTGACGTTGAGGTAGATCGTATAGATGGAGAGGGGGATGCCGCAGAGCACCTCGACGCCGGCGAGAGCCATGAGACGGAAGTAGCGGCTGGAAGTGAGATTCGTGTGAGGGGACAGGAATTTGCTGAACTCGGTCTTTCGTTTCACAAATTGGCGGATCGAGAGGGCTGCGTAGTATGTTAGAGCATTGTACAAACACTTGCAGGTTTAAACATACCTGAGTAAACTGCGGATACCATGGCTATGGCTAGCGGCCATACTTTGGAGAGAGGATAGGCAGGCCAGGTATTGTAGATAAATGGTTCGCAGCCTATATCTTCGAAGATATCAAACCGATGCCCTTGGACAATGTAGGCTGCCCTAGAGTCAGATAGAGCATGGGATTGAAATGAAGCCACGCACAAAGAATCATCTGCAAGAACGGTATACCCAAGCCAATGGCAAGGTCAATCATTACACCTCGGCGTTTCTACTCACGAATGATTACGCTCCAATTCATACAAGCCCCGAACACCACATACCTCCTGCCGAGTAACTACAACAGCTTCAACTTTGGAAATATGATACAGTCGACGATTTATGCATAGGGACGCGGCAAGGATGGCGACGCTGGAGCCAATATATATTCTACTAGCTGAGTAGGATGGGTACTTAGATTGTTGAAATCCGCATAATGCATAGTAGACTCACAGATGTCGCACCATACTGGGGCCCAATTAATGGCATTATTGTTCCACACGACAGAGTTGATAAAAAGGTTCAAGCATTGGATGGCTGTCCAGCCCATGTAAAGGCACGTGCCCGTGTTCCATGCTGAAGACGAGGTGAGCGAACGTTCAGCAGATACATCACCTGGCTGGCGCACCTTCTAAATGCCAGTAAAACGGTATTAAGACGAGGACGAAGCCTATGAAGGAGAACGCAGAAAATACGGAATTGGGGACGTCGGTAAGCATAGAAGGTAAAGAAAGTACAGGTGGTCAACACACTACAAGATAGCAAAGAATGATAGCGAAAGCACTGGATGAGAAGACGCAGAGAGGGCGAGAGTCGTAGCGCCGTCCTCGACCCTTAAGGATAGTCGAGGCCGTATACTCGCATACCCATTCATCCTCTTCAGGGTCTTACCTTAGAGCCAGGTATGGAAGCCTACAGCGTCCTCATGAGAAAAGAGGGCTGGTCGATTTTTCACCATTGCATCTGGATAAATCCCGGCAGTTTACTTTGTAGCTCAATTAGGATCTCCGTATGTACTTGCCGGCATGTCGACCGCCACCGGACGACCTTGTGCCAAATGAGGCCGGTGGGCAGCATTTGACTGTGCATCCTATCGCCAGCATACTCCCCCCGGTGCACACAAACGTAACGCTGACGAGACACAGCTTTTGTCCTTGACAGGATGAACGGTGTGTAGCAGGATGTAGATAGAACCTAACTGACAGTAGCGATAGGGTCCAGCTTGATCGGCATATGCCGGCGGCACGTTCCGTCTACCCAAGACATGGTAAGCCCCTGGTCCCTGCGGTTCCGCCGGATTCATAACAGATTCACTCTGAATGTAACATTGGATATATTGACTTCTTTGAAGACAATCCATCGGTCAGTAACACTCGGAACAGATGAAAGACAACATTTTCAACGCAGGTACACCAGCTACCAGTGGAGGTGTCGCATCAAGCACTGAAGAATCAAGATTGTGATTGAACTCATATCGCTGAAATGACTTCGCCAGCAGATCACCCTGCCAGAGGACGCGGTAGGGGTAGAGGGAAGTCTCGCGGAGGTTTAGGAAAGTATCTTCGCGCTAGAGGCCGAGGTCGCGGACGGAGTCGCCCAGCCGAGTTCGGGAAACGTCTGGTCCTCGAAGGTGAGGAGGAGGAAGAATTGGATCCGGACTCCGAAGAGGCGAAGGAGTTCGCTCGCAAGTACTCGCGGCGAGAACTTGGCTCGAACGCCGATCGATATGTCGAGCCCGAACCCGAGCTAAACTCGGACGGTAAGTTGTATCCAACAGAGACGCTCGATCTGCCTATCGCATCGCTAACGAAAAATCAGGTGAGGTTGAGGAAGAGCCTGAAGTAGATCTGTCCGCGTTTCTTGCCCGCCAGCGTCTCTCGCCAGAACCAGATCCCTCGTCTTCCGCGCCCCCTCCACCCGACGAGGAAGTGGACGAGAGCCTTGATTATCTAGATACTGGTGCATCTTCCGCTCGAAGCAAACCGAAGAAGGGCAAAGCGCAGACGATCGAATGGGACGAGAAACTAGAAGAGCTAAGCCGTGAAAAAGCTATCGCTGACGCCAGTAGAGGCAAGCACTTCCGCAATGCTGTTCGAGAATCCTGGATAATTGCTAAGTCCTACTCAGAATTGAAAGAACGCTTCAAGGCACAATCCAGCCAACAACGGTTTCGGCCTGTGGTACCCGGCGGCGAGAAAGACAAGAAAAAAGGCACGTATGAAAATATTCGATTTATTCATTTACATTTACTCATGTCACGCCGCTAGGAAAGGAATATGTCGAAGCACCGCCTCTTCCAATCGAGAATACAAATCGTGCGAAGGACCAGAAGGAAGAGATGCAAGACTTTCTGGACGATTTGCTTGGATAGGCAACTCGCGTGTGTAGGAACCCACAACCCTCGTTTCAATCCGTCGTTCAAGCTTGTCCTTGTTTCTAAACCCGTTCTTCTGAGCTCTCCCTCATTTTGTAGGGGACGACCCTAGGCCTACTCGACGTGATTGTTCCGAACTGCTCTGTGGCGACTCAAAGGTCCCTCCGATGGTGCCAATGAGTGATCCACACCCCTTTTCAGCATATTGCCTCAGGCCTCAGATCTTATACTTTGCTTGAGCCACAGTCATCTAGACTCTCGACTGTCTTCGCAAGAGTTTATGCGCCGCTTTGAAAGCAGTCACCGTCCCGTGGCTTGCCGACTCTGTTTCCATCATCGTATCACTGTGCTGTGGCGAGGTGGGCCTTCCGCAGCAGTCTCGAGTGGCTTGGTTGATTTCGTCGCATTATAAACTTCTTTGACTTTCTCCCGCTTCGATAGACGCTTGTTGCGGTCGTGGCTTACCTACACCACAATATCGGCAACAGGATGGCAATCCGTGGATGCCATGTCCAGGTAAAATTCTCGGCTGATAATACAAGGGAGGAAGGCCATGCCACACTCAAGCACGGGCGGTCGTCTGTGTTCATCTATAAACGACATTAATATAAAAATACTGGTATTGGTCGCATTGAAGTGTCTAGGGATACAGTTTGGAGGAAAGAAATACAAAATGACCGAGGGACTCTTGTCAGCATCATTGCTAGTGTTTCGCATCAGAGGCAAATGAGTATGGATGTAAGCTATGAGCATCTGAATGGGACAGAAGGTCGTAAAAAATAAGTTAACGGGACTGGTATGAGCGGCGCCACAGGCGCTAGGAACGTGATAATTAGACGATATGGATGACATCCGAGTCCTGTTGACGAGGTGCTGTCATCATCTCATCCGATGGGCTCGACGGATGCGGCATCGCTACGGGGCAGACGGACGGAGGGGAGAACGGTCGATGAAACGCGGGGACAGCAGGTCGGTCGTACTCTGGCGAGGTCGGTCGAGATGCGACGTACGCCTCGGATATCGATATGTGGTGGTTAGGATCCGTCTCGAACGGCAGATGATTAATAGTGGGACATTCGCTGGTGGCCGGAGATGGCGGCAACGACGAGGATGAGTGGAAGGTTGTAGCGTCCTTGATCTTGGCGGGTTCAGGTAATGTCGGCGTAGACAGCCCGTGCGACTTCTCGACATTGTAGCCGGGCGAGTCGACATCGGTGGTCGCGAATGATGAGGTGAAAGACATCCCTCCTTTCTTCTTGAAGTCTGGACTTGATGGAGAGTACATCGGCGGAGGCCCGCTGGACATGATGGGGGGTTTGGGACGGACGAAACTAACAATTGGAATTCGTTCAGCTGAGAGAGGACATGAAGTCTGAAAGAAGACACTAACCTAGTCGGGAGAGTAGCTTGCAGCTTCTTTGCAGGAGGCTTGAGTCCGAATCGCTTCGCAATCCACCAGAACAACATACTATAATGTCTCCTGGCTTCCTCGGCGAAACCGAACAAAGCAAAGAAAATGATGCAGCAAACAGGGAAAATCCAGCGGGATAATTGGACAGATGTATAGTAAGACGGGTCGTTCATCCATATTAGCGCTGGAACTTGACCGACACGCGAGAAGTTATAATGCGTGTCCGACCACGAAACCCAAGGTGCGATGGGGACGCCCTTGTTGTCAATGTAGATGCTGTAGATCCCTATCGGAATGGTGCAACAGATTTCGCAGCATGCGAGCAGCATCAATCGGAGGTATCGACTTGCGTTCATTGCTTGGGCTGAAGTGGCGAACTGGCTGAACTGGATGCGACGGATGAAGAAGTTACGCAAGGATAGTGCTATACCAAAGTCAGCCACCTCATCTATCTATTACAGCCGGCACATTACTCACCTGCATACACGAAAGAGATGCAGCCTAGTAGTGGTGGCCACATGAACAAGAGGAAGTACGCGGGAAGCGTGTTATATGTTGCCGGCTGGCACCCAATATCTTGCAATATGTCAAAACGGTGACCTAGGCCATTGTGTCAATTCATGGGACGAGAGACGGTTCTGTGAGCTATTCACCTTGCACGATATAATCTGGAAAGAAGCCCTCAATAAGCCAGAACGGTACAACTCACGAAGAACAACTCACGAAGAATCATGATCAGCAGCGGAATACCGAGGCCAATCGCAAGATCGGCTATTACAGCACGCTTTTTCTGTAAGTCACGGGCGGTTAGGGCTGCTGAATGGGTTCCAAGAGCGGGACGTACATCTTGCTTGGTCATGTTAACGGACCGTATGGACGATAGGAGATACAGACGCCTGACAATACACAGAGATGCCGCCGGAATTCCGACTCCTGCACCGATGAAGAATTTGGTTGCTTTAACGAATGTCAGGAACTCGATACGCATATAACTACTGAACGCCGACACTTACATATATCGCACCACACAGGTGCTATGTTGTCTATCCTTCCATCCCAGACTACTGCATTGACGAACATATTCAAGCTACCTAAACCAGCCCAGAGCATGTAGAGGCAGGTGCCCGCGTTCCATGCTTGGAGATGCCAGGACAAAGGCGTAAGGGCAAGGATGAACCCAAGGAAAGAGAAAACAGGGAAGAGGGGATATGTGGGATCTGTGAGAACCATGTTTTCTCGCGAGGCGAAACGCCAGAAATGAGGAGTCCCGAGCGCAGGGAGACGCCATTTTATGCATGCAATTAAGGACAATGCAAGGGATGCGGAAGCTTATCTCGCCTAAAAGGGCAGGAAGCTGTAGTGGTAGTGACGTGACAGTTGTCACGCCTCGGGGATCGGCCCAGCCGGCCGGGGCCCGCCCTACCTTCCAGTTGGCCGCAATGGCTTGCACTTGAACGCTGCCACAACCTCGCCCTGGCTAGCGGCACTCACAAAACTAAACGGTTTGGTCATGCCAAGATTGATTTAATATCAGGGTTTACCCTCTTTTTTAATATCACCTTCGTCCATGGCGTAAATTATTGTGCTCTCTGGTGCGGATATTATATTAGTTGATCCCTCATTGTAGTCTCATTTTTGGAATTGGATTAAAGGCCAAATGTGCAAACTATTCAGATTCCCGTATTTCGCAGCGCACCCGTGGCATGCATGCATGCAGCACCCTAAGATGCACAGACATTGATTTCGTGGCGGTGGCAGTGGCTGCCACGACATACATACCTAAAGGCTGATTCCCGCGATGGACGGGATATCGTGACATGTCACAATATCACTTGCCATATTCGGTCGGACACTAGAACCGCACTCTCTGCCCAGAATGGACAGTGCAAAGAGCAGGCAGCACCCTGGTTTCAAAGCGTATTGTCATGCGCCTCATCCCTTCACTATATATTGCCCCCAATGTCTCCCCATCCCACCTCTTCACTCAGAACTTCGCCCACATATCCGCGACCTCCCTTATTGGATTACTCGCTCTTCGCCGCTGTCAGCGTGCGCACTCCAAGCAGCTTAACAAATAACCGCTATGGACGAATACGAGTTCATCAGCAATATTATTGCCCTCGACGTTGAGGACGACCCCGCATGCGATGCACCGCTCGACATGGAGCACCCAGGCTGTGCGACCCAGCACGCCTGGTGCGTCATCGCATGATGACAGCTTGCATGATCTGTATGTAGCCATTGCGTTTACTTTACATGCGACATTTGACTGACAAGGGCATGTGAAACAGTGATGTGCAGCATCTCTTTGCTCTCTTCTTCCACGTCCATCGGTAAGACCGCCTTCTGCAGGTAATCTCCCCATTTCTTGTCACCTTGCGGTTTCTGATGCGAGTTCATTCATAGCAGAAATGAGACACTCCCCTCTATGCTACTTAGCCCGCAGTTGATCTGCGTATTCCGGGTCTCTTGGTCTATCTTATTCGTCCGGTACACTGCCTTTCCTCTTTATCTTCGGTTTGCTCTCTCTTCTGGGTTATATCTTGTAGCACTAGTTTCCGCCTGTGTTTCTGTATCGGTAGCGTCGGCTGATTGTACGAAGGAGATACTCACAGGACGTATCAAATCCGCTTGTATTCTATTGCTCTCGGTTCGGTCGTACAACTGGTGCTCCGGCTACTAGTAGTACGAACCAGAAACATTCTCTCACGATGTATCTCTTTGCTACTCTTGTACTGGACTTCTAGTTTCAGTGCCTATGACTTGCCTATGACGGCCCGGTATTTCCGGAGGCCCATTCTTCGCCTAAAGTAGTGATACAACTGCCTTATTAGTTCCCTTTGGACTCGTTATATGCCGACTGCCCTCCACCTGCCTTATAAGGGAGGCATTTAGTCGGTCGCCTTTGGGAGACTACCTTTGGACGCTCCATTGTGCCCATGGACCGTGGGCTCAAGAGTACTCAAGCAATACCTTTATAGTTTAGTCTAGGTTTGCTGATTGGTGGTGTTCATGGTTCTTCTGTATGTAAGTTACAAGGTCTGGCCTAGCCAGGCTTGTGGCGTGGACGCGACGGGGCTAATCACGTGGTCCCACTGTTCTCCCAAAGCAGTAGTGCTCCTACTTACCTAAATCGGCTGCGCATGCTTTCCATTGTTTCAATGCGCAGTCGTCCTTCGCCTTCTTACCCTCCGACCGCCATGTTGGCTGAGCGCAGGCTTCCTACAGGTTCAGTGTCCCCTGAGGTCCGAGATCAAGCGGCCATCACGCTCAGCTCCCCTCTGAGGACGACAAAAACTATGAAAGAAAGCTTGTCTGCGGAAAGAAGTCCAGTCAGGATGAAGGCGGAAAGATATCTTCAACATTATTTTAAAAGAAAAACCATCGTTCAAGCCTCTCAACGTTATGAAATGCTCTGGACCGTCAGGAGCATTATAGGGGCGCGACATTGCCCCGGCTCCCGCCCAGCACGTCTGAGAAATCGAGTGGGGCAGAAGGGACGCGTCGAAACGAATATCATTGTCGTCCGGCAAGATAAAATGACTAGGTCAATTTTTGAGCGTCACGTCCGGCAAGCCCTATTCTAGTCCATGTTGAGTGAACAAAGGAACGGCACACGCGCCCGACACGCTCAAGCAATGTCGCTATCCGCATCAACATGGCCGGAGCTTCATTTCAGAACATGTGCTTCATGATCAACTGCATGCGGCAAAAATACGGAGAAGATGTAATGCTGAGGTGTGAATAGCAGCCGGTACGTCGACTTATCCATTGTTCTCAACACTTGGGATGTCTTCTAGCGCGTCCTGCTCTCGTCCGATCCCCGATCTTCCGTCTTGCTGGGAGTCAGCTGCAAGACAATCGTTTTCAGTGAAGTCAATCCGGGACGGGGACGAACATCATCCTGCGTGACCAGAAGTGCCGGGTCCTCATCATGAATCCGAAGTTATCCTGCGAGACTTTTGGTACCAGAATCAGACAGCACAAGCCCCGGCAGTGAGACACCGGAATATTTCTATATCGTCCAGTGTCCCTAGGCCCCATTAACATGGCACAGGAACCTGACGATAAGAGGAAGGAACCGGAACCGCCTCTTTCTCGTGCGGAGTCAATAAAAGTGCCATACTTCATGGAATATATACGCACTGAAGGGACAGGAGCTACGTATGCGGCCGTGCAGCCCCTTGGGCTCGAAGCCTACTATGCCAAACTCAGTCCTCAACCGAGATTGGAGCTACCAGAGCAAAGGGACATAAAACTGGAGAAAGCTCACATAATTAACTCGAGTTGGGAAGAATCCCTAGCCTGCTAGGCACCCAAATATCCACAAGTCATATGCAGATACCTGACGTGCCTTGAGACTCGGGTTTGACTGGGATGCAGAGGTGGAAATCAGGCTTCAAACTGTCTGTAAGCTTGAAGTGTAGTACGGAGGATTTCGGGGTATATCTGCGTGCACAGAGGAGAGCATGTCGGACGTCCAGGAGCGAAGCGACAAGTCGACGCAAGTTGGAAAAGACATTGGCAAACAATTGGTTGGTGCTCTCTGGATGCGCGGGATACTGCTGTGTGGAACTCGGACTTCCAGTGCTGGGAACGGGGAAACCGATAATAGGGCAAAATTACGGTAGTGCCACAGGGCAGCGTGTTCATGCATACCAACAGCATAATGCCTTCGCGTGGTTCCCATTGTACGACGAGTCCAGTATGGAGGAGGGCAACTTTGCTCGACACAACCGGTTTTCAAGGCAGGACGAGCGTATTGCCGAATACGGAATGATCTTTCCAACTCCGCCAGATAATGCCCGTGACAGGTCACAATTGTTCTTTCTTTTGTGGCGTTCAATGTCTGGCCCCTGTGGACCGACTCGTCTTGCATAATGCATTTGTTCTCGGACCATGACGGTCCGCCGATTGTGGAAAAACGCAGCGAGCCACAATGTGGATGATTTTGTGGCTCGACTCGCCGTTGTCCTATGATTTTGTGGCCCTATGGCGCTCGACCAGCGATGCGACGGCTCAACTCTCCATTTATTGTTTCCTCTGACCTGTAAAAGGCGCGTCGCGCTGTACCCTGTATCCCCAACATGCTAGTACACTCGAACCACCGCTATTTTTCTCTGCACCACCCTCCTCGTCCGCGAAGGTTAGACTCTCCGACGCGATACAGCGCACCCCATTGCCCGCACACAACTGCCCAGCTACATCATCACCACAAACATCATACATGGATTCATTCCTGCCAATCGAGTTAGCTGGTGCTTTCGCACCGGATAATTCTGCGACGGCCGATAACCCCGCCCTCGACCCCTCTGTCCCCCGCGACGAAGACTCGTGGTGGGGCTACGGCAGTTACTGCGTCGTAGCTTGACGAGATATTGTACGTTCGCCGTTTTCATCGCGCCGATGGCTCGTTCTGACGCGGCCTTAGCTTTCAGCAGATGGTCAGGAATCACTGCAAACGGTCAAGGGCTTCTGCGTTGCCCGTGATGGACAGTTAGACTCTATAGGTTGATGAGGAAGAGAGCGCGTGGCTATAAGTTATCTGTATCGTTATTCGCTTCCTTGCCGTTTGTATCAGATATTGTTCGGTTTTCAGACGCCTGCCAGTAGTACAACTTGTATCGCTATCGCGGAACCTATACCATTGAAGCTTGATATCCACCTGCGGATCGCTCCTACCTTGCAGTCAATATTTCGGCCGATGTGCGCAGTTTGCGCGATCCAATGCATCTGTGCACCAAACGGTCCAAGCCTTGCTCTGGTGAGCGGTGGCGACGGCCTCCGCATAGGCATCTCTGTGAGCCCTGCGCGGTCCAAGCAACTGCGACTTGTTGATAACTCGCACTACCTGACGAGAGAAGACCTGCATTTTTCCAGCTGAAATGGATCCTGGGCAGTTTTGTCCGTCTGCCATCGCGAGGGGGGGGGGAGCCAAGATGGGGTCCTTCAATCAGCGTCTCTGGTAGTTCGGGAAGTTGGTGCGTTGAGTACTCTACATTATGTCTACATAGACTGCCGACAGATGTCGGGGGCCACGGCGCGTCATGATCAGGTGACGGCGAAACACGGTGCACGAATGTCAGTCGAAGTCACTCAGCAACGACAAGAGTCCGACTGGGATACCCACTGTCACGTTTGTAGTCGACAATAGACATGGACTATTCAACCGGAGACTGGATCTTGTAGTGGACGCTAGACGCATCCAAATTCACACGACTTCTCGGCACGGCATTCCCACGAGCCGTTTGTATTCTGTATCAGGCTCATTGTGTGGGTATAACAGTGCGTACAACAACTCGTGCTTGTGTTCACATTCGGGACAGGGCTTGAATCCATTGTCCCTTCGACATTATGCAGGCCGTTTATACAGGCGACGCGAAGATGCCTCGAGCCTCACTCCGTCCCCGGGAGTCTGCTCACCTTTTCTTTTTCTCTGACCCTCTCCATGTTTGCTGGTCTCCCTGTGGGTGCCTTCCTCGCTGCGCTGCTCGTTCTTGTCCCCCTGCCCTGGCATTGGCAAGCTCGTAACGTCGCCACGCTCTCCATTATTGCATGGCTTTTCGTCGTCAACATAATCTACGGTATTAACGCTATAATATGGGGCAGTGATGCCATAATCAGGTTCGCACCGTGGTGCGACATCGGTGCGTCCTCACATTGCTCGCAAATACGGTGTACTCACCACCACCATTTCTCCAGTTACTAAAATACAGATTGGATCCAACGTTGCGTTGCCTGCTGCCTGTTTCTGTCTGGATTGGAACTTGGCCAGCGTCGCCTCTATCAACCGGGTCCGAATTACTACTCAGGATAGACGCAGGCGCCGTATCTTCGAACTCGTGATTTGCTGGGGAGTACCTGCTGTGTATATGACATTACGTAGGTGTCACTCGTGTTGCAACTGCGGAAGCGTACTCAAGTCTTGTCTGTAGATTATATCGTGCAGGGTCACAGGTTCGACATCGTCCAGGGATTCGGCTGTCGACCGACTACATACGTCTCCTGGCCGGGCGTACTAATTATCTGGGTCATCCCCCTTCTCTTTACTCTAGCAGCGTGCCGATTCGCAGGTGAGCTGTCATTCACTCCAGCCAGGCCCGCCACCTGACCCTGACGTCTCCTTCAGGTCTCGCCTTATATTACTTCATCCTCCAACGAGCCATGTTCTCCAAGCACCTACAGAGCACCAACTCTGGACTTACCCCAAGTCGGTACCTGCGCCTCCTGGCGCTGTCCCTCGCCGAAATGTTCTGGGGCCTCCTTGTCACCATCCTCAACATGCGCTTTTCGCTGCAGGCGGGGCTGCGTCCGTGGATCTCCTGGGAAAACGTGCATTCCGACTTCTCGCGCATCAACCAGTACCCGCTGCTTGCGATACCGAGCACGGCGCTGTCGTGGACGCTGTTCCTCTGGTGGACCGTACCGGTGTCGGCGATGCTGTTCTTTCTCTTTTTCGCCTTTGGGGAAGATGCGATGAGGGAGTATCGCGCTGCCGTCGGGTGGGTCCGCCGGACTGTCCTTCGCCAGAGCGTACAGAGCGAGAATAAGTATCCATTCTCGAGCTCATCTCACTCTACGTATGTGCACCCCCCCTCTCTCGCCCTTGTCTCATTCACATTTCTCCTTCCAGTCTCCCAACACGCCCCAAGAGCCCGCTGGTCATCTCTATCGGCCACGAAAAGCCCGTCATCGAGACAGCGTTCCCTACGCCTACTTCGAGCACCGCCTCGGACTTTCAAGAGACGAAAGCTGAACTACCCATCCCGCTGTCTCCCGTGTTCCTTGCCCAGTCGATGCGCTGCCCGTCCAGCATGACCGGCAGCCGCGCTACGATCGCTAGCTACTATTATAGTCCCCCTTCTCCCGGCAGCTCAGACGAGCGTCGTCCGCAGTACGTCTCTCATTCTCACCAGATGGTGTAGCTTGACTTCGTTGGCTCTCGTGTGTATCCTGATCTTCTCGTTGTCCAAGTCACAGTGTCCTGTATTCCCGTCGAAATTGGCATTCGCAGTCGTACTCAATTCACATTCAACTGACACTGATGCTCATACTCATGCTCATACTCACAGTCATAGCCACATTTGTTACAGGCCTTATTCCACAGCTTCTGTCGGATGTACACGTACTATTTATCGTTACGAAATACAATTTTTTTGTGATCTACGTGCCTTGTCGCCAATCTGTGTGTTGCGATATACTTATACCAACCTCGCATTTTCCGATTGATAAGATTGGAGGTTGCGGATGCAAATGCTCAGCGAAACTTGCTGCTTCTAATGCATCCCTTCTAAGTACTGAGCTTCACGCTGCGGTGTTGCGTTGAGTCGTCTGGGTGTACCGGAGCGGTTGGGATATTGTCCTCGAAAACGCATTGTCCCGTACACCTCTTGGCTTAGGGAGGATATTCATGTCATCGCCCCCTTACAGTGAACAACCACAGATAATTAGACGTGATGACAGTCCATGATTTTTGACGAGGGCACATATTTTGTGAAGCGTTGATGCGCAAGAGTTGGAAAACAAAATGCGCGCAGATGTAATTTCGTCGGGATACAGATACATCAGGAACACTACTCATGTACGAGTCATTTATCTAGAGGCTACACTTTATACAGGGAATGGAACAGACACCGTTACAGTAAGGCATTTCAAGCAAAACTGAAGAATGAATGAAAGAGGGGTACGATCAATCAGCCCAATGGAAACAAAACTGCTAAATGAGTTGGGCGTGGATCAACGCGCCGGAACCGACGAGTATAGATGCACACAGTCGCATGTCTTGTGATGCGGCACTATCTATGAAGAAGTCTATTAGATGTCCTCGAAGTATGATCAGGGGATGGCGTATTACTCACGGATATATATGTTGAATAAATTAGTATTGTTGTGGGTCTCCGCTTGAAGCGAGAGATTCAACTGATTGTGCACCACCAGCCCCCTCCGCTGCTCCACGCCTCAGAATCGACTGGAACGGAGGAAGTGGTGATATCGGTGCAGTCCGCCGAGGTCGTGTCCAACGAGAGTGACAGCTCGAGGATGAGTGACTCGAAGGAATCCATTACAAGGATGCGTGGTTATGGGTGCTCGTTGTGGCGCTGGCTGTCGCGGTGATTATGCCTACCGCTGATGCGGGTGAAAGTGCGACGAAGGACGAAGAGCGAAGAGCGAAGACAGCTGAGCGAAGTGGATCGCAGAGTATAGACAACGGGTTGAATATGAGGGGGGCAGACATTGCTGTATGACCTTTATACGTGTATACCAGGGACACCATGCGGCAATATACATAGTCAAGCCACGGTACCGACAGTGTCCCCATTGCAGACTCACGACGAACGCTATGATGCGACAGAAAAGCTGTTCAATGGGACTCACCGACGAGACGACTACGTCGACATTGTCATCTAAAATGGGAAAGACGACCTCCTGTGAGAGACGCAGCACGAGGTCATTTCACCGCTTCAGTCTTTGCGAACACGACCCTGCCTGTCAGGCCGAACAAAGAGCAGGAGTACTCTTCGGACGAAACAATGTAGGCCATATAAGGTAGTCTAGCCTTTTGTCAGACCGTGGGACCAGGCCCTAGTACCCAGCTTGTCTAGCATTGCGGTCACGGTCACGCTGGTTTCTTGCAGAGCTCTCGCGTCCTAGTGATGTTGTAGCTCTCTGACAGCACTCTACTGGGTCATTGTCTTCCAGAATCGCAGTTGTTGTCCGTCTTGATTTGCTAACTTTCTTAGGAGACACCGGCGGGGAGGAAAACACCGGCATGCTTTGCAAAGCTACTCTACCTCATGCCAGCGCACATGTACATTGTCTTCACTATCCCGCCCCTACGCGCACTTCCCCGGATTGCTTTCCTATCGTACTTCTTGTTGAGTGTATGCCTATATTCGACTCCCCTCCTGGTTCGCGCTCTATTGGGAACGGGGATAAAGTCCCCGACCTCCCCCGTATACGCATCATATTCGCTCTAGACCCCCTTTTGCTTGAGTTGTAATGGACGCTCGAGAGAACTCAATAGAAACCAGTAGGTCAACCTTCCATAGTGAATCTTTTGCGCGATAGTATCCTCTCCGCGATGCAACGCTGATTGCACAGCTATGCCCTACGCCGCTGCTAGCTGGCTAACCTGCGGCGCTGCTCAAGCGCTGAAGTCGCGAGTCGCCAAAATTGAAATACACAGTACGGAGTGGTCGTGATGTTCTTTACATTCGTAAGACTGCTATACAGAAGTAAGCCGTTGCACTATTCTATCATACAGTCTCGATCTTGACTGCTGTACAAGTCAATACACACAGAGAATATATAGATAAGGAATGTCATAGTCGCACAAATATCGACGTCGCAATAATGTGTTGGGAAGCCTGAGGCGGCCTAGAGGCTCAGTTCGGAATGAAGTCAGCAGTCGACCGTAAGGACATTGGATGATGCCCTACATGCGATTAGGCACTCAGTGAAGTAGACTTCTCCGACTTGACAAGGCGCTTACCAATAATTAGAGGATAAATTATAGCGACAGAGACCGAGCATGCTTGGGGCTATACGGTTACATGACCGCACACCACCAGCCACCAGGGGCCCAGGAGGACCTTGATTCCGCGTCGACTGGAATATCGCCTTTCTGAATGGAATGCTCCATAAAGCCGCTTCCTTCGTCCGTCGAAGTCGGAAACCCGGCTGTGATGGTGGCGAAGTCATCCATGATAGGGCGTATGGATCGAAAAGAAGGGGATTTAATGGGTTTGATAGGCTTGTTCGAGCGTCCTTGGTGTTGGCGCAGTGTCTTCGTAGGTTGGTATGGGGGTGCGGAAAACTGACCGTCGGCCAGCTTTATAGGCCTCGCCTGAGCGCTGTGGCCAGCGTGTCTTATTCATCAGAGGACCTGCGGTGGGATGCGCTCTGGACAATCACCACTAGCCGGTATGTGGATCTGTGGCGAATGAAACACGTGTTAATGATGAGCACCCTCATTTGACAGTCCAGCCCGCAGTGTAGTCTGTGGCTTCATTCCGAATCGGGCAGACTCAGCTGTCGTGGCGTGCTGCTGGATGGACTGCGCTGCGGCCTGCAACGGGAATGTCTGACCTCGTTTCTCTATAGAAGACGTGGTTTTGTTCTGAACGTTCTGCCCTCCGGTTCTTTTGATTTATCCGACAGTACCCTGATCGATGGGATATCCCATAAGCTTCGGGTCATCCTACTAGCGGGTAAAAGACCAGTCACGTACGGCGTACGCATCTCAGGATGCCTGACTCAGTTCACCAGATAGTTTTGCTCATCCAGTTGCTTCCATAATTTCATTTCACGCTCTACCCAATTGAAGGACCATCGGCCATTCAAAGGAGATCGCACAGAAGTGTCTGATGGTAGTGTAGAACGAAGGTAGTATACATGTTTAGGGATACAGTGTTGAGTCGTAGAGCGTCAGGCAAATGAATAAATAAATAGAGGTATCCCACTCGTCATCGCTTATGCATCGTCTATCGGGACCCCTCAAGGACACGGCTTTTCATCAAACCTGTCCGACAAGTCATGTAGTGCCTGAGGTTCGGCTTGCGGCCTCGGCGCATACTTAGTGAAGTGAGAATGCAGCACGGACTGTGGTGATGAGCTCAGGATCGGCGAAGACTGGGCTATAGAAGCGTCTTCGAGGGTATCTTCCGCGCCGGGATGGGTTGCAGACGAATATAAGCTTGCAGTCGTGGAACTAGGGTAACAGTGAACCTTGTATGTTGATGAGTCTTGAGAGGCGTACACCATAGACAGAGATGCAGACGCTGATAACGAGACGGGGGCAGGTTTGGGCATCGACACAGTACTTGCGCTGGTCATCGGTTGCCTGGGGTCTGGATGTCAGCCGTAGCCAAATAGGGGCTGTTCATGGGACCTACCATGCTACAGGCAACGAACTCGTATGCCTCGACTTGGCACTGGGTCTTCTGGGTTTTAGTCGAAGGATCTTGGATGCTATCCATGAGAAACACGCTTTGTACTCGTTGACGGCATCTTCGCCGAACGCGAAGAACGCGACGAATGTGAGCGTGGCGACGGGGACCATCCACCACAGCACGGTGTACGTCCGTAGGAACATTTGAGGAAGCAGAATGGTAGGGTACTGAGCAATCTGTGAGAAATGCCAGTGGACGTCGGCCCAGCCGGTCCAAGACTGGAGGTTTGCGCTATTGAACCACACCGTGTAGCCGGTGAAGGCAATGCCGATGACCATCTCGACGACGGCCATCATGATGAGGCGTAGGTAGCGCGCAGTGGTGAGACCGGCTTGGCTGTTCAGATGCTTGGCGAACGAGGCACGCCGTTGGATGAAGTGCATGAGGGCACAACCTTTGAATACCGTGTCAAAGCAAGGACGACGGATCCTGCAGACACGACTTACCTGCAAATCCCAGCGCTAAGGTCGCCAAAAATAAGGGTACTACCCACATGAGGATGAGCGCTGGCACTGATGCATATATTGCTGGACGACATCCGAAGTCTTCAATTATATCGAATCTATGTCCTTGCACGATGTAGTCTAGAGCGACGTAAGAGAGACCGCAAACGCAACGATGGATAACGACTGACGAAGTGCCATAAAGACCGCAGGTAGACCGAAGCACATCAAAGCCTCAATGATTTGACGTCGCCGCTTTTCTGGGAGGGTCGTCCTTGCAGCTCTTAGAGACGAAACTTGCTCCAAATGAATGCAGATGCATAGACATGCTGCCGGGAGTGCAAAATTACCACCGACAATTATTTTGGTCGCTGTCAAGAAAATTGTATCAGTCTCTGCGTTACAGCAAGCAATAAGCAATGTACACACTTATGTCGCACCAGACTGGAATAACAATCTCGGCATTATTGGCCCAAATAACAGCATCAACGCCGTATATTACATTCAGCACAAACAACCAAACTATTATTGATAGTGTTGCGACATTTGCGGCTCGCCAATGCCAGGGCAATGGCAGAAGGATGAGTGTGGCGCAAAGGAAAGCGATAGTAGGGAACTCGGGATGATGCATAGCGCAGACCGGGAGGCAAACGCTTCGCAGGGTAAGCACCATCTGCTTAAGTACCCCGTAGATTGGGAAGCAGGCATTGATGTAGAGTCCATATCGAGGTCACAAAGGGATGCTATCCTGCACTATTGGCGGTAAAGAACAAAGCCACAGGACAATGAATGGAGCCAGTTTTAGTCGTAACGTGACTGTCACGTGCCCTGCGCTACAGTCACGCAACCGCCCGGCGCCGGGTAACAGGACCCCTGAAAGTACCAATGGAGTTTAGATACCAGAGAACCTGATTTCCTTCATTTTTACCGGGACCGAATTCCGCCTAATTTGGCTGTTTTTACCGGGACGCGATACCAACCTAGTGTTGGAGCGACTGTGGGAATCAGAGAGGTGACACCGCTCTGTTTCTCAGGCTGTGGCAAACTGCACGGATTCCAAATTTAGCGACATTCTTTCCTTTTTGAGTTATGTTTATCTTTCGTTCTCTTATCGTAACTCTTTATCACTCTGACAGCTCATATAGCGTTGCGATAGGCTTTTGACGTATCTAGATTGTTGTACTGTACCTTGCGAGCTCGAGGACCTTAAGTACAATGCCCCCGTAGATACACCCCCATCTTTGCACTTGTTCGTTAGACGTGCTAAGTGGGGTGAGTTTGTATTCGCGAACCCGTTCGTTCATGGACTTACCATTACCTGTAGTTTACTTGTCTGTTTGTTCACAGGTAATGCGACAATCTTTGCACTTGTTCGTTAGACATGCTAAGTGGGTTTACTCGTCTGTTCGTTCACAGACGTGCACGTCTACGCAAAGGTCGAATATATTATATTATTTTAACACCTAGCCGTGTGGCTCGAGATTTACCGGGACCCAGATATCCAACCTCCGAATTTTGATCCGGTTACAAGGGTTTTTCTTAGCCAAATTTGATCAAAATAAGGCATTATTCGCTACAATATGCCATATATAAGCCCAATGTTGCCAAAACAGTGCAATCTCAGCTCAAATATTTATTGGGGCAATTTGTGGCTGCACAAGTGAGGGGAGAAGCCAGGTATATACCACAATGGTATCTGACCTTGGATATCGAGCCTCAATTCTACCGGAACTGAAGTATCCGGCCTCTTGGGTGCTTTGCCACATTTTACCGCAACCATATCTAACATACAGCCTCCAGACCTCACTTTTTTATGGAATTGGTATCTAACCTCCATCGGTATTTTCAGGGGTCCTCGGGTAACCAGAGGCCCCCTGAAAATACCCAAGAGGTCGGCTCGATAATGATAGAGTTGCAATATAAGAAAATAAAAATAAAAAGAAAAAAGAAAAATTGGGATTGGCTCAGAGAGCCATGTGGCAGTTGTGGCTTCGAGGCCCTTGGGACCGAAATCTGCGTTACTCTTGGGCCTATGCTCCACAACTCGCCCTCAGAGCCCCGAAGTAGGAACAAAGCAGCTACTGAGTGACTGATGGCATGTTTTACCATAAAATCCGAGTGTAAATACTACTAAAATCGAATTTGTCCGGCCCCTCCGGGGCCATACTAGTACTCAACCCGTCCATCGTTCTCTGAGATATATCTCCTATAAAACGACAGCTGAAACCATGAGAAAGTCTACAGCTAGTCCATGCATATTTTCTGAAGGCGATTCAAGCCCAAAATACAGTAATTCCTCAATTTGGGGCCCTCCGGGGCAAGTGACTTCTTATATCGAACATTCAAAGCAAACACCACTCCCCCACAATCCCACAAAAGAGGTTTAGCATTGAATCTGTAGTTTGCACGCTTTCCCCCCTCCACGCCGCCTTACAAGGTCTGGATTACTGCGGATATCTGTAAATGTGGTGACACCCAGTCAGGCCAACTGTGCAGAGGATATTTCATTAAAAATAATTCTGTAAATCTACTGCTGTGAACTGTCTAACTGCTGCTGAGTGCTGAACACTCAGCATTCACTGCTCCATAAAAACTCTGCATGGACATCAAGGTCTTTTGGTATGATTTGGGGTAATGGATATCAAGCCGCATCTACCTTCATATATATGGTCTCAAGTATACAGTATACACAGGTATTTTACGTTGAGTTTAATAGGTTCGTCCCACGAGATGGCACAGCCACTCGATATTGATATCGAGTAGTGATGCCGCAGTCCGGTTCCCGAACCTGGGAGAACCGGTTCGAACCTCGGACCGGACCCAGGTTCTGGTCCGCGGTCCGGCTTTGGGGTGGACCGAACCTGAAATGAGGTCCAGGTAGAGCCACAATGCCCGAACCGTACCTAAATATGGTAATTTTGAAGGGTTCGAACCGGAACCTGACCGAGCCCAACGCCATATCGGGTTCTTTGAGGTTCACGGTCCGGACATTCACCCGAACTGGACCTTGGGTCTGGTCCCAGGTCCGGAAATTTGGGCAAATAACCGGACCGAGCCGGACCGCGGCATCACTAATATCGAGCAACCATATGCGTAAACTCACAAGAGGTCTGATACCAGATACAAATTTTCCCCCCATTTTTACCAAAACCAAAATTACCATATTGGGATTTGTTTTACCCGAAAAATATCCGACCTCTCACCTTAGATGTGATTTTTACTGAAACATTGGTATCCAACCTGAGGGCTTGAGGATATTTATTTATTCACAAAAAAAGTCCAGTGCCTGCAGTGATATCAGATTCAGTTATGTATGGGCTTTGTGAGCCTCTCTGAGGTGCACTATGGTGTATACAGAATCCAAGAATCTTGCCACCTGATTATTGTGGCAAGTTGTGGCACTGTTGTGGCCATAATTGTTACCCGAATAGTATCTGACCTTTGCTCTGGATGCCTGCTTTTACCTGAAAATTGGTATCCAAGATTGATCCCACCAGCAGGTCCTTTACCAAAACTGTATCAGACCTGGCACCCATTTGAGGGCAATTTTTACCAAAACTGGTATCAGACCACTATGGGTATTTTCAGGGGGCCTGTGACCAGACCGACGTTGGCCAGGACAGCTGAAACTGATGTGACAAATGCTAGTACACTGTATTAGGCGGGAATAAACAGACATGAAACTTGGAGTACATGGACGTTGGGTCAAGAGATGCTATGCCGAACTCCACGAGTCAAGGATTGACTTAAACCAAGGATGAGACTATCAGGAGTACCAGAGACACCGCTTGACGGACTTGTTCCGCTAATGGTGCCACAGAAATATCCCTCTGTGCGCTGAGGTGGAGGTGCGAGGGATCCTGTAGACAGTGATCGGGGTCTGAAGACACTAGGGTTAATAGGCTTCGAATCTGGGAACACATTGACTCCACCTTTGGGGTCTCCTGGGAGACCCTACCGATCTCCCTGGCCGGCATGCATCAAACATCTTGCCAAAGAGCATCTTATATTGTTTTCGAGCCTCGTCGGAGAGCCCGAAGAACAGAAAGAATGCAACCGAACTGAATGGAATCGACCATCGCGCCAGCTCGATGGCAATCTCGACATTCCGATCGTAACGCCACACGGATGCAGGGACTTGTTGTACATGAGAGAACCCTGTATGGATGTAGGCCCAACTCTCGTAGGGTATGATAACCCCCGGCTGCATGAGCCATAGGTAGAGAGTGTAAAAGGAGGTCGGGAGACTGATGAAGAACTGTGTGCTTGCAAGCGCCGTGAGGCGCAGATATTGGCCGAGACTTGAGGTCGGAGACAGTAGATGCTTGTTGATACATTTGTTGAACTCGGAGCGGCGGGAAATGAACATGTACAGAGTGAAAGCTGAAGACTCAAAAGGAGTGAGTGGGAGTTACCAGCGCCACATGTCAGGACGAACCACAGTAGCACGCAGATATAATGCTCAATACGGCAGGCCAAAGTATGACCAAAGGGTATGTCAGTATTGTATTGACGATGGCTGGTTGGCAACCGATGTCCTCGTATATGTCGTACCGGCGACCTGTATTTCAGGAATGTACAGGCGGCGCGACGGAAAGCTCCAATGAAACTTACTTTGTACAACATACTCTGGCGAATGATAAATACGGCGTCAGCCAGCAATAATGGATGACTGGAATTACGTACGGAGAGGGATTTGTAGGACCGGCAATGCCAAACCTATCAGGAGGTCTATTGCAACTGCACGCCTTCGCTGTGGCGTATCAGAACTGTACGAAAGACGGAGGAACAGAACTGACGGACCTGGCGTCTCGTGAATTCGACCGTCGATAGATTTGTTATAATATATAGCCGGCGTGTGATGCATAGAGCCGAAGCAGGAATGGCAGTCATCATGGACAAGCTCAAATGTACGGCTACGATAATACCAATCAGTCGAAGCGAGTTGAACAGGTTCAGAAACGCACATATCTCGCACCACGCAGGAGCCTTGTCATCGGTATTGCCGTGCCATAGGATGGAGTTCACAACCCCGGTGAGGCTCGCCACAGCAGACCATAGCATGTAGAGACAAGTCCCCGCATTCGACGCTCGAAAATGCCAGGGAAATGGCACTAACACCAGGAGGAGACCGACGCCAGTTAGGATAGGATAGGCAGGGAAGGTAGGGTCCGACATTCAGATGTCCAATGCTATAGCGGCGCTGCAAGCAGACGAATCCTAGTCAAAGTGGTCTTTAATGCCGTTGTAAGGGGTGAACCTGGATAGTTGCATAAATAAGACGCGGAAATTCGGCTCGTTACTGCGACAGTTCGGGCCGGCTGTTGTCTGCTCACCCCATCAGCCCAGTACGAAGAACATCACAGCAGTCATCCAGAGGGGCCTGCTACTTTGGCCTTCCGGTCCTGAATAAAGGCAATCAATGTAGATCTACCGAGTGTTCCGCCGCTAAAGATCCAGTGATCTCTCGTAATCCTCTGATAGCGTACCAGCGCTGTGACCAAGGGTTTTAAAGAGACACATCGATGTCTCCGAATTCCATATCAAGCGTGGATCGTCGGAGAGCACCTCAAGCTCAATGCAAGCCCTCAGACATGGATAGACCTTGTTCAAGTTCTGTTAAGATATGCGATTGTGTTGGTCTGTTGAGTTTCTCCTGTAGTGGGAAAACCGTGAAATCTTGAACGTCCACAGCGGCTACAGCGGCACAACCAGACATCGGCAGTCGGGCGGCGCGGTTTTTTCGCGTGTCAGTCGAGGTCACAGTACTCGGCATGTATACCGTCGGCGTGCGCGGTAGTACCTTGCAACAAGGGAGAATACAGTTGTTGCTTCTGCAAGTGCATGTGGGGTCATCGGGAGACCTTGGTAGACAGCGCCATTTTGACTTGCTCGATGAGAGCACCTGACTCGTGGTGGACCTCCACGGAACGCTTTGGCTGATAGAAATAGTAGGTGAATCTGCTAGACTCGAGGCCGCAGACATTGTGACACTGTTCGTCGCCCATCATTAATCAGCTATGACGGGAGCGACCGCAGAGGTTACAGTTCAGATTTTGGGAGAGTCTAGTGTGGTGAAATATGCATCCGAAGCATCAATCCAAGATGATATTAGAGCGTATTTGCAAGGCCCAAAGTACGACTTTTGATCCAAAATTTGGAGCTGCTGATCCAGAGGATTTAGCCGAGGGTTGCCTACCTAAACCGGTAGCCCATGCTCCACCCGTGCCGCAAAGTCGTCTGTAAAACTCATATTTCTCACTCACTCGACTTCATTCTTGTTCAACAAGCATCTACAGGTACCTACGATACGCCTTGTACAACTTTTGCGGTAGTTAGACACGATTTAGAGGAAACCGAAAATCAGCCGTACTTCGCTGAGAGAGCGTGCCGCGCTGATCCGTGAGTCCTTCAGAAAAGTGGAGCGCCTCTCTCCGCAAACTTTTGGGCCTTGCAAATACGCTCTATTCAAGCCAGCCTTGGAACCGCTGCAAAATGACATTACTGTACCGTTGATTCGGAGTAACCCGGACCGCTGGCTAGATCGCTTTCCCACTGTCCAGATCCTATTGAACCCTCGCGAACTTCCTCTCAATTCGCATTGCTACTTCCACTTGATGCCAGTTGATTACATGGATATGCCTTGCAGGCTGCTCGTTTGCGTGAACCGGCCTCTTCAGTGCTCGCTAGTCTCGGGCCATATCAATCAAGGCATGACGGTCTGAAGTAGCGCCTTCAATCACCGAAGAGCCCGTACGACGTCCGCAGTGAGGGGCGGCCCCGTCGCTTGCCTCGTGTAAAGTGCATCAAAGGCCCGGTATCTGAAACAACACATCAAGAGACATCCAAAGAATTGGGAAGCTGGATCATGTTCAGTGAGAACCGATGTATATCTTGATTCATGACTGGCATACTCCGACGGCCAAGGGCGTTCTTAGAAATCGCCCTACGATTATGAAGAAGGCCGCGTCAACCGCCCGGTTCACTTGATTGGTGCTGCGACATCAGACGAATACGCGATAACTCCTTGCGGCGGCCTCTGTCTGTCACCTCTCGGGACGTGACTATTCCTGCGCCACCTCCACAGGGGTAGATGGTCCCGTCTAGGTCTTAGTGAGTAGGCACCCTTACCTCAGGGTTCTTGATAATATCATATCGCGGCGTTGTGGACGAGATTGTGTACAGCCGGGGTAGCCACCGGTACTCGCTGGTTTCTTTCGACACCCCGGGCGGCTCATGGGCGGGATTCTGTTTGAGGGTATCCCCGCTGTTTCGGACTCAGCTGTTGAGCTTACTGTATGCATGCTATTCTAGCTCTCGAAATTGGCCGGTGCATCGCGACCCCAGATCCCTCTCTGCACTGAACAAGGTCACGCCGGCTCGTTGACCTCGTAGGTTAGGGTTCTCACACAATGGCGGATCTTCCTTGGAAGCAAGCCTTATTAGGATCTACCAGTCAGTCCACGGTGCTTTCGTATGCTTCCTGCCTGATTGACTTGCTCCGTCGCAGCTCAGACAGTGGTTTCTAAGGAATCAAGGATCTCACGAGAGCATATCATGTCTCACAATATCCTTGTTATCTATGGGCAATCAATTGTCCGGAGAATATCAAGCTCTTATCATTTAACCTCGAGATATTGCCATCAAGGTAGCGAACATTCGATATAACTCTCTAGGAACAGATGATAGATATACTCTGTCACTCAAGAGTTCTTCCCGACGGCCAGGAAACCGACTGCCCATCGGTTGAGCAACCTCTCCCGACGGTCAAAAAAGGTAATCAATGATTACGATGGGATATTCCCCACAGCTGCCCCGATGGCAAGGGAGACAAGAGAATGAGTGGTACCCAGTGTGCCAATCGTGCGATAGATGATAAAAAAAGAAGGGGGATTCGCCCATACATACCAAGGAAGGATGACGCCGTGGCAGTATCTCTAACACCCGGTTACTGATCCAGTACTTCATCAGACGATCCGACGCCATCGGGCAACGCCTGGGGCCAAAGTCCGAAATCCTGGGGCAAAACCGTGCTTCACCTAATTTCATCTTCACTACGGCTGGTGATTTAGTCAATGCTAGCTGGCTTGTTCTACTTTCGTTGGGACGCAGCGCACAATGATCCAGATGTTCCTATCATTCCTGTCCGTGGCATGATAGCCCAGACGATGTGGAATTATACACGGGTGCGCGCCTGAGCTTAATTTGGAAGTCGATCAGTAGTCTCAGACAGACCTCGAATGCTTGTGTCTGGTTTCTCAGGACTCGGGAGCCCTGCAGGTCAAAGAGACTACAAAAATGGCTGCAATCAAAGCGTTCTCTGTGTCCGAATGCAGATAGCACGATTTTCGAGGAAGGGATTCGATCACCTGCGGAAATTAGCTACGGGATTAGTAAGGGCTGCAAGGGCCTGCGTGGACCAAGTCTCGCGTCGCCGACAGTGAGTCCATTACTTCAGCCACGCCAGGTCCGTGTCGTGACTCATTCAAGGTTGCGCCTTGTCGGTTTTCAACATAATACATGAAGTATGTATACATATAAATGTGATCCGTCGTCGGAAAGTAAGAAAAGGGAGACTGGATGATAAACATAGGTCTGTGAATCCTCATCTCATTGGCTTGCCGTGCTTCTCTTCTGCGGACGCTAATTTAGGGAGGGACGTGTATTGACGTCGGCGATGACGTACCAGAGACAGCTGCAGATGGATGGCGAGCTCTCAGCCAACCGGAAACGATACCTGGGCATTTGTGCACATCCAGCATACGATTCGAGGAAAAGAATCTCCCGCACTTCTCGCAGACCCATTGGCAGTCTTTGCCGTGCATCGCCACTTCGTGCCGGAGCCTATCGTGCGCCCTCGAGAACGTCTCCCGGCAGCCCGTTTCCTCGCGCATGGAGCACGGGTACGTCTTGCGCGGTTTGGCATCGTGAGAGGCCATGTGCATCCGACGGGTGTATTCTGACGTGAAGAATCGAGAGCATGTCGGATGTAGGCATGGGTACTGCCGCTTGCCAGCTCGACGCAATCCTTTGGAGGTGCTCTTACTGTCGTCAGATGTACTCCTTGCCTTCGACCTCAGGGGGACCTCGGGCGCTGTGGTAAATAATGGAGGTGAAAGTCGAGGAGAAGGGCTCGATGTCGAGGTGGAAGGGGATGGTAGGCATGGCGTGGACGGATGCTGATCGACAACACCAGTTGGAACGGACTCGGACATTGCGATGGATGAACACCGGGTTCCTGGTTGGTGCTCATTAAAGCCGAGATTTTCCGATCCGTTCATATAAAGTCTTCGGGAATCGCCATGAAAGGATTCATCGGAAAAATCGAGGGTTGGTATGTATAAGCGAGCGTCACCCATAGCGGGGTGAAAAGCTGTCCATCTCCTCAAAAAGAGGAATATTTGACACGACATACGACTTACAGTCGGTGTAACTGCTATCGGACATCATGTCACCAAAGATGCCGCTGATGTCCTGTTGATTGAAACCGCCTTGAATGAGAGGGTCCACACGGTCTTGTAAGACGAAGTCGAAGTTAGGCACAGTGACAGGATGGCGATATGAGGAAGAGTTACCGAGTGGTACACTGGTGCGCTGGGCTGGACTGATGCATTGCGTTGATGATGCCGCTTGGTCGGGGAATATATTGGCGGCATCTGTATGGGATACATCGGAAGGAGGGGAACGAAGAGGCGAGGCCGAGGTATGGATGCTTTGACAGGGCGTGTCCATCGAATTTGATTGCCATGGCCTCGCTGCAATACGCACGTCAGTCTTTCTACGACCGCAGACAATGATGGGGCAACGTACGTGCCACCTGTCCTTCGTCTGGCTTCGGTGTGGTTGCGAAGGAAGGATATACGACTATGTTATAGTCAGATCCCTCCTTGAATATATGGAAGTTGACGTTGAAGCGAGACACATTGACAGTAGACGTGGTAGACGGCAGGGGTTCTAGCCGAAATACTGGAAGTCCGCCGGAGGGCGAGAGCTTAATGTGAATTTGAGAACGGCCTAGTTCCTCTGCAGGAATGGCGAGAGACATGGCGGTGGTAGCCCAAGAGGCGAAGGTGGATCTTTATCTATTTGACAATGGACCCCAATCTTCTCCGGCGGCGTGGTGAATTTGTAACTTTATGATTACAGCATGCACAGTTCCGGAGTGACGACAGGAGATACTCTGAAGCGAAGAACAGCTCGAGAAGAGCGGAACACGCCCAGGAACTTCAGATGCGGGATATGGTATAGCTTAATTATCGGCGTCGGAAATGTCAACTTGATGGGCTCGCGAGACAATTATGGTCACTCACCCTAGAGGTGGTTCGGTTCGGAAGCGCTGGTGCATAGCCCATCAATAGCAGCACGGAACCGTTTGATGCTAAAGGTCTCCTCGTGAAGAGTAGATCCTAAGCATAAGTGGCATGGAAGTAGTCCGGCTTTCTAGCCGGCCTGGCGGAAGGCTTATACGTTCTCATCCATATTATTGACTCTGCCAGTGGAAGACGTCTCTATCGCAGATACACTCATACGAAAGTCAGGAAGGGTATCTCCTTCATATAGTTCAGATATCGCGATCGTCAACCTCTACCACCGTAATACCGATAGAACGGTGATCACGGAAGAAACGTACCAAACAGTGCTGCCCACAGTGCTGCGTGTTGGCTTGGGTACTTGCACTGCGCAGCATAGTAAGGAGGTCAAGGTTTGCCGGGTCCCTGGATGGCTGTGCGTTCTCGTCGAGAACGGTCAGTATTGATACCGACGGCATAATGAAATCTGCGATTGTGAAGCCTATTTGGCTTCTCTGCTAGGATTCGAGGCCGGCTTGCACGCAGATAAGCAGACCAAGGGGGTTTCAGCAAGCAGCTCGTCCGTAATCTGCGACACTCTGATTGAGAATGCCAGACTAAACGTCTGTACAGCCATGACTTTTTGTCTGATCTTTTCAGAGTCATGGTGGATGCGAGGAGCAGTGGCTAAGTAACCGCCCGAGGCCGTCTTCGCCGCGAAAAAGGGGTTACCATATATGGTATCTCCCATTCCGAAGCGCTCTCGGGCGTACAGTATGGAGCACTGCAGGACCTACGACGAGCCACCTGTCAGATTGGAATATGTATAGTCGCCTTATACAGGCTAGCCTCTCCCTGCAGCGGCGACGAAACCTGCTTTACAGCTCCAGTGATGCGCTCTGTTGATACTCTGGAAAATATATCCGGTTGGAGCCAGTTCGTTGAGTTAAAGCCTAACTCTGATGGACAGGCCGGGTGTTGTGCATGGCATGGTTGTGGTGTCACCCTGAGAACGGTGAATGCAGCAGTTGAATCAGCTGAGTTTTACTCACGAGTTCCCAGGGAGAACGCTGCAGTATACCTTTATCAGAGGAATTGCGGGAATAATCAAACTCACTGCTCCAAGAAATTATAATGCACACTGATTGACACGCCTGCTGTTTATGGAGGCATCCTCGGGCCCCGTATCATTAAGCTAGCGGTCTTAATTTATCTCTATATACCCGGATCGACCTGTTCAAAGAAAGACTGTGAGGTAGGCAGAGGGACCATGCGGACCGGGAGGAACTAGGATGTGCAGCCATCTTCCAAAATAGCCGGCTCTCAGGTTAGTTACCGTTCTACCCGGAAGTATACGTTCAATTTCGTCTTCAGTGGCGCAGATGCCATCCATGCTCTTACCTTCGAACGTAGGCTCAACAGGTCTAACACGAATGTCAGAAGCTTCCCATGCTTCTGCTTACAGAACTAGTGTGCGGTACCGTGTTCCCTGTCTCATCAGGTATGCAGCATGTATTACCTCATGCATCACACAGCTAATGTTACGCTCTTATCATACAAATTTGACGAGGGTCCTGATTCTTGCAGGACGTCATGGTCGTGCATCCGTTATTTTCAGAGGTATTCTAGGCACTGAACGCCTTCGTAGCGGTCGGAGGCGCAGGTACAGAGTCTACACGAAGACCTCGGTGCCGCCCAAGACATTCCCTTCCAGTAGCCAGCGCCTGGGACCCGTCAGTGGCATAAGCGCTTTAGCGGCCGCTTAGTCTCAATATATCTTATTAGGAATGCAGTTTTCCTTTGTCCTCACTCACAGCAATAATGCAAAAGTCAAGGTCTCTGTAGACTCGAGCACCGTCTTTTTGCTCGGAATGTAACTCAAGGAGGCTAACCTCAAAGTGTCACAACTGACCGTACTATTTATCTCAAGTTGACCAGCTGTTTTGGGTGCTCGGGAGCCTTAGTGCAGCCCTCAAGGTTGCCACTACCCCTGAAGGCACGGGAGGTGGTGGAAACAACGAGCGTATGAGCACCTTCCTCTCTTGACCGCGTAGCGTCGATCCCCTCTCTGACGTGTCGATCTTTTCCCAACATGCAGCAGAGCCATTTCATCCACTGCCAGTTTCAATCGATCGCCTGGCGAAGGAACGGCTCCTCATCTCTCCCATGAAGAGGGCGCCCGGGTTCGCGTTCCTATGCTCCTAATTTGCAATTGTTTTCACTTAGGGTTGTGCGCTTTGTCTCGTATAGGCAAGGAAATCTGTTGATCGTTTCGCCTCGCCGTGAAGGCGGGTCGCCTTCCTCAGCGCGACTCAAGTGGCGATGCACGTGCCGCCGTGCCTTGGGTGACCATCATGACGATAATAGTGCTATACTTGCTGCCGTTTATACCTCCAGCACTTCCTATACCTCTCCTACTCACTGTCTGCTCACTTGTACAGCTTAACACCTGGCATTGGGTCGTCTAGACTTGGGGGTTCATATCACTGTCCCTTTTCTACGAATTGAGGTATCACAGGGTAGGACGCGACTTTAATAAACAAGGTGAGTATGTCTTTCGCTGAGTTGGGTATACCTGCTTATCTGTCCTCTTCACGTCATCGGGTTCTCTTCCGCCGCGCGCCTTATTACGCTACAGGATCTTGAGTATGTTAACGCTCGGCTTCTCGACCGCTCTCAATCTCGGACACGCATGGATCTCGAGCCTCTCGTGGCGCTTCCCATCCCTAGACAATCCTCTTCCCTTTCAGCTCGAGTCCGATTGAAATTGGCTCTCTCCGCAGATGCGATCTGTGGATCTGCTGGTCGCTTCGCAGAAAGCTTGCTCACCGGCCCCGGAGAGGCACCGGGTACGCGATGGAGCCTCTCACGCATGAGCGAGGTCGTACCTGACATGTCTTTGGGCCAGAATGCCCGCTTACGAAAAACGTCCGTGCAAAAATACACGAGGAACCTCGTATACGTGCCAGGCGCGAACACACCGCAACACGGCCATTACCAGCGGATATGTCCACCGAGCGTGACCTTCATCTCCGCAGATACTTCGTACCGACAGGTGCGTCCCCCGCCTGTCTCACCTGCGCGAGGCTAATACACTCTTAACGACCGGTGGAGCGGATTGAGGACGGAACAAGCGGGTCAAGAGCAGTACTCTTCTTGGACTTACGTCTGTCATTTGCAATACAGACTGGCTTGCTAATCTGGCCGTCAGAGCCTGAATGCCACCTTCCCGATGGCCCGATCCTCTGGGCAGGATGCGCAGTCGTCGAGAAAACTGTGACGTTACCGGCAGGCGAAGAAACGTTTATAAGCTATCATGAAGGCTCGCGATATGGTAATGCTTGCCGCCTATTGTAGGAGAACACAATGACGTCCCCCCCGTAGGTTACCCAGCGCCTAGGCTATCATGAGGATCCTCACGAGGGCGGCAAGGCCGTTAAAACTGCAGCACCTGTCGTTTCTGCGACAACTGATTGGTCATTGTGATGAACATTGTGGCGTGGCTGGTAATCGAAGCGTCGTCTCTAGACGATCATGAGGATCCTGAAAAAGGTGGCAAGGCTCGGAAATCAGTGAGATTCATCCATTCGATGGCCTTGTCCTACAAGACTAATGCGCACACAAAGTGACTTTCGTAGGTGAATCGCCGTCTATCATAAGTATCTTTACGAAGGCGGTAAGACTGTATGACCGGAAGACTCGCCATCGACTAGTTTCAGTAAAGGAACTCCCTAGTCGGGCTAATTTTTCATGATATAGCCAATGCAGACAAGAGTATAAATTCGCGTTCACCACTAGAAGCGGGTCCGGGATGAGGCTGCGTTGCTTCGGCGCAGGCGAAAGGAAGGGTATGCCAGTGCTCTGCGTCCCAATTTCAATGCCAGTATCCCTTTCTACCTAGTCGACGAGTCGTGCACAGGTAGGAGCCCTACAAGCGGCTTCCCTATCGCGAGTGTGGCGCGATAGCCGCCCTAATCCTGGTCCGAATGGCTTCTAGAGCCCGCTGAATACACCGCCACACCCCAAGACATGCTTCGCGCGACTTGTCCAAGCCATGGCCTGCTTAGCGGTGTTCAGATGATGCGGCGCGGGGGGTGATGGTGCGATGGTCGCACTTGCTCGCATAAATCGCTCATGTACGACTTCTTCGCGGGGTGTAACTTGCCAACCTTCCTCGCAACGGGAGTGTAAGGAGATTGCAAAAAGAAGGTATGGTTGCACTCGAGGGACTCGTATGGTATACGCATGATTGTGCCAAACCAGCATCCAGTCACCATTGCATCGAAGGAGCCGTACGGTAATTGCCGATACTGGTCAGTAAGGAACGACTCGAGGGCCACCTAGCTTTCTTCCCGAACACTATCGTACTAGGCCGTGCTATGTCACAGAGAGAGAGAGGGAGAGGCAGAGAACTGCTTTGTTATACTGCGAGCAGGTGAACTACTACTAGCGCCAAGGTACAGTACTACTCTACATAGCGATATATAAATATCTACAACTGAGTTTCAGGGAAACTATAATAGAGTCTACTATTAAGGAGCAGGACAGATATCGCGGTGGGCGTCGTACCGGGAGCCCGTGCTATGTCAGAACCTGCGAACTTTCGCCTCAACTCGATTCCCATTGGTTATGATCGCAACATAGAGTGGCGCGACATAGCCACTTGGGTCGTGCGGCATACTTGAATAGGTATGTACGCAACGTCATGCTTTGCTTCAGTTATGTACTACTGGGCCAAGTGCTCCCCAAATCAGACTTCTATTAACTTCATAACCAGCGCTCACTAGTAGCCGCGATGCCAGGCCCCCTCTGTTTCTATCTAATGACTAGACACGGTGATCGGCTTGGGCGCATGTGCACGATGCCGAGGACAACTTCGCGGTCTATTTCAGGGGGGCGTCTGCCAAGGTCCCCTGCGCGGCATTGGGACTATGGATTGCGAGGTCGACAAAATCATCGTCAGCCGCAGCGCGTTCCGCTATCATGGTAAGCACTGTAAGTGCCGTATCTGCGCCCGGCAAACGAGACGGGAGGGTTTTGTTAGCTTTGTAGCCACAAATAGTATGCGGGGCTTCTCGGCGTCGCTATGGACCGAGAAGCGCAGACTGAGTCCTGTTGAGCCGGGCGTTTCCACTGTGGCCCTGATAGCTGGGTTAGCGAATATCCTTGCCAGAACATACTTAGGGCCTTACAGCATGGACGAGCTTCGCATCCGCGGACGCCCTAGCATTGCACGAGTAGACAGCTTTGCGGCGGTTTCTGCGCTTATTTGACGTCTCTAATTGACAGCCATTGCTGCAGCCAGCGCATCTCAGCATGGACTTCAACATGGAGCCGGCAGACTGGGATTACTTCAGCAGCATCGGTTCCTCCTGCTCGAGGGGCGCTGATGCACCGGCGTTCAGTAGTACTCCTGTCTCTGAAGCCGTACACGCCAGGTCTCTCCCAAGTGTCTCCCAAATCCCTACGCCTCCCGTAAGTCCGCTGTCTCGCTCGCTCGTCGGGCGGCTCTTGACGCCACTACTGCAGCCTTCAGAAGGAAGTCCGGAGCCCTCGAGCAGCTCTCAGGATACCGCGCAGCCCGACGCCGTCACCGTCGCTGTCTCGACCGCCTTCTTCCCTGGCTCGCAGATCGACCCATTACCCTCCGATCTCATCCTCGCCTCCTCGGACCTCGTCTTCTTTTACGTCCACTCGCATCGACTGCTCAGCAGTTCCTCGAATAAATTCAATGGGCTCTTGGGGATGACTGATCACGGGGGCGGGGCTGGCACGCACGCCTTTGACAACGTCAGTGGCATCCCTCTGGTCTCCGTCCCAGAGTCGTCTACGGTCCTCAATGTGCTGCTGCACGTACTCTATCACCTTCCCTTCTCCCATTATTCTCCGACCACCGACACCCTGGTCGCTACCATTTCGGCCCTGCGCACGTACGGGGCGCAGGCGAAAGAGTACGTAGCCCCGGGCACACATATGTTCCAGATGCTGCTGCTGCACGCGCCGCTCAACCCGCTCGAAATCTACACCCTGGCCGCTGCCCACGATCTCTACGAGCTCGCCGTGGCCGCGTCCGCGCACCTGCTCTCCCTCCAGCCGTTCAAGATCACGGACGAGATGGCCGAGCGCATGGGCGCGGTGTACCTGAAGCGGCTGTTCTTCCTGTACCTGGGCCGCATCGACGCGCTCAAGCGCATCCTGACCGCCCCGCCCGTCGCGCACGAGCCGACGCTCTCGTGCAACTTTATGCAGCAGAAGGAGATGGTGCGCGCGTGGGCGCTGGCCGCGGCGTACCTCGCCTGGGACGCCAAGCCTGGTACGCTGACTTTTAAGCTCGAATTCTCCCGGTTCTCCGAGTTGTATTGAATCGTCTTTGGTTTAATCATCGCGGTTGCAGATCTACCGATCAGTACTATCAGACAAACTATGCAGCCTCTGGCTGACAAGTTAGCTTGCGACCTCTGCCGGCAGGCCATGCTGGATCGGATCAAGGATATGATCATTCAGTGGTCGGCCGTCAAGGTGCGTGTCCCACGATGTTGCCAGTAGTATGGCAGTCTGACATCTCACTCCTTCAGGCTACTATCTGAATTCTCGGAATGACACGTTCGCCCGTTGGTACCCCCCCGATTAAAGTCGAAAAAAATGATCCACGATGATTGCCACCTGTTTTCCCTTTCCTGCCCAACTGCCCTCTATCACACGCAGCAACCCGCTGGTTCTTATCTTGCGTCGCGTTTTGCCTATAGCTGTACCAATTGTACTTTTAGTTTCCTGTGAATGTACTTTCAATGTATATCTTTCCCTTTTGCCTTGACGCAATCCCCTCTATTCCCTCATCACCCGCGTTTCACCAAGCCAGGCGTCTTCCTGCTCTCGCAACTGTCCCTCGACTATGTACATACATATTCGAATTCGAGGCCCGTTCGGAGGCAGAAACGCTTGCCGGCGGTATGCCATGGCCAGGTGCTATTTAGAGTTGTCCCGCCCGCACGCGTCACGATCGCACGGGCCAGCCTGAGCCTCGTTCACGACGCGAGGCTCAGGATCGTTCGACGCGGTCGCGTGCCTCCCACCTTCGTTCAATCATCTTATTCTTACCTGCGTTCTCCCATGTCGGCGCACGCTCGCGCAGGGTCTGGCTCGTCGTCCGACACCGCCCGCATGAAGCGCGACGTGCGGTTCAAGGATCCGGTCGTGGAGCCAGAGTCCGAGGAGGAGGAGGGGAGTGAGTTTGGCGGGGACCAGGAGGGGGCTGTTGGGCCTGGCGCGAGGGAGGCGGAAGTCGCGCGCGAGTCGAAGCAGTCGCGGGCGGTCGCGACGAGCTCGTCCTGGACAGACTTTGACTTTTCGATAATGCTCGCGCTGGCTGCGCCCATCGGGAATTGGCTTACCGGGACAGATCACCTGAAGAATTTGTTCCTCATATGCTTGCTTATTTTCTACCTGCACCAGATTATCGAGGGTGAGTCGCGCGCCCAGCGACTAAGCTGTGTAAAAATTAACGGACTGCACTATCGCTTCAGTTCCATGGCAACTGTACCAGTCTGCACTACCCCGCAGGATCCCACCAGGCGTCAAGACGCCCCCAGAACCCGACTCGACCCACTCGCACCTCGCCGAGCTCGCGCGCTCCGAACTCCGGCAGCACGAGTTCATCTACCTCGCGCTCTCCCTCGCCTCGCCCTTCATCGGCGCGTACCTCCTCCGCCACGGCCTCGCCGCGCTGAGCTCCGACGGCGCCGCCCCGCCGCTCTCCTGGTTCTCCATCACCCTCTTCATGTTCGCCGTGGGCATCCGCCCATGGTCGCACCTCATCAAGCGCCTCCGCGCGCGCACACACGACCTGCACGACACCGTGCACTACCACCACCTCTCGCAGACCCTCGCCGGCGGGCTCGAGGCCGAGAGCAAAATCAGGGAGCTCGCCGAGCACGTCCGGACGCTCGAGGCGGAGCTGCAGCGGCTGAAGCACGCCGCGGAGGACAGCAAGGCGCTCCTGGAGGACGAGCACGACGACTTGGCCGACAGCGTCAAGGACCTCAAAGGCTCCCTGAAGAAGCACGAGCGCAAATCCGACGCGGCGCGGACGGCGCACGAGAAGCGGCTGCACGCCGTCGAGACCACGCTCGGCTTCGTGCTCGAGCACCTCAAGCACCAGGAAAAGCTGCGCACGCAGGACCCGTGGAACAAATCCATATCCAGCGCGAACGGCTTCGTGCAGGCGCACCCGTTCCTGCACTACCTCGCCTCCACGCTGCTCTACATCCCCAACAAGCTGCTGGCGGTAGTGACCCCGCCCGCGTCGCCCCTGGACGGCACGAACGGATTCGTCGAAGTCACGCATTCGCCACCGGGCGCGAAGAGTCACGCGAGCCAGGTTCCGGGCCTCGAGACGATCGATGAGGACTCGGACGACGCGACGCTCTCACCGCCCTCTGGAGAAGCTGACACCAAAGACAGGCCGAAGAGGGGACGCAGGGGACGCCGACGAGCTACTTCCAGACAAAGGTCTGCCGGTTACAGCGTGCGGGATCTCGCCATACAGGCGGTGACGCTCCCGTACCGCGCGGCAGAGAGGGTGCTGGTGATAGCGACTTCGCCGATCCACAAGCATCTTATGTGATTGTTTGCAGCGCTTTCTCTGTTCGAATTCCCGGTGTAATTGTAGTCTGACCTCACTTCGTTGTATCGTACACACTTGCCTCATTGCCTATAGTTATTATCGCATGTATCCCCGTACGTATCCTGTATACTAGCGTTCATTCCGACGGACATTGTTATCATCCTAAGGCGGCTCAAGCCTGAGATCGTATTGCACATTGAGCATTGGAGATATTATACATGGATTGATAGACAAATGCAGCCTATTAGGTAGGTAAGTGAAGAATTCCGCAAAGTGAACCGTCCTCCGAGAAATAAAATGTATGCATTCGGACATCTATCCCTACGCGGGCCCGCCATCCCAACTCGCCCGCTTTCTCTTATTGTCGTTGCCGTGGTTGAGGAGGAGATCTTGGGGTGACACGGCACTTTGACCTCTGTGATGGTGGACAGGTGGTCGACTTGCGGAGGAGGTGGACGCAGACTGCAGAGTGAAAGCTTGCGGAGGCGCGGCGTGTGGTGCCGGTGATCGTGAGGGCGGGAAAGGCTTCGCAAGGTCGAGGGCCTGCCCTTGGCGTACAACCGCAGAGTCGACCGCGGATTCGGCAGCGCCGGTCCCGCCGTGACCGTAGTAGTGTAAATCCAAGAACGGCACATCCCTGTCGTTGGCCATAGTGAACCGCCACATGTCCGTCGGAGAGGATGACACAGCAGCCGGGCGGGCGGCTTCGTCGGGTTGAGTTAGCGAATCGAAGAAGGAAAAGTGTCGCGTCGGTGTAGCCATCGGTTTGGCAGATGGATTGGATGGAGATGGCCGCAAATGCGAACGATGTTCGGACGGCGGTACAGAGATGGAGCGGTTATGAGATGAAGAGAGGTGAGCGGTCGCGTCCGATCGCAGAACCCGAGCCGGATTCACAGGCGTCGCCGGCGGTGTAGAGTGCATGTCTTGAGAAAGACCTACTATTTCCTCCAAGGTCTGTTGAGGCAACCGGTACTGGCTTAGATCAGTCATGTCTATTGAAGAGTCAGCGGCGTCAGGCGGCCGAGTGACGTCGATGCTGCTATCCATAGCATCGACAGGTGTGTCGGGCTGATCGTTCAGGCTGATGGACGTCAGCTCGATCTCGTCGATCCCCGGCAAACTGGGTGTGTGCAGCTGCATCGGGTGTACGCTGGTAGGTTGCTGTTGCATGCCTGACAGTCCCAGTCCGACGTCACCAAAGCCAAAGCCAGGACCGTAGTTGGTTTGCTGCTGGGGCTGGTGCGAACGGGTACCAAATATCAGGTCACCAGCATAGTTGGAATGATGAGTGAACCCCCGGAAGTTGCTGCTCGTGAACATGTCAGGGTCCGAGAAGGCAGAGTGGGCATCGCCGACCCCCACTTCCGAAGCGAAGTCGCTAGGGAACGAAGCAGGGAACAGGTCATAGCGGTCGAGGACATTGTGATGGCTGAGGTGGGCGAATGAAAATGGCGATGATGGTGCCGGTGACAGGCCTCCAGCGAAGGAGGGACTACTGGAAGCAGCAGAGTCATCGAGACGAGGGTTGGGCGAGAACCAATCAGGCCCCCATGCAGACTTGCCAATCATATTCATGCCATCGTTCCGCCTATGGAAAGGCGACGAGTTTTGCAGGAAGTATTCCGTGGAGAGGTGTGAGGAGGTAGGCGAGCCAGCGGTCGTCGCGGACGACCAGGTATTGTGCAACGGCGTGTCATATCCCGAGGACCATGTCTGAGAATGCGAAGAGTCGCCACTGGCTTCGCCAAATATATCATGCGAAGACAGAGGGTCAGCGAGGGAGTCGATCATATCGGTCTCAGGGGACGGGTCCGGACTAGCGACCTGCTGGGCGTCGGAAGACTTGTCGGGGCTCAGTTGGGTGTTCGAAGTAGATGGCGGGTCGGGGGACATGACGTCCTGCTCATCTTCCTCTCCCGACGAGTCTTCATCTTCGGAATTGGCCACAGATTCTGGGACGCTCTTGGTCCCGCCTCTGTACAGGCCTTCAGTAGTGTAAGCCCTCTTGCGCCTCACCGCACCGCCGCTACTGCTGGTGACCAGCTGGTCATCCGTAGCGGCGCGCACGGGGAAGCCGGGGTCACCCTTTTTCTTCTTGACAGCCCTTCGTGGCTTGTATCCCGCTGCTTCGTATAGCTCAGGGAACGCGTTTCGGAACCGGTCGCGCAAGTCGGTAGAGCGTCGGTTGTGTTCCTGGAATATGGGATCCTTTACGATGGTCGCCCATACCGTGCCGTGTTTCTCGTACCCGGCCTTCAGCGCACGGTCCTCCTCTTCGGTAAACGGGCGGCGACGCTTGCTGCGCGTCTTCTCGAATAAGGATGTCCCGTTGGGCAGGATCGAGCGCACCTTGGATGAAAGGTGAGTCTTCGCGTTGGGGTAGTGCTGTTTATACGCGTCCGGGAAGTAGGTGCGGAACCTGCGCTCCACCTGTTCAGATCTCCGTGACGTCCAAGCGTTCATTAAACGCACCTGTCCTTGAGATCGACCGGCGAACGATTATCGAACTTTAGCTTCGGGTCCTTTAGGATCGCCTTCCAATTACCGACTCCCCACTGCGCAACATTAGACTGTGCAACGAAGGACACGAGATGTGGCTCACAGTATTGCAGCCTTCGACAAGCATCTGTGTTTCTTCCATCGTCCATTTCTTTCTGATCCTCTTCTGAGTTGGGCGCTCCTCGCCCTCCCCTAGATCTCCGTCCCCGTCGTCATTCATTATCCTCCGCATCTTCCCTTTCTTTTCGGCGGGGCCGGAGGACCCTGCTGCGGGTTGCGGTTGCGTATATAGCCCCGTATCATCCCTAAAGTCCCAGGCGGGGACCAACCGCGGGCTCGACGGGGTAGCTAACGAGACGCGTCGCTGCTTAAGATGAGACGTGGCCGGCAATGGCGCGGTAAACGAGAACGTCGACGTCGAGGGTGGGCTGCATGTCTGCTCGATTGGTTGCGACATGGTCGTAGTGAAGAAATCACGAAATTCCAGAAAGCCGGGTGGTGCCCGGAGACGCGGAGATGAATGAAGTGAGCTCGGGTGACTGCACGCTTTCTAGAGCGTAATGAAAGACACGTTGCAGGCCGCCACTGCCTGCAGACCGTGCTCGCTGATGCAGCCGGCGACAACGAGGCAAGTGGAAGAGCCAAAGCGTATATCAGCCCGTGCAACAGCGGTTGGGGAACACGGGTCTGCCAAAAGAGGCTGTGACACGCTTCATATAGCAGCTCATTTAGGCGCCCATTACGACTTGTGGCCTCATGTAGATCCCAGCCAAAACCATAATTAACGATAGGCAGCTGGGCTGGTCGGTAATGTACACCTCAACGTGGTTGTCGAGAACAAGCGCATTTGAACACCGGAACGTGAAAGCCATTGCAATCAGGCAGTACTCAGTATCTCGGGAGCAATCTTCTGCTCGACTCCTTTCAGCTTCCCCACCCACGACGACAACCGCTGCGACAGCTGCCCAATCTGCTCCCGCGAAAGCACGCGCGGCTGCACCCACGTAATCTGCGCCTTCTCCTCGACCTGGTCGATCGACCCCCGGATTAGTTTTAGACTGCAGATTAACGTAGCTCAGTGACGACGCAGCAGAGCCACACGGAGACACGCACCTCAGAGCCTTCATGACGAGGTGCTCGACCTCGTCCAGCGGTAGCCGCGTCTCCTCCGCGATGGTCTGGAAGCTCATGGTCCGATCGTACGGACTGCGCTTGAACACGGACTCGATCAGCGCCATAAGGCAGATCTTCTGTCGCAGGAAAGGATAATTCTCTTGCAGGATTGGCTGAATCATGTCATCATCGTCAATAAACCTCGGCGTTAGCGGAAGAAGCGGAATAAACGGACCTCCTTCGGAAACAAGGGAGCCAACGCTTCGAATCTGCCGATATTACCTTCGTTGAAGGTGAACAGCAGCTTCTTGATCCAGTCGTACTGCGTGTTATCTAGCGAGTTCAGGATTGGATGCATGAGCTGATGCCTGGGTCAGTCTGGGCTGCAAACCGGAGACAAATGGCACACTCACGAGTTCTCCAAAGTTGTAGATGGTGTCCCCAAGGAAAGCAGCCACACTGAGGTCGTGGGCGCGAACTAGGCGGTCTTCCGCAGTCATGTCCTTTTCCACATCCACGCATGCGAGGTATAACAGCGAATTCCTGTAGTAAGGCGCGTATTCGGCCTTGGCCTGGAACATGCTCAGCTTCGAACACCAGAACATGACGTTTCAGCTTTCCTTACCTTGTGATAATCCGCAGCCACACTGTAGTAGGCCGCTGAAACACCGTTATCGACGGCAGTCAGCTCGTCCAACACTTTCCACGCCTTGTCAATGTCCGTCCTTGTCCCGTCAATGTCTCCGTACATCAACTTTGCATGGGCAATATGCGAGAGCAGCAGGACCTCTGACTCTGGTGACTGCTTGGTATCGATACGAGCCAGAAGGTCCAGTAAAAACTGCAGATGCGCCGAGGGATCTAGCAAGTGTAAGCATAAGGTCGAACAGCCGCATGCAGCGTCCATACGTACTGTCGATCTCCCGCGACACCTTCACGCCCATCTCCACCAGCCGTTGCTGGTTTAACCGACTTTCGAACTCTCGAACAAACCGGTCGAAGACATCGACTCGGTATGGTTTTGAGAGGGGGTGGTCAAAGAATGCAAGAAGCTTCAGAGTGAGTTGGTGCCATAGTCTGGACAAGACGCAGAGGTCAAAACCTGGAGAGGCCTAAACTCGGGCTAATGGCCGTCTGGAATTGTACGGAAGTCTCTTATGCCCAGCTCTCTAGAGCAGAGCAGGGATGTCCTCGAGTTCTGTATCATACCGGACGGAAGTGCCCCCTCGGTAGTTTACAGAACTCCTCCCCTGTCAGCCCAGCCAATCTTTTGAGGCTCGGCCTTATAAGATGACCCGTATCCGAACACCACTGTACAATCCCAGACAGCCCTAGGCAAAGCAGAAAGCGTACTTGCGGTTATGTAGATTCCTGAACGACTCGAAGAACGGATGAAGCTCCTGAGGCGTCGCCGACAGCGCGGTCGTTAAGTATTCCTCCACATCTAGCTTGGGTCGCGCAGCATCTACAGCCGTGGACGTCGACATCGTGACAAGCGGTGAGGAGGGTATGGAGAGAAACAAGCTGCCAGTGAAGGCAGCTTTGCGCGTCGAGGACGCGTAATTGTGGCCACGTGCGAACGCGTCAGTCAGAGTTTACGGGGTCCCATCCACAAACACCGTGACCTGAGACACTTCGAACCAGTTAATTGGAAGCGTGTGACAGAGCCACACCTACTCCTCTCACTGCCGTTTCGTTGTAACTGGACTTAGATTTGCAGTAAGTAGGAGCATACACATGAAAGGGAGATATAATTTATTTCGCTTTTTAGCCGCTATCCCCAGACTTTCCCTCTGCTGCCTCTCTCGCCCTCCGCTCGCGCCTCCGTTTGACGTCCCAGTTGTACACCCGCGCAGTATTCACTTCCATCACCGTTATCTGCTCTCGCAGGAACTCCAAGTCTTCCACCGTGTTCTTGAGACTGCTCTCCGCGGTCTCGAGTTTCGATTCTAATAGCGTGATGGCTGCTGGTAGTTTGTACGAGAGCATCACGTTCGCCTGCAGCAGCAGAATTAGCACTGTATAGACTGATTGTAAGCACAAAGCAGGTCAGACGCACCCCGAGCCATAGATAGACCGTGTCCGTGTCTTCCAGCTGCGCCTCAGCATAGAGCGTGTCATTCAATTCGAATGTAGTGGTCAAAGGCTTCTTCTCATCTTGCGCATCGTCCTCTAGATCTACCTCATCCTCGTCGTCGTCACTGGCCTTCTTCTTTCCCTCCTACACGCCCAATCAGCCCCAATCTCGCATTCAGCGGCCAGGCAGACGAACGAACGGAGACTCACTCGCCTCTCTTGTAAGAACTCAACCATTGAAAGCGTCTTCTTGATGTCGGGTATCTTGTCTTCCAGCCCTGTCCGTCGTTGCTGCAGATTCGAGTCCATGTAACGATACTTGCTAAACCCCTCACTGGAATGAGTCCCACAGGCAGGAGATCGAATGTAAGGCGACGTACGCTAGAGCATCTTGAATCTTTCGTAGAGTGGGTTCGACATCCGCGTCAGGCCCTCCAACGTACTCCTCTACATTGGCCTAGTACATCGGAAACTCATTCCTCAGGCGTAATCGGTAGCGCATGATCCAGACGGACATACGACGAACGGAGCTTTTGGTATGCCTCTCGGATTTTTCTCGACGGATGCCAGAATATCGGCGGACATGTTATACGTCTTTTGGGAAGAGATATTGGGAAAGTAATCGTAATGGCACCGATGATAACCAGGGAGTCAGGGACAGCTCTACTGGAAAGCTAATGATTCGGGTTTCGCACGCTTGATCTATGACATTTACCTTGTTTAGACGCGGTGGTTGCAGGGGCTCTGATCAGTGGCCAAGTCATGGCGAGGAAATATTTTCGTGCTATGGGCAACAGTGGAGCCGCTATCATTATATGCTAATCCAATCACGTATAACCGGAACAATAAGCAAGGAATGAAGCGACGACAGTGGTGGTAACTTAGGTACGTGTGCCAGCCATGCATCGTACTGTTTCGTACATCGTGGCAGAGCGGGACTTATCACAGTCTCGAAGGCCCGGCGATAGCATTGGTGGTTGATGGCCGATTTATGGAAAGAGACAGCTGCCCCGCGGTGCTGTGATCATCTTCCGGAGGTATCAGATATTCCAGTTCTTCGAACATGTGCGGGAACAATATAGCCAACATGTCGTCCAATCTGTGGGGCGTTAGATAGCCTCTACTTCCAGGGAGGCGCAACGTACTTGAAAATGAAGTCGCCTTTCTGCTTCTGTTTCTGTGCTTTGCGTTTCGTCGGGGTCTTGTCTACCTTCCCGTCCTCGACGGCGAGTAAGTTAGGGTCCAGAGCGCCCCTGCATTTCTCTTCTGTGTAGAGCGAAAGCCCTTGCCGAGCAGCGAGGTCTAATATGTTCCTCTCAACAGTGTCTGGGAGGATTATGTCAACATGCTATCATCGGATGAACGGCGTAGTCACCTTCAGCATAGTAGCAGTACACTAGGGGTAGTGATTCAATACTCCCGTGATGGATCAGGGAGGAACAAGAGACTCACCCTCAGTGGGCCTCGTCTGTCCCATCCGATCGATACGAGCAATAGCTTGGATCTCGAAAGCATGATGGACCACACTTTCGAGCATGAATACTCGTGAGGCACACGTAACATTCAGCCCAGCATTCTCTCGTTCCCTGAAGGTAATGTCAGGACGGTTCACGACAGATCTAAGCTGGCCATACCCGTGAAGTAACAGGACCAGGAGTTCTGGCTCATCCGCAAAGCGTTTGGCAGCATTCTTCCGTCCCTTGGTCTGATCGATACGTAGGCAGGCGATTCCTGTTATCCGGTCGGTCAGTGTAAGAAGAGACCACCGATATGTAGGCTACCATTGTTTAAGAGTGCGTGCTGAACAACTACAGTATGTCGTTAGTTGAAGCATATGAGACTACGGCGCCCAAACCTACTATGCAAGGAATCTGCCCAGGCGGAGAATACTATACTCTTGGCGCCAGGGTCTGTGTCTTGTATGTGCAAGACATGCCGGACAAGCGTCTGTATCTTGCTCCCGTAACTGCCACTCGACTCCATACCCTCAATTTCTTCGAACAAAGCAGGGTCGATGTAGTTGTATCGAATTGGTCTCCGAGAGGTAGGAATAACTTCTCCATTCTGAATCCGAGGGGGAGCTGGGCGGTCCTTGGGATCCGTTCCTATCGAGAATCGTTGCAACTGATCCAAGTCGATCATGACACTGGCGCAAGTGGTATCAGACTGGCTCAGGTGACATGGACCTAACTTACCGGCAGACAGGACAAGCTTTTCCTTCCTTTCTGGCTAACCACGCTTTCATGCACCCCTACGTATTAGGATGTTCAGCTAGACTTGTAGTGAATGATGCCCGAGAAGCTCCTACCTCACAATACATATGGGCGCTATCACATGTGGTGAGCATTCATCGGGGCTATTTAATCGAAATTGTATGTCCTGTACGCACCATTGCGTGATATATCCTCGAGTAAACTCGCATCTACACAAGATGCAAACCTCATCATCTTCGTCCTTACACCCCGAATTGTCCCCGCTCATCTTGGCAAGATGCTCGAGATATCGCTGACGCGCTTTCCCCGTGGTAATAGGTGTTCGAAGTTCCTTCTCGGCATTTCGTGCTTCACATAGGGCATCGTGCACTGTGCCCTCCCAGGTCGGTTCAGCAACGGAGTCTGAGATCTCTTGTAGTTGCCGGAAGTATCTGTGCTGCACTTGGGTATCTCCGCCAGTATATAACAGAAGGACACGTACAAGATTCGTTCGTTGAAGGCTTTCCGGAACAGGGCGAGATCGGACTCCAGTCTCTCGATTAAAGTAACTGAAAGCCGAAGAGTGTCAGCTTTATAAAGGAGCTTTAATGAGCCGTACATTGAGAACTGATGAGCTGGCGTAACCTCTTGGCGGCATCCTTGGCAAGCGCCTTCTCTGGGTCATCGTTCTTAGGAATCCGAGCAACCACAGCATTCAAGTCAATCATGACGGATTTGACGGCTCGCCCGGTGAACTTTTGTCTTAACGCATTGCGAGCCTCAGAAAGCTGCTTCTGTAGGACTTCATGTTCTGGTTGCAGCTCGACATCTTCCTCGATATCTTCAGCATTCTCTGCTGCCTCTTGAGCTGTTCGCGTCTTTCGCGTCTTCTTCTCCTTGGCAGAATCTTGATTGAGCACCGTCCGCTCGGCCACTAAACTCTCGCGTCGGTCGGCCATGAGTGCAGCGTACGCTTGAAGATATGCCTCAGCTTCCCCTTGGGCATCCAACGATTGGGCATATTCCTGCCCGGTGGCCTCGTCGCTGCCCGAAAGTTTCTGAGTGAGTAAAGTGTAGATCCTAGCTCTCCACATCCAGAGCAGCTGCGTCTGCTCATTTAGTAGGTCACCTATGATTTTATTGGCTTCATTCATCTGCAAGGAAACCATAGCCTCGTCACAACTGATAGATCAGCCGGAAAACGTCTCCTTACTAATTCAGACGAACGAATCCCTCCCTGACCAAGATATGGTACAGGGACCATCAAAGTCTCAACCTTGACTCCCTTGTCGGCATTGTCTAGGGCCAATTGATCCATGGCGCGACTAGCTGCTTCCTCAGTATCTGCGACAAGGCATGAGCTAGGTCTATATAAGTCGTATGGAAGACTGACTTCTCAAGAGATTGCGCCTAATAGCCTCGGCTTCGGCGTACGCAGCATCTTCTGGTGCAGAATATGACTGGCCAAGGACATGATACATATCTCCCAACAAGAACTTAACGCGATGGAGCGCTAATAGGCTAGGGCCGGAATCAATAACAGTTACTCCGGACTTGAATAGAGGGGGCCAACCATTCTCGCAACCTATGCTGGAGACCACGTCTTTTTGCGGCGTGTTCCTCACCAGCAGCGTTGCGGGGCAGATCATCATCATCGAGATCCTCGAGACCCGTCCGGGAACCCTCCCGATCCCTCGCCTCGCCCTTGCTTGTTGATGCATCAGCATCAGCGGCCTCAGCTTGCTCTGAAGAGCCACGTTCGCCCTCGCCGTCACGTAAAAGTACTTCCTCCTTTAGTAGAGCGCCTTTCGCATCGTGAGCCGCAATAGCAGCTTTCATGTCCTCGACTAGTTCATGCGCTTCCTGCTGCGCTGCCAGAAGGGTGTCTAATGCCTCTCGATAACGAGTGCTATTGCCTTCTTCATGTTGCTGCAGCTGAGCTTGAAGGGTCATTAGTTGTACCTGGTGTAGTCTATTCAATACTAGTCACGAAGCACAGTCTGTGCCATAGAACGTGCCTTTGCTTTGCGGTTGTCCATCAAAGTCCGCCAGTTTTGATCTCTCATGCCCTATACACTTGCGTCAATGCTCGGTCTCAGGGACGCGCTGGTATGACCGTACCTCAAGTACTTCTGCCATGGTCTTCAACGCCCCAGGCTTGCTCAACTTGTCGCGAGTAGTCTGCAGCTGGCCGACCTGAGGATGTGTACATATACCTCGGAGCTTCCGCAGCCATGAACGTAGGAGACCAGGTTCTACCTGCCAGCCCTCGGAAGCAGCGACTCCACGACTATCAAGACCAAGTTCATCGAGCGCTTGCTGTAACGTCTGATCATACACCTGCGTAGAAAGGGTCAGTTAGACCCTGCGTGAGAAGGAAACGTCACGGTTCATACTGTTCTTTCAACCCGGCCCAGCTCTATGGGAACCAAGTATCGCGTCTGTTGAGGAATCGTCAATTCCGCTTGCACAGCGGCTTTGGTCGTCCTGTCCAACACATATGATTACGGAATCCGGCTGTTGGGCGCCAGAGCTTACCTGACAGCATAACGACGGAACAAAGACGTGAACTCGTGCGCATAGCCTGGAAGTAATAGCGTATTCCATATGCGCGAGGATGCCACAGCAGCGTCAACTCGCAGGAAACTGAAAACCAGGTCAGTGATTGGGGTTCAGAAGAGAACGCGTATCTTACTTCAGCACATGAGCTAAGTCGGATACTTGTGCACGAGCGGGGGTACCGGAAACAGCCCACGAGGACAAGCGCGGAATCAAGGAGACCATCTCCCTGCGAACGGATGAACGAAAATATATGTAATCTATGCCTTGAGTACTCACTCTGTCTTTCCACCGCCGACCATCTGGACCTCGTCCATGATCACTCTGTACCACTCACACATGATCAACGGGCTCCTTGAACGTTCGATATTGGAGTAAGTCGCAATTTCTCGCCGAGGTCTCGTCGGTGGTGGTCGAGCGACCGTCAGGTCTTGCTGCAAAACATTGTACGTTGTGATAACAACGTCGAACTTGTTGACGTATTGTACCCAGTCTACTATTTCGTCTTCGGCGTTGGCCTCGTCCACGTCCATGTCTGTATTGCTTTTCTTCTTCTTTCCCGTCTTCTTCTTGCCTTGGCGAGCTTTCGCCGACGCATCTTTCCTCGCTTGCGCAGCTTCAGCTTCAGTTACAGGAATCTTCAACTTTGCCCAACCGTCGTATGTCGTTACTTTCAAGTAGGGTGCGTGACGTGCTAACTCATCAATCCATTGTGGTGCTAATGAAGCAGGTGTTACAATAAGGGTAGTCTGCATATCATAGTCATCAGCCGCTGGGCTTAGTGCGAAAACGTTATACGCGTACCTTCACTTCTTTCACGTTGATCTTCGCCTCGTCATTCCACCACATATTAGTGGGCTTTCTATCGGGTAAGGCTGGATTCAGTAGGATTAATCCGATGCACTCTACGGTCTTTCCAAGTCCCGGCTCCTCCGCGAGGATACCGCCAAAAGGCTCATCTTCGTCTGGAAACTCCGTAGATAGGGAGCCTGTTAGCCGACGGAAATACCAAGGTTCTGCGTGAGGCTCTATTTCCACTTTCTCCCAGAATATTGGAAGTTCTCGCTCAGACTTAGCATTGGACTTTGGGACGACGCGTCCAGTACCATTGATCATTTTACCCTCTCTACCAAGCATCCAAACCAGAGTACGTCGCTGGAACGGAAGCAAGGTAGGTACTAGGGATTCGGGCTGGGCCGCTTTGTCGACGGTCCGTGAATCTATAGCAGGTGCTGGACCCAAAATAGACAGGAAGAAAGGAATGTCAGTCGAGCCATGATATGACGCCGGCGGCGCAGGGCTTCGGAAAACACGGGCAAGGGCACATCGTTGGCTTTCTTGCACTTCTTGTGTTTTGCGATAGTTAGATGAATCAGGAGACTGGAATATGGTCGGCGTAATCGCAGAGACGGTCATGCCTAACCGTAGTTGGAAAGGCAGGTCCTCCTCATTGCTGTCCCAGCTGGAGGGAGGCGTCACTACCATATGCAGATGACCGTCGAGTTCAACGCGCCCCTCGCGTTGCAAGACATAGCAGTCCCTCAAGAATTCGTGCGGGCCTGCTTCGAATGAAGATCTCGCACGATAGACAGGAGCACTAAGGGTATCGGGGTACACTCCTTCCAAGGTCCGAGGAATGCCAAATAATGGCATTGTTCGTTCATCAATGACAGCGGAAGCCCAGCCATTGGGGTCGAAGGTAATTTTCCCAAGATCCAGCATGTCGGGTTCTTCCATACCCTCGCAACAGGACTTCAGGAACTCCAGGAACCGCTCGTATTCAGTATTCTTGATAGGCTCATCTTGCGCAGCGGTATTACCGTTCGACTTGTCGCCTTGAGTGATGTACTGGATGTGAAAAGTGTGTCGGTATATCGGAACCACTTCCACGTCCTCGTCGGCAACTCCCACATCTTTGTTCGAGATTTCTGTCCTTCGGCGCTTCGTTCTCCCTTGAGTTGCACCCTCACCCGCCCCATCTAAGGATACCTTGCGTTTCTTCGATGATTTCGCAGTCCACGAAGCTTGCAGAGTGGTCATAAGATGCTCGAAGATCAAACGGTTTACGCTTGCCAGCCCGAGAGAGTGGTGGCTAGGATGTACAGGCACGCGGTGATAGGACTCTGAAGGCTTCATCTTTAACAGCAGGCTACTGCACTGGGACGCTGGAGCAGAACGCGACGACAGCAACGGTGAGGGTGGCGGTCAATGACAAAGAAGCGTGCAATTATGTGATTTCACAAAGACGCGTTACGCGGTCGGATCACGTGCGTGATTATAACAGGGTAACGACCACAATAGCATTCCGAGTCCCAAGAGATGAAACCAACAGGAGTACAACAACTATACTCTATACGCTTATGATATCTAAGCAACGACCTATGACCATATTTACCTTTCATTATGCGCCCTACGGCGTCCCTGTTAGATCGAAGCTTTGCCTCTAGGCTCGTATGGCAACAACAGCGCCAGGAAGCCCGCAAAGATAATCAACGCTCCTGCGATGTACACCGGGACCGCCGTCTCCAGATTTGCGTAGAGCGCGATGACCGGCGCCTGAGAGTCCCTGCGTCAGTGCTGGTCCGTACATACCTGAAGAGGCCCACCCACCAGAATACCGAAAACGCGCGTGGCAGTAGCCGTCAGTCCGTTTCCAGTACCTCTATCTTTGGCGGGGAAAATCTCAGGGGACACAGCGTACAACACACCATACATGATCTGTCCATCGCCAGTTAACCGTCAACAAGGTCCAGGAGCACGGGAGAAAGAAGAGGTGCATACGTTACTGAAAAACGAGTACCCGCAGTTCCAGCCCAGGAGCGCGTTCGAGGTCCGGGCCGTGGTGCTCGCAAAGAGAAACACGCCTGTGAGCCCTATCTTTCGCAAGGAGGTCGTTGAATAATGCAATCTCCAAGCACTAACAGACTACTCGCCCGAGGATATTGCTAGGGTCCCTCTGCGTCCGACGTAAGGAACTTCGACGCCTAAGCCGGCCAGGAATGCGCCAGGTACACCGAGTACGCTGAGTATGACTTGCTGTTGAAGTAAAGAAAATTTAGCAGACAACCATCGTGCATGAGGTGAAGCACGTACGTTTCGATAAGTGATGTAGTAAGAAGAGTCACCGAAGTGAGCGCCTCGGCTCGCAAGACTACGTCCGTCAGCATGGAGCCCCACGAGTAGCGCAAAACAGCTTACAGGTAGGGGAGAAAACTGTTATACAGAGTAGACGCGAGCCCAATGATGCCCCAGAGAGCAATCAGCAAGCTAGTAGACCAAGCCATCTTCTTGGACTGGAACAAAGCACGAATATGCCTGAGATCAAAAACGGAATCTTCAGCCAAGACACGCTTTGCTGCCCCGTTCGTATTGTCTTCATGCGGCTTCACCGCGTTACCAGCAGCAATCAGCTGCTCGACAGTGAGCTTCGATATCGTCCCGTTGAATTCAGCCACTTGGTGCACCACGGCCACCGCATCGGCGTCCTTCCCTTTGCCAAGCAGGTAGCGAGGGCTTTCATATAACTGGAAAGCGAACATCCGAATGAAGGAGAGGAGGAGAGTAATTCCACCCAGAGTGAAGAGCAGGTATCGCCACCCCATGTTCTCGGAGCGGGTACATGCCGCCTGAGTCTCAGAGCAGGAGTAGTTAGCAATTAGTGGCCATGCGATCTGCACGGGGTGCAACGCAATTAGTGCGGTGCTTTGAGCGAGAACGAGATTACTAACCAGACTGGCGATTAGTTGACCAATACACCACCATATTGATAAGACAGTTAGTAGGTATTGATGAGAGGCGGGTAGGAAATCTGGGCGACAGCCGTAAGCGACCAGAACAAGACACAAGTGATGCTGAAGAACAACCTAAGAATACGGCAGAATCCACGGGCAGATTACCGCCTACCCCAACACCGAGAACAGCTAATAAAGAAGCTAGTGCAATAAATCCGGGGGCTCCTCCGGCAGCAGTACCGAACACTCCGGCCAATAAGAGTGTGATGTTCCATGACCATCTGAGAAATGCTATCAGGCTGGATTCGTTGACTGCGCATGAAGGAGCTACCAACCGTCGACCCCATACATCGCATCCGAAGCCCCAGAACACTGCGCCTACGAAAAGGCCGATGTTGAGAGCCAGAGAGAGGAACGGTCCATTAAAGTGGAATTCGGATACCACAGGTGATAGGATCAGTCCGGCGAGAATCTGCAAGTACCCGGACAATTCAGACAGGTATAGGGGGCGAAACTGCGCTACTTACAGGCCATACACTGTCACTATAGTATTGATTAAGTCACCCATCTTCCCGAGGATTTCGAATAGAAAGACGTACGAGAACCATCCAAATCCCGCCACGGCAAAGAGCCACCACTATACATTGCTTAGCAAGGCTCGAAGAGCATTTGATGGATAAGTACCTGGTACCTCCCCATCCCCACTTCTTGTATCGCACTGCTCAATACATGAGCCTTCGCGCGATACACCGGATCCACCGAATCATCATCGTAAAGATCAACGACAGTCTTGCTATCGCTGTCGGGCCAGTCTTTCTCGTTATCGAACGTCTTCTCCCTTTCGGCCGGGTAAGAGTCGCGCGCGGGTCCTCCAGACATCGTGGCAGTAGGCACTAGAGAAAGGGTGGGGAAAGGAGCGCCTATGAAAAGACCGTTGGGAGTGGGCTCTCCACTATCGCCGAAGGCTTTTCTAGAGGACTCTGGCGCACGGTCAAGCACATCTGCGTCGGGTAGGCGTTGTGGGACCGATAGTCTCGGAATGGAAACTGCTGACAGTGTCCATTGCTCCTCACATGTGTATCATAGGTCTGTCACTTGTAATTATTCTACTGATTTCATAAGGAATTATGTGCTGAACACAGCGGTTCGTGGAAGAGAGTGATTTGTGTATGTAGAATTCGAATCTCGTCCAGTCTTCGAACTCGAATGAGGGACTGGCCACAGAACACAGCCTTTCCCATCTGAATTAATATTAATATTGCCACCAGACGGACATGAAATATCGCTCGCAGCTTGGGACATGGACAATACCTAGAGCTTGCAATAAATCCGTGGCACATGAACTGGGTTCCATTCCATTCTATCTACGATTCCTACTAGTATACATCTAAACGCTAGCTGAATCCCGAATACAAAACGACACGACACGAGAACCGCTTAGACATACTATAGCAATAAAAAACAAAACTTAAGGTAACGAGCGACAATAATGCGACTGCGACAGGGTATGACACGGCTCTAAAAATACAGCAAACAAGATGAACCAGAGCAATCCCATCCAGAGTTCCAACGAAACGACAGACGTGGGTAGGTTGTTTTTATCGATACATAATAAATGAGAGGGCGACAAATTTAGACGGCGTCGTGTCCCCGCGGTTTACCCTCCTCGTGACCCTCAAACTCGTAGGGCCCCGACGAGCAGCGCCGCGCTGACGAAATAGGTAGCACCCGGTCAGGGCGTGTGAGCGCTGGCGGCTGCAGGAATTCGCTATGCCGGCGATGCTCGTCCTCCGGCGTCGGCAGACTAGAATTCGATGCTGTCGACGGCGAGTTCGCATCGGTGGGCGAATAAGCCTGGTAGTTCTTCTCGTCCAGGTCGCCGATGTATATTGAGGTGGACAGCTGGTCGGAGAAAGACGTGAGAGAATCCCGCTTTGCTTTCGCCGCGGTATTGATAGTTGGGCGACTGAGGCCGCGCCCGGACCCGACCATCTGCGGGTAGGGACCAGAGCCCTTGTATCCCGAGGACCCGGACAGGCCGGTACCCGCAGAGCCAACTTGGGTATAACCGAGCCGCTTGCAGACGCTGTAGAAAGCGCTGCGGTAATGCTTCCGCGCCTCGTCCGCGAAACCGAAGAACGCGAAGAAAATGAAGGCGCAGAGAACGGTGAGCCAGCGGCTGAGCTCGAGGGACGTCATCAGCTCGGGAACGTTCTTCCATATGATCGCGGGGACCTGGTCAACGCGCGAGAAGCCTGAGTGGGTGTTCTGCCACGAGATCCAGGGCTCGACGCCCCCACTGGCGTTCAAGTAGAGGGAGAAGCAGGAGAGGGGTATCCCGCAGACCAGCTCGATCCCGGCGAGGCACATAAGACGGAAGTAGCGACCCAGGGACAGGTTCCTGTTCGAAGACAGGAGTTCATTGAAATCGGACCTGCGCTTTGCGAATGCCCGGATAGTCATGACTGCCACGGAGGAATGAGAACGACACAGCATCCTGAGCAGCAGAGACCTACCGCAATAAGCGGCCGATATAACGGATATAATAAGGGGCCAGATGAAGACGAGCGGGTATGCCAGTGTCACATTATACGTGAAAGGGTAGCATCCGATGTCTTCAAAAATGTTGAAGCGGTGGCCTTGGACGATATATTCTGTAGGTCAAGTCAGTATACGCGCCATGCCACCGACCGAATGCCACTGACGAAGTATCATCTGTAGGAGGGGAATCCCGAGACCAATGCTTAAATCCACCATAATGGCGCGTTGTTTCTGCACGACAGTCGTCAGTTTCGCACCCCAACAATTCGCCACGAGGGTGTACTCACTTCCGCACGTGTCCGAGTAACGGTCTTCACGCAGGAAATGTGGTACAAGCGGCGATTGATACATAAGGATGCAGCGGGAATAGCTACATTCGCGCCGATGAATATGCGCGTAGCTGTGGCGATCATCAAGTCCTGTTCCCCCACAGAGATAGGTCTGGTACTCACAGATATCGCACCAAACAGGATTCCAGTTGATCGCGTTGCCATTCCATATAATCGAATTAACGAAAAGATTTAAGCATTGAACGCCCGTCCAAGCCATGTATAAGCATGTCCCAGTGTTCCAAGCTGGTATTAGAACATTAGAAGGCGCGCCTCGCGGATCTCACAGATCCCTGCCCACCTTCCAAGTGCCAATACATAGGTACTGACACGAACACTAAACCGAGGAAGGAGAACGCGGAGAACACAGCATTGGGTGGAGGTGGCACCGTCATCTTGACAAGCCAAAAGTCGGTTGAGAGGAAAGCTGAGGTGTCACGAACCGATGAGCGACTGCTGCGCTACCGGTATGAACGGTTATGATGACGGATTGGCGTCAAGAGGGCGATGCGCTCTTCACTCCACGCAGCGTCTCTTAAGTCCTCATACCGATTTCTTGTACTCAACCATTTAGGAGATCCCCTTATGCTGGGCTACTAGCCGAGGACAAGGTAACGTCCCAAATGGTGGTGAACATCTGCTCCAGAAGCAAAGTCGCCTTACGTGAAGCCTTCCTGCTATGGACGCTTGCTTGTTGACGAAAAAGGAAATATCGGGAGCATTAGCAAAGAAATGCAAAGTTTAGCCCGGATTTGCTGATCGCGACTCACGCTAGCATTCCTCGGCCCGCACGAAGAGTTCCGTCGAGAAGACATCAGAATAATGCTGTTCCTGGCAGGCCTCTCGCTTGTGAACACGAGGCGACGAAGGCCGTGACGTCGAATGCAGTGACTAGTACGTGACGTCTGTCACGCTGGGCGTGTGTGTGGGGAGCAAGAACGACCAGAAACAAGGAAAGAGACACAAGCAGACAAGCGCAGTGTAGCCGATGACGGATGCCAGGCGTAGGCAATTCCAGAGAGACATCTGGGAAAGACAAGGGACACCGCTATCCAGGACTATCCTCCGTCGAAGCAGTACAGTGCGAAGTGGCGAGTATCATGCGGGACCAGGGATTCCGCGCGTCCACGAACAGTTACGCTGAGCTCTGACCAGCAAAGAGTGAGTTTGGCGAAGGACAAGGATTAACTAACCGCGGATTCCTCAAAGCTGTCTTCTGCCATCTGCCATCAAAGCACCAGTATGTTCAACCTGTGAGGCGTGCAACTCTCCGGTTCCATTTCGCTCGTCCATGGCAGCCATTGCAGATACCCAGGGACTCCAGCCGTGGCACAACACAGCACGTCGAGTGGCAATCATAGCAGAGAGCAGAGAGCGAAGACGTCTTTGTTAGGAACCTTTGAACGAAAGGTATATGAAGGGCTCTACGGCATTCGCCGAACCCCACTCTATTGTTCGCCACGTGGGCGCTTATTGTCTTGCATCGAAGACTCGAACTTCGATTCGCTTTCATTGTTCGGTGACGATCCTCCAGATGGAGAGGAGGCGTACTGGGAGCAAGAAACTATATTGATTATCTAATAACAGGATACTAGGGTAGGGACAGACTCCAGCGGAAGGCTGCGGGACATGCTACAAAGTGCCAGACTTGCTACAAAATACAGAGGGAACTATGCGGGAACTAAATGTACAGCGAGCTGGGATACACACAAAATGACAGACACCGAAAATGATTCGAACGAGTGATTGGAAGTCGAATTATAAATAATACAGTCATGGACGCCGACGATGGCAAGACCATTAAGCAACCGACTCCTTAACCACCGTCATATATATCGTTCCAGGGTTACGCCTCACCTCCTTCGGGCGACCCTTCCCCGTGAGCGACGGGCGCCGATAGACGGGCTTCAACAGCGGCTGTGGTTGCAGTCTGTCAGCCTGCCGTACGACAGGAACGAACCCAGAGCCAGGCCCATTGAAAGGTACATCAGTCGGTGGCTGGGGCCACGGCCCCGCGAGGATGGAGCTAGCGAGCGTCCCGTTGCTCTCTCTGCGTTGATCGCGGTCAGAGGAGCCGCCAGTGGAAGGACGCGATGCAGAGTTGTAATCTTGAGGCACGTATATGGACGGCGGGCAAGAAGGCAGGGACAGCCCGCAATGGCGAGCGGTGGGGGAACCTAGATACGCCAGAGTCGAGTGCATGAACGAGGCATCCGGGTCGGCGGCTTGGGGCGGACGAGATGGCGACGGTGCAATGGCATCTGCAGGTGTTGGTACCGACTGACCCTTAGCTGGAGTGGTGCGGAGGCTCTCGTCGGACACCGCTTTCTGCAGTTTAATCGACTGCGGACTAACAGGCGCGAGTAGACTACCTCTTCCAGAATACACGGACTCCGTACTATTGCGTTCATTAAATGTCAATGGTTTATCAGGAGTAAGGGCAAGGCCTTCACTTACTGCATTGGCAGGAGGAAAGACGGATTGGCCGACGGCCTTCGAATATGCCGCTGGACCCGCTGGGCGACGTCTCGCATCCCAATCCTCACGCTCGCGCCAAACGCGAGCGAAACCAGGGACACCAGAGATAAGGTAGGCACGATCCACCAGTCCAGCTCGAGCTCGGCCCGCTCGCACGTGGACATCGTATCCGTGCTGACAAACTCTACCTGTCCCCAGTCTGTGTGGACAGCAGAGAGAGACGTCCACGGCAGGACAGTCGACAAAGCCAATTTGGATATCACGGAGTACGCGAGGAGGAGCGCCTGAACGGCTGACATGGAGAGGAGGACCTGGAAGTCAAGTCCCGCTAGGCGCGAGCGCGCGGTGGTATGCAGGAAGAAGTCTGCGCGCTTCCGCCAGATACGCGCGGAGACTATGCCTGAAAGATATCAGTCCAGTACACAGTACTTGCTCAGATTATCTCTCACCCAAGTATGCAATGGTGCCGAGACAGAAGGCGAGGATGGGGACCCAGAGAATGATTATGGCTGGCGCTGAGACAAAGACCGCCGCTTTGCAGCCCATATCCTGGACTACGTCGAAACGATGATCCTGCACGAGCAACGCTGGAATCCGGTCAGAAAGCGACCACAATGGAATTATTAACTTGATACGGACATAACAAAATATAAATAGTAGGTACACCTAGGCAAGCGAGAGTCTGGATTCTGCTCTGCCAGACGGCAGACGTCTTCATCTCTCGTTTCGACGAGATGACCTCAAGTCGTCTGACAAGGCAAAAGCATGCGCTGGCGATTGCGAACGGCGTGGCCAATTCGAACTTCGTTACTTTTGGCCGGTTAGAAATATGCATAGAGCTATACGGCTATCACGCTGACCTAGATCGCACCAGATGGGAACAAAATGGAGATTAATCATCGAATTAACGCCATGGATGAGGTTGCATATCAAAAGCCAAGCAAAGACTGAGAGCACTGTGACCTCAAGAGACCGCCATTGCCTGCAGAGCACCACCGAGAGGAGAACAGCGCAAATGAAAGACACAATGGGTAGCTCGGGCCGCATCTCAACTCAGGTCGCCGAAGGGGGGTGGGGCGGGGGGGAGGGGCTTAAAAAATCCAGGTATCGCAGATATTTGAGAGCCAGCTCGCTGGGACCCGCATAGGTAGACGGTCGGGATCTTCAAGGTATGCGTGCCATTATTAAAAGCAGGATCGACTAGGCCAACAATTGCTCTCGTATATGGAGAACAAGAGGCGCACTTCGAAAACTCCGCGATGGTGGGAATACAACAGGAGGGATTACCGACCGAACGCGGACTCGCACACCCGGAGGGGCGAATATCAAAAGAGGCAAGGCCAAAGGCTGACTGCAGGTGCACAAATAGGTGTTCCATTGTTCCGAGCCCGATTAGGCAAGTATCTAGGAATGCACCTGATAGCGGTGGCCCGCCGGCACTGCAAGCCCTTGCAATGCGGCAGAGAAGAGATGCGATAAGTCTTGTAACATGAGCCCCGGAGAAGGTTTATGTTGTGGCTGACGGGGTGTTGAGGCTTGAACCGGAGATACTACGATTCCGCTGCAGAGCAGATGTCCTAGTCAGTACGAGCGCATCACAAACTCTAATGGAACGTCTTCGTGAGCTTACGGGTCCAGAGTCCAGAGAGTTCAATAGCCGCTTTGGTAGGCCAGTAGGAGCTCGCTGGAGAGCAGAGAACCGTGGTCGCAGCGGGTACACACGATACGTCTTCCGAGTCGACAGAACCATTCCCTTAGCAGCTAGTCTCCATTCTAGACAAAGTTATTCGATTGAAGTAGATCATGAATTATTGTTGTCACCAGGTGGGCAAAGCATAGATATAGACGTCTCTTTAGACTAGTGTCAATGCCATTGTCGAATGGACGCTGCTCGTGCGAACTGCGAAGCAGCCGTTCGACAATGGTCCTAATTCTGCCACACTGACGTGCTATGTCGGTGCCTGGACCACAAGAAGAGCACTTTGTGTAAACAGAGCCTCTGCAGAGCAACGGCTAATGAAGATGGTTCACCAGATGAACTGAGAACGTCGCGCGCGTTGGCTGGTGGGCTACGTAGCCCTGTAGCCCGTAGCCCGTAGCCCTAACGCAAAGGCTACAGGGCTACGGGCTATGGGTTCGTAGCCCCGGGCTACGGACTGCTGCACTCGAGCCGAGCTGGGCTACAGGGCTACGCGGACAGGAACCGGCCGGTTACGGGCGTCGGTAGCCCCGGGGTATGTGATGAATTGACCTCCGGAATGTATATATACCCGCTTGCTTGCAGCTCAGCGCTCAGAACCAGCGCCCCCCCTCCTCTCGTAGATGTAGTATACAGTAGCCTACTAGTATGGTACACAGAGATTCAGATATAATTTGATTTTAAGTATGATTCGACGCTACGTGCGTGTGCTAACTGCGACGCATAGGTAGTGGCATGTATCATAGTTCGGCGGCACAATGCCCATATGTTTAGTTGGTTGCGACACGCATGGCAGAATCAAAATGCTAACGTTGCGGTCGGATGAAATGAAGTATATGTCTGAAGTGTCTCTTGCTCCGTGGTGTGGCAGCACTTGCAATTGAAGTAGCGTTGCGGAGCACTAATAAATACAGTATACGCATACTTCACATGCATGTTATCACTGTTGGACAGATAACGGAAATGGATGCACTGGCACTGTGGCAGATCACGCGCATCTGAAAGTGCTTCCCGACTTTTGTCTTGTTGCATGCAATCGTAAGTCACGCTGCCAGTGTGCTTTGGCGTGGCACTTCGAAAAATTCGACGCTAGTATACATGTACATATCAGGCACATCCAATAATATAACCGATACTATTTAGAGAAGGACATGGAATACACACTAGGGCGCGAGGGGAGAGAAGGGAGGGGATTCAGAGGAGACTAGGATTTATACCCTGGCCTAAGCTCCGCCATTCTGGACGCATTCGCCGGCGTGAGCTTCGGAGCTCTCGGCGGCTTCATTGAGGTCGCAGAGCTAGGCCGGCCATAAGCCAGCCAGTCTGACGCGGGGCTACAGGGCTACGAAATGTCGGAAGCCCGGGCTTTGCCAGGGCTACGGGCTACGGGCTACAGGGCTACGTAGCCCAGCTGCCAGCGGGCGCGACTTTCTGGATGAACTTGGAAGGAGCGTTCGGCTGAGCTGGAGGGGCGCTAAAGAGCGTGGGATTGACTCCGGCAACGCCCGGTAGCGCACAAAATCGAGAAAGAATTTTCTCTCCGCTAAGGTTGTCCTCTTCGCCCCTTCTCTGGGTTGTATTTGTACTAATGTCGCGTCTAATAGTCAAGAACCTACCACCCTATGCCACGCCGACCGAGCTGAAGTCCCATTTCCTTCGCAAGGATGGGCCAGGCGGGACGATTACCGATGTGAAGGTCGCGTTCAAGAAAGACGGTACGTCGAGACGGTTCGGGTTCGTAGGATTCAAGACGGAGGGGGAGGCGCAGAAGGCGCGGGATTGGTTCGATAAGACGTTCTTGGGGTCGTCGAGGCTGAGCGTTGCCGTCGTCGATGTGAGATTTCGTGAATATCTCGCGTTTTTTTCCCCTGAAAATGGAACCTTGGTAGGGCGTGAAAGACGCGCCTGCGCCCAGGCCAAATAAGAGGCCAAGGCTAGGGCCCTCACCTCACGAAGAGGGTGGCAAGCCTGCCCCGAAGGAGAAGAAAGCAAAAGAGACTGGCGATGAGCAAGCCAAGGAAAAGAAGTCGGGCAAGAAGGAGAAACAGCTTGAAGAATTTATGAAGGTCATGCAGCCTCGAACGAAGGGTCGGACATGGGCCGACGACGTTACGGTTACAGAGCCAGCCCATCCCTCCTCTGATCAGACGAAACCGAAGAAAAAAGACAAGAAGAAGAAGGCGGAGGATGTTGAGATGCACGACGCCGAACGGGCAGGCGGTGACGAGGAGCCCAAAGAGGAGGGGATATCCGACCTCGAATGGATGAAACGCAGGATGAAGGCCGTCGCCGTGGAGGAGAAAGTGTTTGAGCAGTCCGACGAGGAGAACGTGGACGAAGAGGAAGATCCGGAGGAAGAGGTAGGCTTCAAGGAAATTCTCTGTCCAGAAAAAACCTTTGAGCCTACTTACACAGGACCAGACGAAGGGGGGGAAAGACATGGACCCGAACAGGGGGACGATCATGCAGACGTCGAGACTGTTTGTCCGGAACTTGGCATTCTCATGTACGGAAGACGAACTGCGAGATTTATTCCAACAATACGGCGAAGTGAATCAGGTGAGCCTTCTTTATCCTCATACAAGACATGAAATGTGCGGTTGGCTTTGCGCGGGATGATAAGACTGAATAGGGACATCAGACCCTCAAGGGGATGCTGATTTATTCGGGAAAGATAGTAGAAACATATCTGACGCTTGCCTTTTCGATTTGTAACGTTTCTGAACTATGACTGACACTTCTCCTTCATTCAGGTAAGCATCCATACCATCCATCCGATTGCGGATGAAAATCTAGTATAGGGACATCAGACCCTCAGGGGAATGTTGATCCATCCGGGAACCTAAGATAGTAGAAATAATCTGATTTTGTTTCTATGTTCAAGAGATTACCATGGTGCTAACAGGAAGCCCTCATAGGTTCATCTCCCTCTTGATACGTCGACGAAGCAACCTAAGGGGTTTGCCTACGTATCGTTCGCCCAGCCTACATCAGCTGTGGCTGCGTACGAGGCACTCGACGGGAGGTCGTTCCAAGGCCGTTTGCTGCACATATTGGCTGCGGTCGACAGGAAAGGGAAGGTGCAGGTCGAGGAAGGTGAAGGGAAGAAGAAGTCGGTGAAGGACGAGAAGGAGGAGAAGAGGAAGGCGCTCGCCGGGAAAGGGTTCAATTGGAGTATGCTGTACATGAACGTGAGTTACTCCTGTTACGGATCACCTGCCACTGTCATTATATGGTGTTTGGTAGAGCGATGCAGTGGTCTCGTCCGTCGCGGACCGGATGAACGTTTCCAAAGCGGACATCCTCAACCCCGAGTCAGACAACGCGGCCGTGAAATTGGCTCTCGCAGAGACGCACGTCATTCAAGAGACCAAGTCGTATCTCGAGGCCCAAGGCGTCGTTCTCTCTTCTTTCTCAAGTCGCGCCCGGTCGGACACGATCATCCTGGTGAAGAATATCCCGTACGGGACTACTGCTGAGCAGATACGAGAACTGTTCGAGCCGCACGGGGAGCTCGCGAGAGTGCTTGTGCCACCGGCCGGTACCATGGCTGTCGTCGAATACATCCACGCTGACGAGGCCAGCAAAGGATTCCGGGCCGTTGCCTACCGGCGATTGGGCAACTCCATTATCTACCTGGAGAAGGGACCGCTAGGCATGTTCCAGGAGACCGCTGAGGAGGTGAAGAAGAAGGCCGGCGGACCGGTGACGTCCACGGCAGTGGCCCCGGTGAAGATATCCGAGCAGGATGCACCGATGGAGGGCGAGCCGCCACTGGCCGCCGGGTCCACGCTCTTCGTGAAGAACTTGGCGTTCTCGACGACGGCGGAGCGGCTGACGCAGGTCTTCCGTAACCTGAACGGCTTTGCGTTTGCACGTGTGCAGACGAAGCCCGATCCGAAGAACCCGGGTGGGCCGCGGCTCAGTATGGGGTATGGATTCGTTGGCTTCAAGACGCCGGAGGCGGCGAAGCAGGCGATTAAGGGGATGCAGGGGTACGTGCTTGATGGACACGCACTCAGTGTCAAGTTTGCTGGGCGCGGTGCGGAGGAGGAGCAGAGCGGTGGGAAGAGCGCCGCGAAGGCGCATACGACGAAGATGATCGTGAAGAATGTGCCGTTCGAGGCGACGAAGAAGGATATTCGGCAGTTGTTTGGGTGCGTACTTCTGATGTGGCTCGTTAAGGCCTGTGCTGATCATTATGCAGATCTCATGGTCAGCTCAAGTCCGTCCGGCTACCCAGAAAGTTCGACCACCGCTCGCGCGGCTTCGCGTTCTTGGAGTTCGTCACGAGGCACGAGGCGGAGAACGCCTACAATGCGCTTCGGCATACGCACTTGCTCGGGCGGCATCTTGTGCTTGAGTGGGCCGAGGAGGGCGAGCAGGATATTGATGAGCTACGCAAGAAGGCGGGTGTGGGTTATGGTGGAGGCAAGGAGCTGCCTGGTAGGAAACGTAAGTTGGAACTGGGGGATGAGGATGCCGGTGATGCTGGCGGTGGCGAGGAAGACTAGTGTCATGTAGACGTGGACGTGCTAATTTATTATCGGATTTCTGTGCTACATCGTACCGGTACCTCCATCCTGCATATCCCCCCTGCACGGGGCCCACTCACCCTGCTGCCGACGCGTGCTGCGTGACGGTGTGTGACGCACCGTGTTTAGGCGGTTACGCGTACGCGTTGTTAGCGTGAGTAAACAAGCGAGCGCCCACAACTCTCGCTGTGGCTTCTGCCTGCAGTGGACATGCAGCACGACAATCCTGCAGACTCAGACACGCTGATGGCGTCCCCGCCTTCGAAACGGCAGCGAGGGCGTCGCGAACGGTCACAGGAGACGGTAGATTCCAGGGCAATGCCTTCTCCATACTGGTTCGAGGACGGCGACATAGTTCTCGCCGTCGAGGCGCATACTTGCAAGATTCACAGAGCGAAACTGACCTGCTCGCTCATCTTCTCTGATATGCTCGACCTGCCGCAGCCTGTAGAGACGGACAGCGTGGACGGCTGTCCGTCCGTCACTCTGTACGACTCGTGGAAAGACTGGCTGGTGGTATTGGAGTGGCTGTATGCTCACGAGTGCGTACCCGGTGACATTCGTTCTGTCATACATTCTGACGACTTCGTCGACTTAGCGCGTTTCGGAACAAACCCATCGTCTTCGATGCCTTGGTTGGGGCCCTACGGATATCTACCAAGTACGAAATCTCTGAGCTGAGAGATTGGGCTGTGGCCGAATTATGCGCCCGGTGGCCGCGCGAGCTCGAACTGCTATCAACGCAGAGCCTGCCACACGCTGCAGGTAAGTCAGCCCGCCAAGCCTTACACGCACGTCCTGACGGATACCGTTCAGAGGCGATAAACCTGGCAAGAGAGTGCGACGTCCCGGAAATCCTGCCCGGTGCGTTCTATGCTCTCGCCGTCCAGAAATGGCACTGCAGCGCCGAGGGCGGACGTTCGCACGTTGTCCTCTCCTCCGCAGACCTGCGGCGCATCATCGCCGGCAGGGAGCGCCTCCAGGACTATCTCGTCCAGATTGTCATCGACCCGCTAGGCCGGAGCGACGAGCCCCCGCCGCCCTTCTGCGCGGGCTGTGTACCGCCTCTGGAGCGCTACTGGCGGGAGAAACTGGCGCCCGACCCGACATCTCCCTATGGCTCCTGGCTCCTCCGCGACTTGCTCGCGATGGCCAAGGAGGACGGGCCGATACCGATGCTGCAGACTGTCTGTGCGAATTGCAGTTTCTTGCATTATTCGCTGCTTTATGATCGGATGCGGACTCTGAAGCAGAGTATACCGAGGCTGTTCCAGCTTTGACTCCGGTTTCTTCAAGACGGTATGATGCCAGCTTGTGACGATATCTTAGACTATGCTCTTGGCTATGCTGCTGTTATAGTATGCTTTATATGATCTAATCAGAATTGAAGCCCCTGGCAGCGTGCCACATCACCACGCCAAATCGCACGTAAGGAGCGCCGCGCCGGCCTGGATGGACAAGATGCCTCCAACCTCCCCTATCATATGCCCGACAAGCCCATGCGCAACTGCTCACGACCCCAGCTGGCCTAGGCACGAAGCACCCGAGCACTGCTTTGTGTGGGCGCCCTCCTCGGCGACCTGGGCAATTCGGGCATGACACCCTCTTCTTCTGTGGGAAGCAGTCGTCTGCGCATGAGTACAACATTACTATGTCTCTGCCCGCGAATGGATATGACGAACATCTACTCGCCAGCGCGCCGGCCGCTACTCGGGCAGAGAAGCAGGTGAGCTATGTCCTGTTGCCCGTCAACCACGGGCGACTGAAGTAATCTGGCGTTAGGAAGGATACAACGTGGACCTGCTAGAGGAAGGTAGAGGAGACGAGAGGACGTCTTCTCTCCTTGGCCACGCTCCCACCCCCAGCTATGCCCACGACAACCGCCTCTCGCGCGACACAGAGACTGTCCAAGACTCGCCCACCTCGTCTGAGAAGCCACCCGCCTTGTACGCCCCGCGATCCAAGCCGTGGTGGCGCACGCCCTCTGGGGTAACCGCCATGATTGTGATGGCCATGGTAGTCATTGGCGCCGTGGTAGGAGGTGCGGTTGGGGGAGTGTTGGCGGGGAGGAGCGGTTCGAATGCCCTCGCTGCGAGTGGGAGCGCTTTCACGACGACGACGGCGAACCCGGTTGCGTCGGCGCGCCAATCGGGGACGGACGCGATAACGCGGGTGTCGACTGGCGGCCCTGCTGCGTTCACTTCGCAGGGCGCCCCTGCTTCTGCTTCCTCCTGGTGGAACACAGCGACGGCGAACACGAAATTCCAGTCGATATCGACAACGTCTACTTGGCTGGCCGTGGGCAGCACGAGCTGGCCGGAAACGGGCACGAGCTGGCCGGGAACGGGCACGGGGGCTTGGACAGGAACTGGTGGCGGAACGGGAACGGGAACGACCGCAGGGGAGGGGACGGATGGAGGCGTTCCACCTACACCCATGCCTACGCCTGCTACTACGCCGGCGCGCATTGTCGCGTTCACGTCTGTCTGAAAGGCGTCGTGCTTCCTATTGCGTTGCTAATACCGCGATCTGCGCTCGAACTGTAGGGAAATAGTCATAAAGCGCCGAAATCTTGATGATGCGTTTTGCCATTTTTACTTTACTTTTTACTTTCTCTGATATTGAGAGCTGTGACGAGAAGAGACAGATGCATGATGGCAGATGGGTCACTTGAGCTCGACAAACAGCACACCACCGTTTCTTGAGCTCAGATGGCCCGTCTCCCGTATGGCTTGCTCGCGTGGTGGCTGCCCTTGGCCTCGCAATGGGACAATGGACGAGCAGTTTGACTATGCGGATGACGTCGGCTCATGGTCGGTACTTTGGGCGTCTTCTGCGTGCGGTGGAAGTGTCCTGGACTGCACCTTGAGTTCCAGCTGAATTTCGGAAACATGTGCGTCCACAACGCCTCGGGAAATCCCGACCCTTTTCATATACGGAAGCGCTCAAAGTACTAGTGCAGCCACTTCGTCCTGTATGTAGCAGACTGAGATAGCGGCGGGGAAGGATTCGTCTGCGTTCTTGCCGTCGACCGCCATCCTTGCTGTCGTCTTACCATCCGCTTGCGCTGTTCAACATGGCTGCCCCTGTAGAGTGCGTTGTATGTCTGGATAAATGCGTGAGACTCACGTCGTGGTTAATTAATATTATAGCGACCTCAACAAGGCTTATATCCAAGCTCAAGCCAAACCGAGACCAATAAAGCCCAAGCCGGGCCAGCATCTCGACGTCTTTCCCGCCCGCCTTCCCCGCCGTTGCGAACCTCCTCTCATTTGCTGCGTGGTGGAGAACCTGCGGCCGCCAATGTACCTCCTCGGTTGGCACTTTACCCTGGAGGAATTTGTGGCCCGCTTCGGCAAAGGCAACCCTGTGCATGTGTTCAGGGACCGCATCCAAGAACCCTTCTACGCGAAGCACAAGGGAATGAATGTGTGAGTATATATTGTGTTACAGTAAGCTTCGCTGACGGCTCGCAGGCCCGGTCCCTCGCTGGACACCACCTCACGGAGCTACATAGTATTCGTGGGTCGAACTCAGCACCGGGCGCACTTGAACTTGCCCCTGAGGACAAGTCGGTTGAAGGTACCAAGGCCTTGCTCGGAGAGACTTCCGACCCTGAGGGGATTCGTATCCCTTTGGCTACCTGCTTATCAGCTGTTTAGAAAACAAGTGGTCGTCTTTTGTGCGTATTTCTTCCTACCAACGAGGTACATCATAAATGGGCATTCTTGTAGTGTGCTGCGAGTTCCGAGGCTGAGAGACCGAATGCGCGTCTCAGCGATGAGGGTCAGAACTCCGGTATATAAGATGCAGTCAGCCGCCATTTACACCCAGGGTTCCCGAGACTCGAGCATTCTGACCTTTACACTTCTCTGCATCCTGTGGCAGCCACCTTATACCCTGCTATCCCTCCCTGTCAGGTCGGCATGCATGGGGCCTATCAGTCGAGATGAGACTCAATCTTATGCACTAAACAAAGCTCCTCGATGCTGCGGCCCAGACATACACTCAGTCCAAGCCACAGTCGTGAGAAACTGTCCCAAAGTGGAATAGGGCGGGGCACCATCAGCAGCGCCTCTTTGGATCCGTCAATGCATGGGCGCTCGGGGCGGTGTTCACTCCCAGCTCTGCGGCATACCGCCTCCACGACGCCAACGCGTTCGTCGTCTTTCTTGACACCAACAGCGACGACGGTCTGCGCCCGATGACACAGACCGACCCAGCGAGCGGCTACGACCGCGGGCTCTTGGCTAGCGCGCCGGTCGCCACCCGCGCTGCAAAGCAGGTGTGTAAATAGCCGTTCATCTGATTGTGGATGCAGACTGATGGCTTGGACTTACATGTAGGGCGGCTACGACGTTGACCTGCTAGACAAAGACCCCTATACCGGCAGACCCTCGGCGTCCTCCAGCAGGCACACGCTCCCGCGCTCTCCTGTCCAGGCAGAACAGGGTCTTCCGCCGCAGGAAGACCCGCTCTATGCCTTTGCCTCGCCGAACAACGCGCGAAGGAAATCGTTCTGGCGGACGCGCAACGGGATCATCACTATCTCCGTTGCGGTCGGCATCTTCATCCTCGGAGCGGTCCTCGGAGGTGCTATAGGCGGAACAGCGAGGAGGAGGCACCAGCACTCAGACTACAACACGTCCCCGGGCGCCTCGGCGCCCGCGGGGTCCGACGGCTCCTCCACCGCCGCGTTACCCTCGTCGACGATGTCGGCGCCCGAGAGTGGTGGCGATTCCACCAGCATGACCGCGCCTCAGGGTACCGGCGGTGTGTCGTTACCGGTCGGGACGAGTACTTCTGTCGCCGGAGGGATCGCGACAGACCTCGTCTTCACCGCCATGCCTGTACCTACGTCTGTCTCCGATTCGGGCGTGCAAGCCTACGCGGCTGACTCGGGGTCATGAGTTATTATGGACGAGATACCCTGTGTTTATGGCGTCTATTACACGGTCATTGCTCTAGCGACATCGCGTTCGGTAATCTTTACTGGATTCTTACGGCTGTATTTACGTTCAGGAGGGCGGATGTCATGGGAAGAATGGGCCTTCCAGCGGCGGACAAGTTCGCACGACGATTTTATATGTACTAGCCATTCAACCCGAGACGGACTAACCATTCACTATCACGCGCTGACATTGTCCAAGCAAGAACCAAAGTTCGTGCTCCTCACACCCAGAACCCAATGCTAATCAGCCCTAAACTATAGGCAAGCCCCCATACCGCCCACCCAACACCGTATTCCCGGGCGACAGTGCGTTTGGCGTCTGGGGGTACGTCACATGCATACTTGCATGATGCGCATCCGGCGTTGCAAGGGACAACGGATTGTACTGGTATCCGCCAAACGGCATCTGCCGCCCCTCACTTGTCAGGGTCGTCGGCGAGAGCATGCTCGACGGCGCGGGGCTCGTCGCGCCGTATCGCGTGGAGGAGTCAGAGGCCTTGAGGCTCTCGGCTGCCAGTGGGTACGTCGTGGGGTCTGACGGATCCTAAAGTGGCGATGTCAGTGAGGGCGCGTGGAAGCAAGGATAGCAAGGCGTACGTATAGTTTTTGTGCCGGGAACGCCGGGGTTGGACCAAGTGTAGGCCCGGGGGAGAGCTCTCTCACCGCTGGATCCGGATTCCCTTCAGGATGACCCAGCTTTAGTGGCTGAAGCACTCGCATTGCCATTGCAAGCTCACCTGATGGGCGGTTCGCCCGCCTTCGGCGCATGATAGCAAAGCCAGCAATCGCCAGACCGGCGAGGCCGGCGAATACCACTCCGCCTACGACGCCCCCAGCTATGGCTGCGGTGTGGACGTGCTTCGTCGCAGCAGTGGTGCTGGAAGCTGTTGCGCTGCTCGTGGCGGTTGTGGAGGTAGAGCTTGGGGATGTGGCGTCGGATGGGGCGGTCATCTCGGGGAACTCTGGTTTGGGCGGCGAGATGATTGGATCCTTTCAGTCTTGATATATAGAATGAAGTGCGCTGAGGCTCACCTCCCAGGAGATGCGGGATGGACGCGTTATAGGTGCTGTTAGCTGTCTTGTCGGGACTCAGTACCTTATATTGCCGGGTTCGTCGACAGCGGCTTACATTGCCGGTGTAATTGTAGTACGCCCAGTAGGGCAAAGCTATCCCAGGTGGTATGGTCCATGGAAAGCTGCGAAGACATGATGATTACACTCAGCACTCACATGTAACAGTACGAGAACAGACCCATTGGCAGAGTTCAGGCCAGCATCGGTACACCTTCCTTGCCAATCTGGCCAACTTCCAACAGAGTCGTCAGCTCTCGTTATCGACCACTGGCAAAGCACGCGAGCATGTACTTGTTCCAACCAGCGCCTTGGCATGCGGCACATGCGCTCAAGAGGTTGTAAGCCACGGTGTTGCAGCTGCTAGGACCAGTGGGGATGTAGGCGTAGGAACTATTTATCGCGGGCAAGAATTCCATATCTACAAAGCAATATATTAATTGGTCGAAGATGTTGTCCGTCACCGCGGGCGTATACGCACAGCTCGTTAGGTTCGATATAATGTATGCGAGGTAGCATGGCGACTCTCCGAGGGAATTGGTCACCTACGAGACATTGAATCAGCGGAGCCACAGTAAAGAGTGGTCACGTACCGTAGCATTAGCTATAGTGCAAGTTGCATTGGCAGCACTGGTATTCCCGGTGAGCAGCGCGAGTGTTCCCAGCGTTACTACGACTTTGCGCATGACTGCAAAGTGGTGGTCCTTGTAGAAGGGGGAACGCGTGTTATAGCCCGAGGATCCGCAAAAGTAGACCGAGGCATCCACATGTTCCTTTATGTGGCCGTCAGATTCAACTATACCGAGGCCACCGAAGCAGGCGGGAATAAACGCTGTGCGAGCCTATATTGCGTCCAGCACACCCGAGTTACTGCCACAGGTCGATCGGCGAAGTGGGCATGTCGGGCATAAAGACGCGTGAAGGAGCGGAGGGAACGGTTGATTCGGAGCGATGCTGGTAATTGATGGGTTAGATTCACGCGCACAGGATGCGTCCACACCAGAAGTCGTCAATCCAGTACCCTGGTAGTAACTAGATGACAGGTGAGTACGGGATATACGACACTTACATCCAAATCTCACATGCAGACGTCTCATTTACAGCTCAGGAAGAGCGGAACTCAAAGAGAATTCGGTGTAACGTGATAAGGACATGCTTACAAGTACAGGGACCCACAACATACGGCATCCCCGAAGTATTCATTTATATACCGACCTTGCAATTTCCCTGAACTCGCTTTTGGCACAAGGGCTCCAGGCAGGCGCATAATCCTCAGGAGGCTCTGGGGTGTCAACAAATATCATTCCAAGAACGCTGAATGCACGTTCCAAGTCAACCATAAATAGCACGCAAACCTATTGGGCCTCAGGAAGCCCAGGATAGTGTTCTCCTGGACGTTGCGTTCCCGTGGGGCTCACGGGCAACAGCGAGCTGGTAATGGTAGGAGTATACTCGGGAGGGTCACCGCGGTCCCGCATAGTTGGCGACAAAGGCGACTGTAATATCGCCGGCAATGGCGTCTCCATTGCTCTACCGGTTGGACTCGTCACAGTAGGAGCATGCTCCAGCGTTGGGAATGTAGATGGGTCCGAGGGATCCTACCCAGAAGCGGTGAATAGTGGGTTCGATAGGGCAGTCGAAGAAAATGTGGGCATACATATAACTTTTGCGGCGCGAACGGTAGTCCCACCGAGGCAGACTGCATACCGGGGAGAACATAATCCAAATGCGCCGCTACTCGAGCCGTCAGAACCCTCTTGATACTGAAGTAATCTACGACTACGCACCCATGTCCCTCCGGTGTACTCGTCTCCGGTACGCGAGGACCCCACCGATGGCTAGGGCAGACAGCACTATGAAGAACACCCCTCCAATTACGGACCCGGCGATAACTCCGGCCTCGTTCCATTTTGCCGCTGCCTGAGAGACAGAGTTGGACGTGGCTGAAGTGCTCGTGCTCATCGACGAGTCAGGTGATGTGGTTTGCGATGCCGCGGTGCCAGTCACCTCGGGTTGTTCTTGCATGTCCGATATAAATTTTTACTATGTGGCGGAAAGAGACGTGGAGGCCACACACCTCCTAGGTTATGAGGGATTGACGGGCTCCACCTCGTGTCATTTGCCTACGAGGCTTATTAAAGCTGATCAGCAGAAGAAAGGAGCTTGCTGACGTTACTGCTGTAATTATAATAAGCCCAGTGTGGAACAGCGACACCCGATGGCAAGGCGTAAGGGAAACTAGGGATCGAAATCAGGCACAAGATCACGCCCGGTTATCGAGAGACGGACCCTTCCTGTGTTGTGATGCCATGGTCACTGCATTCTTGCTGCCAATCTGTCCAGCTATTTGGGGCGGTCAGCTCGCTCTTTTAGGGCCGGACCACAGGCATACTTTAGCCATGTCGCACCCTGGCAGTACGCACAAGCGCTGAACATGTTGTAGCTGACGCTGTTGCACATACATGTAGCACCTGGTTCGTAGAAGTTCCCAGGGAGCAATGCCTGCTCCGTGTGGGGTTCTAACACATCTGTCACTCGAGGTAACGGAGAGTTAGCAGAATGAAGTACCTTCACAAACGCTGTTTAGATAAGCTCCTATTAAGCAGGTCGACTGGCCCATGGAATTGTTGTTCTGGTTGGAGGATACATTAAAGGGGGGAAAGGTAATAGTTCAACGACGCACAAAAAATGCAGATACAGTACATTTGGCGTCGGTCATCTGCCCAGCAACACGTCTCCCTAGGAGCACAAGGCAGAACAAGAGATAAGTAGACACCATGTCGAAGGGTGGCAAGAACGCGCGCGAAGGTCGCGCGTGCGTCTCAGCATGGGACTTTATCACGTCGACGACCGAGTCGACCGAGCATCCGGGGCGAATGGGAGAGCTATGAGCGGACACCGGGCGTACTTCCGAACGTAAAGGCCGTGATGTTTGGCGCCTATCGCGACTCGGGTCTCACGGCGAAGGGTTCGTGCAACCTGGCTCATAGCCCCCTGAAGATGTGGAACCCGGACCACCGCGCCTTCAGACAAAGTTCAAGTGTTCACTTTACAAGTTGATATGCATCTCAGTAACTCGCAGGTCCAGGATTCGCTATGAATTGCCATTGATCGCCGGTATAACCAAGGAGGACATATCTGACATCGTATCGTTCACGCCTGAGACACGGTAGACTTCGAATGAAACAAACGGGTCCACGTAGTCAGCATACTTCACGAGAGTTTCACTCAACACATAAAGAGATGCGGTCGGTTAGTCGACGAATACCCAATAGTCCCAGTTTTGTTCTATAGCCAGCTGGAAAGAACGAAATCTCCAAAAGGGGTAAAGGGTGTATGTAGTCTCTTCAGCTCCGTCGAAGTGTTCAAGTCTTCGAGACGGTCGTTCGAAATCGTCCTCAAAACGCGAGCAAATAGAGCTTTCGTTTGCAGGTTTGGTCGCAAAAGACAGGCAGCAACACATAGCCAAGATAACATTGGGCTTCTGGGAAACATCGCAGTGCACTTTGGGACTGAATTGAAGCGACCAAGGTGTGTTCGGAAATCCCCGGCATCCTTCGGAGCTGACGGGACTTCGCTTGATTGGTTCCATCTTGCAGCAAGCAATACCAGGCAGTCCGTAGCGGCAAAGAACAGGGTGATGAGCACAAACGATGCGGACATTCAAGTCGAGAGGGTGCACCCGTAGACGCAGGATATATTCTGCCCCACTCTGCGGGTAGGAGTGCACAAGCTAGGGTCCCCGTAGCATGACTATAATTACAAAGTTCACTTATATGATGATCATAGCGGCGTTTCATCAGATATCCGTCAAGCAGAGCCGCTTGAGCTGCATTCACGATGATGATTCCCCTCCCTTAAGCCTCACCCACTCACTCAGACATAAGCGCTTTCAGTTTCCTTCTCTTCCCTGTATGTCGCACAGCGCGGAAGGCCCGCTTCGCGGGGAGTATGATCAGAGCCTGCTCACAGAGGCGCCTGTCACAACACGGGCTCAGAGACAGGTACGCCACTTGTCATATTCCAAACCTCATCAATAATTGGGGTGAACAGGAAGGCTACGACGTAGACTTGGCCAGGCCTATGACAGCATCCTCCACCGGGCCTTTGACTGCCTCTGGTCTACACGCGCAACGTATTCTTCCTACCTCCGTAGTTCCCTACGAGAAGCCATACTATCTACCAGACACACCGCCGCCAAACCCCTCCCAAACTAGACCCTTCTTCTGGAGGAGCGCCGTGGGAAGACTGATGATCTCCCTCGGTTTCATCCTTATTGTGGGGGGAATCGTAGGAGGCGCAGTAGGAGGGACGGTTGGGAGACGGAAGTCGTCGGACCACGTTGCCGCAGCGGTCAACGCATCATCCACCGGTAGTATGTCTCCTGCTGTTGCGAGCAGTACTAGCCTGCCGGATGGCGCAACGGCGGGGATTGGGAGCGGCCGTAACATTTCGGAAAGTGGCACTTCAATTTCATCCACCGTAACTGAGCCTGTCGTGGGGGCGTCGTCATCTACAACAACCGGATATGTCGGCGGCTCGCCGTTAACCAGCGGAACGAGCGGTAATGGAGTACCGCCTTCCGGCTTGGGTCCACCGCATGGACCATCCCCAAGCTGCTATCTGTTCAACCCCACCTGTTACGTTGCTACGTCTCCGACGACGAGCCCCACTTCATACCCCGGGCCCCAGAGCTGAAGTGAACAGGATTACGAAGTTATACTCGCTGTCTCAATACGACCAGGAGGGCTCGTCGAAATCGTAATAGGTCCGCTAATGCACTGAATAGGTTGTTGTATTCCTTCCGCAGGTATCGTTTTCGTTGGACCAATTGGCATACATCTCGTACTTACAATATACTATATATACGCTTTCGCCATTCCTGTTCTTCATCGTACCCAAGCCATGCGGCTCCTTCTTGAGTTCGCGCACAACTGATGCTCTCCCGGCTGAATGACAACGTCCTGCCGCGGCCCGGGAGGCTAATGGGTAGAAAGCGCTCCCTGCCTTGTATGATCTCATTCCCAGTAATGGTTCGCAAGGGTCAATGCCATTAGATTGTTTGTCAGGGTGTGCACGTGGCAGCAAAGTTCCACATATACTGAGAGGTCTTTAACCTTCGATACTGACGCCTTCAGATAGATCGTACCTGTGCATGTCGAAGAATGCAGTAACTCATGGCTGTACTCATTTATTCGTTAGGTCCCAGATTTTTCATCCATATGAGAACGTTCCTTTTGGCACTCAGACGCACGTTTGAACAACGCTGACAGTGACACCCAAGGGATATATATGAGGCGAATTAGTGAGTATATGTAGTAGCAACAAGTGAACCCAGACCTTAGCGCCTCTCTGTTGAGGCGGAGTCTCTCAGCCAACCACAACGACGCTACCGCATCGGTCGCAACGGACGACGTGATTGAGCAGTCAGCCAATGCACTCCATCCATATCAGCTGTTCGCCGAGGCCCAGACAATATCCGACCACTCAGAAGCTTCGCGGGGCAGAAACTAAGGCCCAAGCGGGACCAACCGAAGTTATATGTCAACTGGGCGAATATCGATGGTCTACTTTCGCCTCATCCTCCACCGACCTCAGCGCCATCTTATAAGTGTCCTACCCCTACAGCATAATCAGAGAGACAGCAAGGAAGGGTATACTTAATGATCTTTGTTTCGCATCCTGATGTTCGTGCCATTGTGGCAGGCACGTGCTCGTGCCACACGAACCCGCGCCACAAGAAGAAAGGGCCCACCTCGCCACAGTCGCAGGTCTACATAAACCGCTACCATCTCTTCCCAAACATTTCTTCTCGAAACCTCCGGGAGTGCGTGAACTCATTTACACTGGTCTATCGAGCTCTTTCCGATATACGAACTTCGGTGGTCCTGTACGCCTCACGCAACATGTTGGACTCCCTCTCACCAGTGACATACTTCGAAGACAACCGGTATCACTATGCCACCTCGTACGCTATAGCTGTGAGTTGTCGCCTTGATTCTAACTTGCCGTGGCTTCAACTTATCCACGACTGTGAAGGTTAAGGCAGCTGCAACGGCGGCGCCTACGTTCTGTATGGCTTACAAAACAGCCGGCTACATCCAAGACCTGGAGGAAGAGTACAGAGGGAAGGATGTCGCGAATGTAAGCAATATGCTTGGAGAGTGGGATACGGGCTCACAAGAGTGCAGTATGCTGATACCGAAGGCTGCCATGGAGCTATGCTAGGGTGCCACGAAGTGGCGCCATACGACGACTGGGAGGAATTGTTCGGAGCGTACTACGCAACCAGCAGTTCCGAAGATGAAGATGAAGCGTGGGATGCCTCTTCATATTCTTCGGGCTGCGACCCCATCGACGGAGATTTGATCGTACTCCATGCCTCCGACTCTTGTTCGGTGCCACACATAATCCTCACACCCGCGCCGCCACAAGACCCCTTCGTTGGATACGCAAACTATGTCAACGCGAGGATGCCTCAGGATCCTTCGTACTTGACGACTCCTGAAATCAGGTGCACGTACTCTCGGCTTGATGAAGACGATGTCGACTGCGGCGAGCTCTTGGAAGAAAGCGAGGATGACGAGTCGGCAGATGAAGATTGCTCGGGATGGGAAGAAGAGAGCACGCCCAGGAATTGCGTATCCAGGTCAAGAGTTGACGGTGTCAAGGGCCTCCCTGATTGGGACATCGGTCTTGTCACTGTCAGCGTCGCGCCGGTGGATTTTGAAGACGAAGCAGGACTTCCGTCAGGCTCCGCGGGCACGCACACGCATGCACGATGGATAGCATCGACCTACTAGACGCCATAGATAACAGGTTCGGTGGTCGATGTACCTGTATAATATGTATCAGAACTATCATTCGTGGGTTTAATAGGGTCTCACAAATAGAGTGATGGTATTACCATCGACCTCTGATAATGAATGGTTGTGTATATGTCCGTTTATTCAACGGTCGAGCAGGTGGAGGGTTGGGATACAGGTTCAGGTACTCAGTAGCTTCCATTTGTCATGTTACCTCTCATCGAAGACAACCTCTGAGCATCTTACGCACTTGTCTAGCCACGTCGTTCGTCGTCCCCAGGAAAGCCACGAGTCCGGTACGTGCGACAGCCGACATGCTCCTGACACCTCAACCTCTCGGAGAGCCTACTTCCAAGTGGATGACCGCGTAAGACGGCAAGGAATTTCGCTCGTTTGCAGGCTGACCCTCCAGTAGTAGCGTACGAACATCGAACGCGTACAGAACAAATGGCAAGAACTGCTGGTTGCTGGACATGTAATGAACGAAATGTAAGGCACTCCAAGGTGCTCACCACAAACGCGATCACGTGAATGGGAAGAGAAATCGACACGGACGCGTCCAATCGCGACGGAGTGATTCTCTCAATCTTCAGATGAGTTAGTACTCCTGTCCGCTTCGGTTTGCGTCCATCCACATCGATTAAGCTGGCCAGCTACGTCGGACGTCTGATTTCGAAGATTGAAGACTCGCCGCTGAGCCCAATCGATATTCACGCGCCTCCAGTCCCTCTCTCGCGCCAGACATGTACGGTCGCGGATAGTGCAGCGGGTAGGTCTTCAGTGGGAGTCGCCAAGGTGTAGACGTGAGGGGAAGGGAGCTTCAGGATGGCCCGCTAGGGCCCGTCTCGCCGTGAATCGCGCAGGACGACTTGGCAAGCCACACCCCAGCGAGGGATCACATCGATCACGAGCGAAGTCATGGGCTCAGGGTCAGGAGTCTAGAGAGTGATGGGAAGAGGAAGCGTGTGAACGTATCCGAAGGCGATAACGCAGGGGACGCGTAAGCCGCACGATGGGCAGAGGGTAGAGAGTATTGCTCTGCAGACTTGACAGCAATGCCTTCAGTACTTTCGTCCTCGAGGACGACACGGGTTTCGCGGCAGCCAGTATGTAGTATCGGTCGTGTCCCGTTGGATTATCGAGTCAACAAAAGAGAAGAAAAAATAGAGAAGGGCGCACATACCTCCGTAACTTGGCCCAACCAACGGGTCGTTGAACACCGACCGCTCCCCCTCCGGGACGAGAAGTCCGATGTGCATCCTTCTCCATCCATAAGCAATTATACTCAATTTGGTCCTGGATTTGTGGTCCTCTATGGATCAACCAATAGAGCGCCGGTACAGGCTCCGATTTCTCCCATTTTCGTCCCGTCTGACCATTGTCAAACCTCCGCCATCAGTAAAAAAGGGCTCGTATCATGCTGGTTACGACAACAATGAAAGCGCCCATGAGGACCGCTGAAGTGTAGTCCTTTGCGGAAGGCTTCCTTGAACATTTTGTCTGGCTTATCTCACCGCTGATTGGCCCGCTGCGTCTTGGGAGGTGATGCTCGCCTAGGGATGAACCTATCAGCTCTGTCAGCGCGCGCAATTGGCTCTCACCGTCGGCGTCCCTGGGGCTTCTGGCCCCTCTAGCCTCCCTCCTCCCATCAATTCAGCGTTCAAGTCTTCCAAGGTTTGATACTCGCCTACGGGTCGGCCAATCAGCCATTGCGAATGTTAATATTCTGCTCGCACCGTGCGGTTCCGAGAAGGTCTTCAACCGCCCTGGTTTTCCTATTGGGTTAACAGAGGATAATGAAGATTTCGGGTCGTCCGGGAGTCGGGACGACTGGGCGGGCCTGCAAGGTATAAAATGGGGACGAAACCGCGCACTTTCCTTCATCCCCACTACATCCAACGTCGTCTAAGACTTACTCGATATCATCCTTCTGACATACCATGTCTTCCAACCCCACCCCTCGCCCCGCCCTCAGTAAGGTGCCTTCGAACACCGGAGCAGCCGACAAGGCCAAGCCTGATATGAAGGCACGTCCTCAGTTCGGCTACCCGCCTTGAAGTTTACCTGACCTCTTCTTCCACCCAGATCACTATGACTCCGGCGTCGCCGACCAAGGGCAATGATATCAAAGTCGCCAGAAAGCAGGTCGCCAAAGAGCACCCGGGATTCGTACGTGGTATGCTGTGTAATGCGATGTGTCTGAGGCTTACCTTTGTACGTAGTTTCCGAAGGGGTCTACCCCCCCTACGACCCCCGACGTCGAGTTCGACGAAGATGATTTCGATTTCAATGGGGGGTTCCACGACTTTTCCCATGGCGCGTCTACCTCTGGAAACAGGGGCCGCGACCAGCAGCCCAAGGCTTTGGGTACCAAGTCCAAGGCCGCAACCTCTGCGAACCTAAACTTGATGCCCAACGCGAAGAACAGCAAGGCATGAGGGGAGGGGCGGCGACAAAGCACGAGGAAAGCGTTCAGGGCATTGGTAGAATGAGCGGGTGAATACGAATATCTGTGATTGATTGATTGTTTTATACGGAGACTTTCCTTGGGAATATATGTCTGTCGAGCGAGACTACGCGGCCACATGAGCCCTCCGGTGCGATATATCGCGCCCTAAGGCGATCTAGGCTCGAAGATACTGAAGAAGGGGACGACCTTGACGTCGAGGGTCATCCCTTCGACTGCTCTTACTGGACAAGGCTGGGGGCGACCCGGGCGTTGGGTACCGTCGTGCACCCACTCCCGATCCGTTGCTTCTACGCGTATCCCCATGACCTATGTGAGGACCAGACACGCCCAAATGGATTTCTACAGAATCCGGGATAATGAATGAGTCGGTAAGCGCACTCGCATGTCCGATGGATGACCAAGGATACTCACTATCGTCCATATGGACCGCAACTAGGCTATGGCACATGCCCGTGCATCTCATGTGTGGCGGCCGTCGATTCTGATAATTATAAAAGACTCAGATATCGCATTGTGTGTGCTGGTCCCACCATGATTTCAACTGTTAGCACTCTCGCCCTCGTCCTGGGACTAGCGAACACCCGCGCAACCTATGGCACTGGATGGATTGTAAGGATCAGTCCGCGACCGCCAGAATGCACCCGAGGGTGACCTAGGAGACGCATTCCCGTGCATGCAAACGTGTTACCTTTTTCCTCATGCGAACTAGCCATCGATTCTCGCCAACGACCAGGGATGGATCGAGCTCCGACCGAAGGATCGAGCAAAGGCTCCCTGATATCGACAGGCTTGTACTCTTGTGGCCTTGGAGCCTGGTCAGGCGGGCGAGCAACGTGATGCCGTAGCAGTCCCAGGTGGATGACTGGTATTGTCGCACTGTGTACGGCATCTCAGCACTGAAACGACGATCTTAGTAGAATGTATACACATCAAGTGCCGATGTTTCCAGTCCATGCCCCCGCCCTCCCGAGGGAACTTGGATTAACGCAGCGTGCCGGGGTCCAACCGAGGCGGGGCGAAACGGCCTTCCACAAAGCCCATTCTGCGCAGTCATCGGGCAACCTTTGGAGTACCGCCTCTAAGTGTTGAAGAACGGACCAACAACATGTAACCCTCTGGCATGCGATAGAACCATACGTCCGAAGGCGCGCTTGCCTTGAAGCTAGGTGACATGTCCCAATCAACTGCGTTTGGTATGGATCTAGTGGTGTGCGTACCGACATCATCGTTATCACGCGCAGCTCTACGGGGAGATCCATCCTACGGCCATCCCGACAAGTACCCTCCATCAAGCACGATGTTCTCTCCGAACTCGTGATTAATTACTGCTGCGGACGTTCGACAGTCCAAAACAAAGGAGCCGGCATACGCTTCACCACGAAAAGTCACGTCGACAGTACCAGAATAACGAACTCTGAGAAGCACTCGGCAGTCGCCCCTTCACCCCAAAATAGCAACAAAGTGGCCTAGTCTGGCAATTTCCCGCGCCCCTCTGCGCGCAACCGCACCGCCAACGCTCGCAATCACGTCCATCGTCGTGCCAACACACGCGAAGCACGCCAGCGCCGGCGGTCCATCGCTCGCCAACGCCCGCATGACGTCGCCTCACCTCATTTCTCCACCGCCAAACGATGAGAAGGGAAGAAAGAAGCCCGTTGGTGCTCGCAGCACAGCGCGCTCCACCACCCCATCTCGCGTATATATACCCCGCCCTCGCCCACACGACCGCTCTCTCACAACCACCCACCGCTGTTTTCTTTATATCTTTCTCGTTTTCTCTTGACGACAACGAATAATCAGTAGACCGCAATACACGAACCCATCATGGCCGCCAACACCCAGGAAAACATCACCCAAGCTGCAGTGTCCGACGCTGTGCGTATCGAGGCTGAGCGTGCTGCTGAGCAGCTTGCCAAAGCTACCGGTGCCACCGGCGCCTCTGTCGAGGCCGGCGTCGACCTGACTGATCTCAGCGAGAGTGAGTGATCGACCGTGCATTCCCATTCCAAGTGCAGATACTGATGCGGATACCAGAGGAAGCTCGTAAGCTCGAATCTGAAGAACACAAAGCCCTCGGTTACCGTCCACCAAAGGGTTCGCTCGCTGCTGAAGCCAAGGCGGCTGCGGCCAAGCATCCCGAGGGATCCGGCGAAGAGCTCAACAGAGCGGACTTGCGTGACGTGGCGCAACTAGACGCCGCTCGAGTGGAGTACGTGCTTTGCATACACTACAATGCGCAGTAACTGACACTCATATCTGGCAGATTGGAGCAGAGCGCTCCTTCGACAGGAGCACTTCTTGACCCTGAAGCGGTGGTCGGGGTCGCCGGCCTTACCGAGAGTACGTGTCCCTTCAAGTGTCTCCCCCCTCCCAGTCGCTGACCTGCGCCTTCAGAGGAAGCCCGCAAGCTCGAGTCTGAAGAGCACAAAGCACTCGGCTACCGCCCCCCTCCCCACTCGCTCGCCGCCGAAGCCAAATCCGTCGCCTCCAAAGACCCCGCCGGCTCCGGCGGCCCGGAGCTCACCCGCTCCGAGCTGCGCGACATCGCGCAACTGGACGCCGCGCGCGTCGAGCTCGAGAACGCCGGCATCATCGACGGCGCGGGCGCGGTGGACGGCGTCGGCGTGGGCCCCTTCAGCGCGAAGGAGGCAAGGAAGCTCGAGAGCGAGGAGCACAAGGCGCTGGGGTACCGCCCGCCGAAGGACTCGCTCGCCGCGGAGGCGATGCGGGAGGCTGCGAAGCACCCCGAGGGCGCCGGCGAGCCTGAGCTGAACCGCGCTGAATTGCGCGAGGTGGCAGAGCTGGACGCGGCGCGCATCGAGGCGGAGAAGGGCGCGGCTGCTGGTGCGACTGGCGGCGTCGTCGGCGTCGCTGTCGACCAGGACGTGAGCTTGGAGGGCCTCAGCGAGAAGGAGGCGAGGAAGCTCGAGAGTGAGGAGCACAAGGTGCTCGGGTACCGCCCGCCGAAGGGCAGTCTCGCCGCCGAGGCGATGAGCGAGGCGGCGAAGCACCCCGAGGGCGACGGGCGCGAGCTCAACAGGGCCGAGCTGCGCGAGCTCGCGAAGGCCGACGCCGTCCTCGTCGAGGCGGAGAAGTCCGGCGTGGCCACGTCACCCACGCTTTCCGCCGCATCGTCAAGTGCGCCCCCGATCGACCTGAACAGCATCAACGCGAAGGAGGCAAGGAAGCTCATGTCGGAGGAGCACAAGCTCCTGGGGCACCGGCCCCCGCCCGGGTCGCTCGCGGCCGAGGCGCAGTCCGCCGCGGCGAAGCACCCCGACGCGCCGGGCGCTGCTGGTGGCCGGGAGCTGAACCGCGCGGAGCTCAGAGAAGTTGCGGCGGAGGATGCTGTGCGGATTGACGAGGCGATTGAGCCGAAGATCCGTAGGGGCAGCAGGGGAAGCCGCGGGAGCACTGGGAGCGTTGGGAGGATCAGTCCGACTGGGTTGACGGGCGCTGCGGCGAAGATCGAGCTCGACAAGATCAGTGCCAGTGAGTGCCCTTCTACCACAATTTCTCTAGTAGACGCTAACGCTAAGGCTCTCTGCAGAGGAGGCGCGGAAGCTCATGTCGGAAGAGCACAAGATTTTGGGCTACCGCCCCCCGCCAGGCTCGCTCGCCGCCGAGGCGCAGAGCGCCGCCGCGAAGCACCCGGAGGGCGTCGCGCCGAAGAAGGAGCTCAACCGGAAGGAGCTGCGCGAGGCCGCGCTCGAGGACGCCGCGCGCATCGAGGCCGAGCGGCTCTCGCAGTCGCCGCCGTCGCTCAGTGCCACGGGCGAGCTCAGCCCGCCTGCGTTTGGTGGGCTCAGCACGGGCACCGCGCCGTCTGGGAATTTGGACCTCGAGCATATGGCGAAGGACCAAGCAAGAGAGCTGCAGAGCGAGGAGCAGCGGATTCTGGGGTACCGACCCCCGCGGGAGTCGATTGCCGCTGCTGCGCAGAGTCTGACGGATCGGATGGATAACGCGCCCCGGGGGATTCGTGTTTGAGTGAGGAGAACGGAAGAGAAGAAGTTTAATCAATCAATTGTAGCATAGTTTCGTCGCATTCGCTTTGCATTTGCATGAAGTCAAGAGATGTATGAATAGAATAGGTTCGAGCAATATATTCTGTTGTCAGAATCATTTGTGGTGAGGTGATAATACGCCGTGGCTCGTGGAAGAGTACGACTTGGCATGAGAGTTCGCCCACTAAGAGCCACGGCGCATACACTGACATACTACTGTCTTCAATACACCTAGGAGCTTAAGAACCCGACTCGAGGCATGGACAGTAGAGAAACCTATAACGTTGCTACCCTCCAGATTCTCGCGTAGGATAGATTTCACGACCCCAGTCTCTTGGGTACACCTCTAGAGCGTATCTTCAGAGTAGGATCATACACATTACATTACAATGTTACACCATTTTGCCTGTGACTTTACAAGTTCCCTCGTTCCGCCTCGACCCGAGCAGCGTCTGCCTGCGCAAGCCCTCTCAATTCCGCACGGTTTAGCTCAGTGCCCCCCGCGCCTTGGGGATTCATGGAGGCTTCAGACTTTGCTTGGGCAGCGAGGGAGTCGGAGGGTGGGCGGTAACCCAGGGCTTTGTGCTCTTCGGATTCTAGCTTCCGCGCTTCCTCTACAGCAGGGGCGGCACTGGTAAGAGACTTGACATGGCAACGTTAAGGGCACAACACGTACTTTCAGTGAGCCCAAGAGCCGGAACAGCGTCCGCAGTTGTGGATGCAGCTTCCTGTTCCAATCTCAATAGCCACGGTTGATTAGCTTTGACAGGACACATCGAGATCAAGTCCATCACTGACCGGACTCTTTCAGCGTCCAACTGAGCGACGTCCCGTAGCTCGGCTCTGACCCTTCTGGGTGTCTCGCAGCTGACATGGTTTTGGCAGCCAGTGAGCCTTTGGGTGGGCGGAAACCGAGAGCCTTATGTTCCTCGGATTCGAGCTTACGAACTTCCTCTGAGCGATTCAATTAGATATGCCATTAAGTCCTCGTGCTCGTCCAGGACTTACTCTCACTGAGGCTTGCCACTACGCTCGTGGTAGACGATGCGCTGGATACGGTCGATGCGAAGGTAGGATTCGTTACAGTGCACGTGTCTTGTGCCGTCCGCTCAATTTCGAGGACGTTAAATAAATGCAGTATCGAGCGTAGACGTCATCCAGGCTGTACTGGTTTGAAGTGTGATTCAGAGACCCAGAGCGGTTCGTCGGTGGGGAGCTCTTATATTCCCCGAGGATGGTTATGGAGCGCTCAGCCTGTATGTCGAGCTTCATAACGTTGGAGCCCCTTGGGAGGGTTATTCTGTATAATTGGCTTGTGGAGAGTCATGGTGAAGTCATGATCAGAGAGGCGGTTTGGTTTCCCGATCCGGAATAGCGTTGTCGCTCGCCATCACCTTGCGATTCGTGCTTCTCAGTGTTGAGCGACCCATCCGACGCTGAACCTCTCAGCGGAAGCCTTGCAGTCTCGGTCTAGTTTGATATTATCCAGAAAGTGCAATCCTCCCTACAAAGTTAAGGACGCGAGTCGCTATAAATGGAAGGTCGAGACACTGTGCGGTAACCCCGCAGCGTCGCGAGGGGCTTCGTCTGAAGTCTGGGCGACTCGCTTCGGAATGGGAATCCTAAGGCGGTGAGGAGGTTGTGTACTCACTGCAATTCATTCGTACACCGGTAACACCACCTCCCATGATCATGAGAAGTTGAATGGTTTTGTATATCAGTACACATGTAGTTTTAATTTTTTGAAACTGAACCCCACAGTATAATACCAAGTGAAGGCTTTGTGTATAGATTGGCCCTTGTCCGGACTCAAAGTGCCACAATGTCATCAATATCGGCGCCTTGCAATGACTGCATGATGAGACAGAGAACAAAAGAAATTTTTCAAGTTGCGTTACGGAGTGAAGACAACTAGAATCATCACAAGTGAAAAACATTGTCCGTGGTTGGGATTGAACCTCCAGCTCACAGCATTGCATCTGAAACAACCCATCACACTAACCGCTGCACTAGCGGCATGCTAGCAATATCCAAAAATAAGATAATATGTTAGTTGGGCAACCGTCTGGGCGCATCCGCTGCAATGGCTCCGCGTCCACTTTGCGAGCCGCTGCGCGACTCGCTTACATAATCTGCGTCCTCAACTTTGTAGGGAGGATTGCATTTCGTGGAA